TGACTGAAATGTTGCACGTCTTCAGACAGTGCTCCAGGGGGTGCATTGTGCTGATATTCCATCGATTTTATAATTCAAGTACCAAGCCAAACTGGTATAATTTCTGAATCTGGCTGGCTTTCTTGCTATAGTTTTTATTACAAATATTTTTCTATCTTTGTAACACAGATGATTTGTCAGTAGTACAGATTTGGGAGGCTCATTTATATTCAATCCCTTGTCTGTGTTAGTTGATCTCAGCTGGGGCATCAGTTAGGTGTGCAACAGTATTTGTTATTTTTTTAATCAGGTAGAGCTCCCATTTCTGATATTTTTTTCCTTTCAGTGTCTCCTGATGGAGAATCGGAGCCCAGTATTAGTCAGTCTCTTGTGGAGGGGTGAACATTGGAGAGTAAAATAAATCTGTATTCTATGTGAAGACGATTGGATTTTAAATTAAATGTTCCGTACATCATACTGTACATGTGCTAAAAGAATCAATTGAATTTCACAGAAGACGGTTTTACAGATGTTTAATGCTACACATGCAAGCTACTGGGATTTCCAGGTCAGATATTAGCCCAAAAAGTTCAGTTCTAGAGGCTTTGATGTGATGGTAGAAAATTTTGTATTATTCTTTATCTTGTAAAGAGTCCGGATACAGAAACACCATGAATCTACGCTTAGATTGCAGCTGAATTCAGGACTCGTGCCTGCGGTGGTTGACCGCCTGGGCTAAATCCTCCACCCTCTACCCCTTCCTGAGGTTGGTAAACTGGGGTCCTGCCTTCTTGACCCCTGCACACCAATAACAATGAACATGCAGAAGAGGAGAATCGGAAGTGGAGATTGTTATCATCGCTCAGGCCCAGACTCCAGCCACAGGAACCAATTAAGACTGAATGAGCTGAGGTCTGCACAGCAGTGAATGAAAAGGGTTTTCACTGCTGTCTTTGTTCTTGGCAGACACTGATCCTCAGACAGATCTCTCCCAGGACGTGGGAGAAGACGAACACGTTTTGTTTGCATTTGAAGGCAAGGTTGTTCTGTGACTTCTCCTCTTCCGAGGGTACTTCCCATTTCCTGACCCAATGTTAGACTTTGGTTTTCCTGGTTTGTGGGAGGCACTAAATCAACTTTAAAAACACTAGTTCCTTTCTGTATCACCTGTCTGGGAAACAGCGATGTATTTATGGAAACTGGTATGGCTGAATTGTTTTGAAAACTAGACTGTAAAACTGGAGGTGGAAAGAATCAATTGAAATTATTTTTCTGAAGGTGGACTTTAAATTCAGTTCCTTTTTTGGGCAAAGATGTTATCTCACATTTAGCGCTGACCAAAAAATCTGACTCTTAAACAGCCAAACATACTGAGGAAGTGATCCGTGTTTATACTTCGCACAGCTTCTAATATTTTGCGGATTTTGGCTCCTGTTTTGGTATGTTTTGGAAAGATTGACTTGTTTGTGGTCTGGACTAATGGTCTAAATTTTGTGTTTAAATGATAAGAGGATTATTTATCAGCTTGTATTAGCTGGTTGATTCCTCAGGTTCTTTTTTTTAAAAAAAGCTGTTTAAGTAAAAGGCCAAGGCACCGTAATAGAGGACAAACCAAACATTGAAGCAGGTTGGAGGGAAGACTAGATAAATCAAGTAGTGGTTAAATTATGCCAAACTTGAGTTTTATAAGCTGTATGTTATAGGAAGAATGGAGTCTGAAGGAGGTAAGGAGTTCCATAGCCTTGAGATCGCAAGGAAGATTGAAGAAACTGGAATGAGGCTTGAGTTTAATTCTCTGAGAATGCAGGGAGGAGGGAGACCATGTATGACAGTGGATTTGGAGCTTGAGCAGACACAGAGAAATGCTCAGAGGAACAATGACTATGGTGGTCAGCTAGAGTTCACTTATCAAATAACTGACATTGCCTTTTGTCCTATTTCCGAGTAAGAGAGCAGTGGTTAGAAAAGCTTTCCAGATTGCGGACCATTATTCAAGGGATGCTCTTGCGGTTTATAAAGAGTTACGTTTGAGAGTCGTCACATTAGAACTGTAGCAAAACAACAAGCACTGTACGTCTGAACTCCTGTTATTTTGGATGGTGGCAATGAGAAAATGCTTGTTCAAATTCTTTCCAGTTGTATCTGGTACCATTGTTAGGTCATTTTTGTTCCTGAATTTTCACAGTCATGGTTAACGGGCTTTATACTGATGAAGAAAAACTGAGTGATGAAATGAGCCCCATCATACAATCACCAGAAATCATATGCTCTTTTTAGCAGGAGTCATTGCCTCGCGGTCCAGAGCAGAAACCATGCCTGATATCAGATAACTGAGTGTGGAGCATGGATCAAATAGGATCTTCCTGGTATTTGTGGCTCGGTTCCACACCAAACTCTGAATTTTCCCACAGCATACATTCCAAACGCATATGATGAATATTATGATAATATAGAAACTTATAGGAAGACATGTGGATATATACGTGTGTGTGTGTATATAATATGAAACAAACTCTCAAATTGTGATACTTTCATTTTAAAAAAAAACATTTTGTGCGTGACTTTTTTCTGGTCGAGATGGGTTAATGGAGATTCCGGCATGTTGCCTGGCCTTAGATCTGTGGACTGGTAGCGTTTATAGTCACTGGCTTCTGTCCTATGTGTTGCATTTTGGAGTCTGGCTCGGGAGTTGACCTTTACAGTGCCCGAGGTGTGTTTAGCCTTGGGTTGCTGATGAAGCGTGATTTGACCGGAGATTCTGAAACCTAAGTCCAGGGACCTGCTGTGTGTCAGCATGTGAAGATATCGGGACCTAAATGTATAGAGCAGGTGATTTACTTCAGGGTAGTGTTACGGACATTTATATTTTCCAGCAGCACCATCTCAGTCAGTAAGAATGGCCACTTTTCTCTGCTTGGTTCACTTCTCGTTTTATCCTGATACTGTATAGATTATTATTCATCACCACACAGCTTCCTCCTCTGTCCAGGAAGGGTCTTGTGTTCAGTTATCTGATGTCAGTTTGGGGAGCAGTAGGGGGCTACAATTTGGATCCATGCTCCTTAGCTAAGGAGAAGAGAAATAATCAGGTTTTCTGCTATCTATTGAGGACACAAGAATTATTTAACGTGCAGTGAGAGCTACATGAGCTGAAGAGGAGTGGTCTGTCAGCTGTTCTCTGCTATCCTATGTACTGTATATGAAACCTGGGTCAGATCCTGCTTGGCCAATAGGTTGGGATAATGTTTGTGAAGGCATAAATAAAGGGCTTTGATATACTAGGCTGCTAATAAAGCTTAGGTAAACTTGGTTGATGTAATGACAGGAATGCAGAGAGCCTTTCTATTCCTTTTTGCATGGGCTCTCCATTCCTGATTCTATTTGATGTCATCTCAGTGAGTAAACTTGCATTATCCAAGCACAAACAAAACATTTAGAATTAAAAAATCCAGCAGTGAATTTCATGTTTCCAGCTATGGTGGCCATGGTGGAGGTTGATTCATCCAATATTTAAGCACTTGGACCTGGATATGAGAGAAGCAGAGGTTCTATATGGATGAGCTCATCCGAAGGACAGCACCTCCGACAATGCAACACCCCCCAGCACTACATTGGAGTGTCAGTTTAGACTATGTGACTTTTAACTCAGAGATGAGATTGCTACCACTGCACCAGACTGACACACAAAGTGAACCCAGACCAATAGTTTTAGATTCACCAAGGCAGTAGGACCTGAGGTTCAGGGTGATAGATAGAATATTCAGTGGGATAAATTGCAACCAGTTGATGCTTAGTGTTGATAAGGTTTTCTGTCCCAGGCACTTGGGAAGTACCAATCGTGCCTTTCATCACCAGGTAGTTTGGTAATCAGTGAGTGTCCATAGAGGTTTTATGTATTGCTTTTTTCAACATCATGTCTTGAAGACCACTCTTACTCTGACTTAGGTACTGGCACACTTGCATTGAGTGTCAATAATAAATCTCATCCCACTCCTCTTCAGGCAGTTAAAAGGTAAAATTTGTGTTGTGCTGTCCGTAACTCAGGCTGGGTCTCTTGAGTGGTCAGGCAATGATGCGTCATTGTGAGTGGTTCCACGCAGGGGGAAAAAAACCTATATTTGAAGCAAAATGTGTGGCTCGTAACGGTAGTGCCAGTGTCAACAAGCAAAAAAATGTGCTGGTCATAACTCTGGGTTTTGAATAGATTTGCTTTCTTTCCCACAGTGGAACTTTTCTAACTTAGCAGAGGGCCCAGAATCCCGGAAAAAGTGGGAGGTTCGAAACAAGCAGTGATTGAGATGTTTATGAAGAGTTCCATACCCCATACATTGCTTGTAATGGGAAGCAAACCTAATGTAACTTTCTCCAAATGGAGCTGGATCTCTATCATTGGAAAGGTATCCCTGATTCCTGGAATTAAATTTTGTTGTTTCTTTTGCCATATTTTTCTTTCCCACACCCGAAACATGTTTTTTTTACTCCTATCCCTCCTATCTTGGATTGCACAAACAATTGTTGCCTTCTCCTTAATCAAAATGACCTGTTTCTCTTTTGATCCTGATCGACCTGCTGTATAGTTCCAGCATGTTGGGTTTTACTTTGTTGGGTTCTATTGTATTTTAAAACAAGTTAGCATTAAACAAATAGAATGTCACATTTCTGCTCTTCTGAGGCAGTTCATGTCATTATCGGCAGTGTAAAGAGAGTGCCTCACTCAACATCTACCCAGCCTATCTGGGAGTAATCACTAATAATAGCTACATGTTACATTCTCCAACCATGGGATCATTCACCTTAAAGAATGTGAAATACTCACCCAAAGCATAGACACCCTAAAAAAAAACTTTTTTTCCTTTTGTCTTGGTGACTTTATCAGTCCTCTGCACGCCACATCCTTGTATTCAACTAGTTGTGAATGCTGCCCTTCCTTCCCCGAGCTGCTTGCTTGGTGTTGTCGCTGGCCCTTACGCCACGCTTGCTCTGTGACTGCTCAGGATTCTGACCTGTTTCCTCTCTTGCAGAAGCTCAGTGGGAGCATGCAGTCAGATGAGGGAACAGAGTGGCTTCTTGAACTCCTCACTGAGGTGCAGTTACAGCAGTACTTCGTCCGCATCCGCGACGACTCAACGTTACCCGCCTCTCCCACTTTGATTACGTGAAAAATGAGGACCTCGAGAAGATTGGCATGGGGCGACCCGGTAGGTACAATGGGCATTGCTCCTTCGAGCTTCCTTTCTTATTCCTTTCAAGCTCCAAATACAGTATCCAACATGCGTCTTCCTGAAGACTCGTTGTAATGAAATAAAAACCCCACGTATTCTGACTCAGTCCTTCTAAGAAATTCAATAGTATGTGCCCTGCCTTGCATCCCTCAGGCTTTCATTGCTTCTGCAATTTACAGGCTTTTAAGAACTCCAGCTTGGTGTCACATGACCATGTCTTCTTCAATTATCCTGTCCTCTTCTGCCAGCACTCGTTGTCTGGACTCAGGAGGAATGACCAAGTGGGCAACGTATTAGACTGTAGCTGGCACTTAAGGAACCAAACACTGGTTATAAGTAAATTCTCCACAGAATTGCGAGAGAAAATTGGCGGAGAAAATACAAATATTTGTGTTTTAACAAGGGATGGGCTCCTACTGGGATGGCTCATTAAGTGCTTAAGCAATATATCTTTTCAGTGTAATATTCCATTGATAGCGAACCTATGACGTATCCAAAATGACACACACAACTTTTGTGTGTGTGTGTGGGAGGCTCCAGAGCCTCCTGACACTCCCATACTGACAGGCAGTCATTTCAGTGCTCATCTGCGTCTGGTGGTAATAATCAGGCTGCTAGTGGTACTCTGAACTGCTGGCATGATAAGCGCACGATAATCACAAGCACTTGGGACTGGAGTAGCAGGTATCGACACAAAATTTGCCCATAAAGCTCTTGTCAGGGAGAGTGCTGACTGAGCATTCAGCTATGCCCCCATGCCCACCTGTGCAGGACCAGGTAAATTGTTTGAGAAAATCCAATGTAAACTTTTTAAAAAATACATATTTTGGTTTATTATTTTGTGTATATTTTTATTTGCAACAGAAGTCCTACTGGTGTTGGTACATAACAATCTGGTAAGTCTACATTTTGTCACTGTTTGTGGCACGTAATCTTAGAGAGGTTCGCCAACACTGTTAGCAGCAAATTGACCTGGGTTACTTTGTTGGCATCTTGCAGCTATTCTTTCTGTGACAAGCTAGTTGTGATTTTATGGTTGCCGCTGGCTACTTGGTGACTTTCTTTTGTCTTGATAATAACTGGGTGTATTGTGTATGTCTGCAGGCCAAAGGAGGCTATGGGAGGCTGTAAAACGCAGGCGAGCTATATGCAAACGCAAGTCCTGGATGAGCAAGGTACTGCTGTGACTGTGACCTACCTCTGGTTGTTGTGGCTATATTAGAGTTTCAAACTCTGTCCCCATTCTGGAAGAGGCAAGCAACTTACCTGGGCTTGCTTCCCTGTATAATGCCTTATTTAGATTAGAAATTAGTATTCATTTGGAGCTTTATGTTAATTTTGCTGAGTTTGCTGTTCTTTTTAAGGGCAGTGCACCTGTTGTACTGTGGCTTCAGAATCAAAGCAATTCAGAGTTCATGAGCTTGCTGACAACTAAATGGGTGTGAAGCTCCTCTGTGAAATACCTTACATTTAAAAGCATGGCTGCTGCCTCCTCCTTGCGTCCTCTCCCTCCCATAGCCTGCTCTTGACCCCAGGCAGCAAGTTTTTCCTCTACTTCTACTAACCCTGACAGCTGACCAGAGAGCAGCTGAAGTGATAGGAAATCAAAAAGAGTGATTTGTATATTTTAAAATTTCAGCTTTTTTCTGTTGTAGCTTCAGGGTAAGTAATAGTAGAGGAGAAATTGCTGTGTATTGGGTGTGAGCCAGCTATGGATGCAGAGCATGAGAGAATGATCAACCGGGAAGAGGAGATGGAAGCTGTTTACCTCTACCTGTTGCTTTGGAAAAACTGCGAAAGGGAACTAAGCGATTCCAAAAGCTGGCATTATTGCATTCCAAGGTGACTACCGTTGAATTCAGTGAAATTCTCTAAACCAGAAGAATGAGCATACATTAAAGCAGCAGAAATCCACTTGGAGCAGGGATTCTTCTCACTTGGCTCCTGTTATGCCTGCAAGCAAAACTCCTAATGAGGATACTGGTCCCAGCTGGATAAGAAACAGGAAGCTTGCCAGACAAGTGCTCTGGGTGGCAACCTTGCAGGCACTGCAGTGCACTCAGTGGCAAACTGAGATTTGGCTGGTTGAACTCCTGTAGTGCCCCAAAGCAAACAGTGCACTCGCTAAGCCCTAGCTCTTGCCAATCTACACCTAATACTCTGTGGACTTAGGTAAGCAGGGTGCATCCCTGAATTGAAAGAGTATGTATTCCATTCCAGATACATGGACATGTACATATGTGGAACTTAGACTGGTTTGGATACTCTTAAAATAATAATGGATATCAGCATGTGTCAGACACCTGGCTGACCACAAAAAAAAGGTGGGGGGGGAGGGAAATGATTGAATATGAAGCAGATTTTCCTTGAGATGCTTTACAGTGTTCCAACATACCGTCCAGCTGTCTCAACCTGTGAAATGCACCGTGTAACTGTTTATTCCTGCATAAAATGTAAAAGCAAACAGTTCTTGTTCAACAAGTAGTTGAATAATTTTATTTAGAGTGGTATTGAATTCTCTGGGAGCTGCTAAGGTGAATTCTTTGGGAGCATTCCAAAGTGCAACCCTGGAATGATTGAAACAGCTTTCCCAAAAACCCAGCTGTTCCTCTCCCTTATCCACCCACCCCATGGGTCAGTTGGTAAAGTCACTGCTGATCAAGATCTTTGATTGTTTGCGGAAGTTAGGAATCTATTGGACATGATTTCCTTGGAGAACGGTGAACATGTTAGGATGTAAGGAAAGCAGACTCTAGTCTTGTGCTTGCTGCTTCTGAAATTCCCATAAATCACAGCAGCTTAGTTATCAGCTGTTGTACCCAGTGCTGTAATGAACTCCAGTGCTTCTCTTTTATCCTGTTTGGCTCAGAACTGCTGCAGATCCTTGACTGGAACCTCCGCCCTTTCTCTGCCAGGAGCACAAACAAACAGGAAATCCAGGATTAAGTAACCTCTAAAATTATACGTGTAAATATCTGCGTTTGGCAGCGACGTCAGAAGGTGTGATCAACAGCTCAAGGTCCTGGTACTGATCTATTGGAAGTTCATAGTCTCTCTGTAACTAACACAGCCTTCGCTTTTATCCTCAAAACTATGTGAGAATCTTGGGAAATTCTTTGGCTAAGAAGACATTTAAAGGAGCCACTAACTTGCTTTAAGCTGTCTGTAGTCTCGCTTAGTTTATCAGATCTTTTTAGTGAAGATTAGTTATACAAGTTGAATGTAAGGCGGGGATAAGGAATATAGTATATAGTTATTAGAAAACTAAGAACGCACCATATTATTTTGTCGCATAGCACTGAGAACTGATATAGATTTCCAAAGCTCACTGTACCCAGGTACAGTGTAGATGGTTGTGACTGTTGGCAGGAGATAGGAAAGCATGTGCCTGGCACCTCCTTGTGTCTAAACCACAAACTCCAAGTTGAACCTTGGTGCAGCCAATATAAATTGGAAACCTGACCTAACCAGCATTTGGCAATCTCTGAGCCCAGGGTGACAGTAGTCAAAAGACTGTTTTTCTTGCAGTATATTTATGATTGTGCAGTTGTATGAAATTATTACTTTGGTGTTTCAGTTGCTATTATATTCTACATTGTGTTAAAGTACATGACAATTGCACTATTTCAGCACCTTCAATTATAAAGTAAGATGCTCTTCATAATAATATTTTTCTCTTTCATATATGCTGATGAAGGCGTGATTAATGCTTGAATGTTTCCATAAGTCTTTGCTGCTTCATGGTACCTCATCCAAGTCTTTTTAAGTGAGGCCAGACAGCGAGTGTCAACAAGCTATTAAATCACAGGGGGCAATCTCACAATTAGGCCTTAATCTGTCAATGCTGGAGACCAACATGTAGTTTCCTGCAGGAGCCACTGGATAACGACCAAGAATGAGCACAGTACCTCCTTCCCCCTTAAGAGTGTTGCGGCACTTTGTATCACCCCTACTGCCCTTGTTGAAATCAGTTAATTAAACACCGACTGGGGATTGAATATGGAACCTTCCTGCTGAGCGCATAGTAATCCAATTACCAAATGCCATCTAGTACAAATGACTTGCTGAATGTTATTTTTTCAAAAAAAATAAAATTTGGAGCAGCACTGACACATCTCGCTTAAAACAACTTCAAAAATGCCTAGTGTAAGAAATGGAAATACCACACTGGTTCGGTGAGGGTTATCTTTCTGAGATTTGAGTTAAGGGACATTATGGACACAGTGTGAAGGCAGCCATGTATTTGACTACTATATCTGACTGGGAATTGCTAAGTTGTGATAGTTGGTTCTCACCTCAGCATTGTCATCTACAGATTGAATTGGTTTGAGGAGACTGGGCTTTTACCTCTGTTGTGTTTGTACACGTCCAGGTGTTTAGTGGCAAGCGCCCTGAATCTGAGTTCCAACCTCAACCAGGGACCACGTTCCGAAAACGCTCGATGACTCCGCCACCTGAAGGGAACCAGACATTGACCTGCCTGATCAGCGAGAGGGACCTGACTCTTCAAGAGAAGCTGGGCGACGGCTCCTTTGGAGTTGTGAAGCGTGGCGAATGGCAGACTCCTGCAGGAAAAATTGTAAGTGAATAAGATGCTCATTTTAATCCCCTTCTTCTACTGATGGCAAACTTTGAATTAAATGACCCTCAACTCATGTTGCTTGAAATGGGATAGAGCTTGTATAACTTTGTCATTCCACAATGGGGATACCAGGGAGTGATTATATTTGAAGAGGCTCGAGGTGTTGGCGGAATCTGTAATTAAGATCTTGTTAAACACTATCTGTGCTGAGTCAGCAGATAGGGAGAGCAAGACTTGCTGTCTCCTGATAGACCATTGTCAGTCTGCTCTTGCTACAGCAACATTATTTACTTCAACTGTTGCACTGCTCACCAGCTGAGGAAATTTTCAGTTAAAATCATTTAACTCAATTTGTTTATCTGGTGAGTGGCTGAACCATCCAGGCTGGAAAGTTCTGATGTTCGGCTTTTACTGAGCTGCCTGATCAGAGCTGAACAGTATTAAGGGTGTTAAAAGTTGCCTCACAATTTTGAGCTGGTGAGGAAAGAATTGATCAAGACTCCTAGCTTCACTTCGATGACCTCTTTCTCCTCAGTGACCACTTGAACTAAATCAAACTTGATTTCTCTTTGCAGCTGAATGTGGCAGTGAAATGCTTGAAAACAGACGTGTTAAATCAGCCTGATGCTTTGGATGACTTTATCCGTGAAGTCAATGCCATGCATTCTCTGGATCATCTCAACCTCATTCGCCTGTATGGTGTTGTACTCACCCATCCCATGAAAATGGTAAGTGGGTTATAAAGAAACTTTCCTGGCAGTTCTGTCTTAAGGGTCTTTAGGAATAGGAACAGAATACGCCATCTGTCCCAACAAGTCTCTCCCTTTTCGATAGTTCTGAACCTACTAGCCTTCAATCTCTCCAGCAACATCTATTACTTTTTGAATCCAAATGTACTGTTCTAGTAGCTTCCCTAGTAACATGTTCCACATGCCAATTCCCCTCTATGTAAAGAAGAGTTCCACGAGATTTCATTGCCTGCTTTACAACTTTTTAATTTTTTTAACTTGTGAGCAACTTGTCTAACGTATCTTTGTCAATGCCCTTTGTAAACTGAAAGCCTATATTAGGTCACCTCAGTGGATCCTCTTCTCTAGAGAGTAGCCTTTTTTCCTGCCAGAGGCATTATGAATGCCGGTTAAGAAACATTTTCCCCAATGTACACTGACTGACAGTGCCATTCCTCCTGGCTCTGTTCTGTCTTGAGCTAGTCCTGATGTTTGCTCCTATGTCTAACCTGAGTGTATCTTATCAACCATGCCAGCCGAATCGAAACCTATTGTGCCCTCTCTGATTAAAGATCATATCATTGCTCAAGTTAGATTTCCATGTGAAATGAATGTCTTTTTTTATCCAAATTCACCATCTCCTCCTGAAGGTGTTGCTGAGGTCTGGTTTTGAAGATCTCCCGTATATTGCCTAAGTGGTCATTTTTCATTTGTGAATTGAGACCTTGAGTGTTGGTAAGTTACTTGACCACAGCATCACAGCTGAGTCTGATCCTGCTTTCACCTGACATACATCCAGACACCCATACTCTCCAGCCAGGATGACTGGATACTGAGATGAAACCCTGATTCTCTCCACTCCCTCCCCATTCTCCCCTCCTCAGTCTGGAGACTGCATGTGGAGTATAAATAATACAAGGACTAGTTGGGCCAAATGGGCTATTTCTGTGTTGTACAATGTGTAATATCTACCCTGCTACCTTGGCTGAGATCCTCTAAATCCTTTTAGACCAGGATTGGAACTGAGGACCTTCCAATTCTTTGGCTAGTATCAGATTAAGGCTTATGTTTACCTACTGAGCCCTTAGGCAAAGCCCTACAACGCCAGCTTTTTACTAGCTCGAGTCCACTCCTCCTATGGCCAGCTCCTTTGCAAGACATTCCCCTATTACAAAATGAGGTTCTATCACAAGCGTGCTTACTATTAAGTTAATGTTTGTTACTATTTAAAAGTAATAATCAATTTAATTTCTGCAGGTTACTGAATTGGCTCCTCTAGGCTCTCTGCTAGACCGTTTGAGGAAGAACCAGGGTTACTTCCTCATCTCAACACTGTGTCAATATGCAATCCAGATAGCAAATGGCATGGCATACCTAGAGTCTAAACGCTTCATTCACCGAGACCTGGCAGCAAGGAATATCTTACTAGCCTCGAACGACTTAGTGAAGATCGGGGATTTTGGACTCATGAGGGCCCTTCCGCAGAATGATGATCATTATGTGATGCAGGAGCATCGCAAAGTTCCCTTTGCTTGGTACGTCTGGAAACATTCATTGAACTAAAAGACAGTGCTGTGTAGTCAGAGCGACTAAGCATAGACATGAGGTTTATTTTGGTCAATTTCATTCCTGATGAAGGTGCTGGCTGATGCTGGTGCCTCTGTTGGTGTTGGCTTCAATCCACTAGCTCACCATGTGGCCATTCACACGTGTGCCCAGGCTGTTCACAAGCATGTGTTCCAGCTGAGCAGCAGTCAATGTACAGTGAGTGATCAGGAGAGGGAAACCTTATTACGTTTTTTTTTAACCAGAAGCTCAAGCCCCTGTATACCCACAGTTCTGTTAAGCACAGCATGTGTTTGTTTTCTCTGCTCTCACAGGTGTGCTCCTGAAAGTTTGAAGACTCGTACATTCTCACATGCCAGTGACACCTGGATGTTTGGCGTCACGCTGTGGGAGATGTTTACATACGGACAGGAACCTTGGATAGGGCTGAACGGGAGTCAGGTACTGGAGTGTAAAAGGGAAAGCTTTATATGTATGTTTGTGACGTACGGTGAGAGTGGTTGCGTGTGTTTAACCTTTGGGTTCACTTGCATTTTTTTAAACTGGTTTTTCAGTAACTTTTTCCATAAGTAGACAAAATCTCATGCAATATAGTGCTTTCAGTCTTCATACAGACATGGTGGAATAGTTTCCTTCATAATGAGGAATGATTCCTGAAACCCGACGATATGGGCTGACTCACAGGGATGTATTTTTGTCTAATCAAATGTTTTGACACTTTTGTCTTTAATATCTGTGTCTGTGCTTGTTTTTAATATCTATGTTTGTGCTTGTCTTTAATGTCTGTGCACTACATGTGTACATTTGCATAGAGGTCTTATCCTTAGGCAAGTTTCCTGACTCCACATACACGCTCTTGTTTACCTAGCCGGAAGTAGGAACCCCTTTGTTAGTCGATTGGCAGATTGCTTTCCGAGGGTAATAATCCCTCCAAAATTATAACAATGTGGTCACTCAATTCACGACTGTTTGTGGGACACCGCTGTGCACAATTGGCTGCCGCATTTCGCTCACAAAACACACAGTCACTACACTTTACAGCGTATTCTGTGAAGTGCTTTGAGACGTCTCGACGAAGTGATAAGGCGCCGTATCAAATGTAAGGATTATTATTGCTATCCTCTGAGTTAGAAAATTAGGCTAAAATACTTTTCTTTCGCAGATCCTGCATAAGATAGATAAGGAGGGAGAGAGGTTGCAGCGACCTGAAGACTGTCCCCAAGATATTTACAATGTGATGCTTCAATGCTGGGCACACAAACCTGACGACCGCCCCACGTTTGTGGCGCTGCGAGACTTCCTGATTGAGGTGAGTTACACCGGCCGGGTTTAGAGACTTGTGCACTGCCCCACAAAGTATTTGTAGGGCTAAGTACAGCATGATTACATGCAAAATAAAGTTCCTTAATAACTAGTTGTCTGGCCTGTAACTGCTTTGACTGAGATGTAAATTTAGTTATGAATTGATAAAAGCTTCGAGTATATGGCATGGCGTTCATTTTGTAACGAGTTCACCAAGGAGATTTTCATCTCATTAGATGTTAGGCTACTATATATCTTTTTATGGTCCTCCACTCCCTGCAAAGTTTCCAGGCCAGGAGCCAGCTCAGAAAGCTGTCCAAGCAGCTGGGAGATTCTGTGTAACTCCCAATCAGCGCCCATCAGGAGCTTGGCACGTGTGTATGTGTGTGTGTGCGTGCAGAGAAGACAGGGACAGATATGGGATATTCTGCATGCATTATGCTATATTTGTACATTCCACCTTTCCTGTACATTATCAGCCACCGTTGATTGCAAGGTGTCAGGGCAATAGGGTTTGCTGTCCACGATGCTCACGGATATGTATTGGTGCAGGCCCAGTCCACAGACATGCGAGCATTGCAAGAGGTCACGGAGCCAGATAAACTGCAGATTCAGGTGGACGATGTCATCACGATCATCGAAGGCAGGTACGTGTGCACGACCAACACCACAGGATGGGTTTTCTGCTCTCTAGAATGATTTTGATGCAATGTCACACCTCAGAGCCTCTCATGTGTGCCCTGTAAAGAGCAAGCTGCCCAACGTTTTACACTTCAGGAACCAGAAGTGGTCCTGGAATAGTTAAAAGATAAAGGAATCGGGGAAGAATTGTCTCTCCAGGTCTAATTTCAAGTGACTAACCATTTCTTTACGTACGTCAATCTGTGGAATCAGCTCCTAGGAGACCCCATTTACCTTCTCCCCAAGGAGAATAGTCAATAGACTACACTTGGCAGATGACATCCAGTAATAGCTGTGTGTGGAAGCTATGAAGTGTTAAATCAAATATCTTAGCATTTAAGATTTCGTAGAATTGTGGATATTCCTAAATTCAGTCTTCAATTTGGAATCCGGTTCTTTATAAGGGAAACAGTAGAAAAGGTTGAGGCTAAATTTTGATTTTAATTTAAAGAATATATGGTCTTAACACGTTAAGAGTGCATAGAAGTTTCCTCTTCGGGTGAGGACCAGATGGGTTCATTGGTGATGCTTTTGATTTATTAGCTTGACATATGATATCCTGGTAAAGTTATTGGTTATTACATTTTTATTCGCAGTGAGGCTGCTTTCATTCCTGAAATGTTCCTTCATTCCGTGGCTGTTTGTGGCATGTTGCTGTGTGGGAAAATTGGCTGCTATGATTGCCTGCAAAATACATGGTCACTCCACTTTCCAGTTAATCCTTGAATCTCTTGAAGTGAAAGACGCTATATCAAATGCAAGGATTATCTTTATTAGAGAAGGGGACAAATTTACAGAGAAAATATTTGATTTCTGTCTTTCCCCGACTCATATTTTCCTTCCCTCCTGAAGGCACTGACTCATAATGAGATACTTGTACACTGTGGTTTGCTACCTCAATCTTAATCCAAGTTGCCATATGTGAGTGTCCTGGACCATAGGTGGCAACAAGTTATTCAACAGTGGAGTGTATCATAATTGAACTGTCTTTGCGCATTGTCCACACACACACCCTCAATCTAATAGTGATTTGGGAATGGAAATCTTTTCTGATTTATGCTCTACCTCCCTAATTCAGGAGCATGGAACAACTCTAACTGTCCTTACAATTAATTCAGCACAGAATGGAATCTAACCTGCAACCTATTAATCATCATAAAATATTTTGTCTAGCAAAGCAGAATAGAGAATCGGAAGCAGAATTTGCAATGAATATTTCTACTTCTATTAATAAACCATTCAAAGACCATCAGAAAGTTAGTAGGCCAAGATCGGAAAACCATCAAATTGTATCCAAATGTTTTTTACTCTGAACTGCTTGCAAAGCTTGTAGTATCAATTGGGGTCAAGTGTTAGATCTGGAAGTGAATATTGCTCTAACCCAAAACCCCTTCAGTCTAGTTTCCGAAGCAGAATCATTATCGCTGTATTAACACAGTGGATGTTTCAATTGATTCTCCCTTCCTCAAACGTTAAGGTTTAAACAACCCTTAACAACTTTGAAAATCTAACATCTGTTAATCAGAGTTCTAATTATACATGTAATTCATGCCCTCCACCAATACGAGTAGGACCATCAAATACAGCATCCAAATTGAAGCATAAAATCCAAAAATATATCCTTTCACCTTCAATAACTGCTATAATTAAAATATTTTTCCCACTTTGGAAACTTGACCTTGTACTTCTTTTACTGAAAAGTAGAGCACATTAATACAATATGAAAGCAATACAGCATATTAATATAATATATGAGTAGGACAAAACAGAGGAGTGATAAAGCCCGGAGCTCGGCTGCCACAGCTGCCTGCCATCCAGGTAGTGCTAAGATTTTGCTACTTTACTAAGCATTTTTACCTCCCTTCTTGCAGGGCTGAAAATTATTGGTGGAGGGGTCAGAACAAGCGCACGCTGAAGGTGGGACAGTTCCCACGAAACACAGTGACGTCCGTTGCAGGCTTGTCAGCTCATGACATCAGCCATCCACTCAAGAACAGCTTTATTCACACGGGCCATGGAGACACCAAGCCAGAGTGCTGCTGGGGCTTCCCCGACAAAATAGACGAGTACGTAACACCAGCAGTAATCCTTGCATATGCTGCAGTGCCTGATAACTTCGTAAAGCACTGCGAGTTAGTGTGAATTGCTGTGACTGTTATGAAGGCAAACAAGGCAGCTAATTTTCACCAGTCAAACAGCAACAAGATGAAAAACTTTTTTTTTTTCTCGCGTTTTAGTTAATTTGGACGAGAGAGAAATATTGGTCAGTACACAGGGAGAACTCCCTGATCTTTTCAAAATAGCGCCGTGGGATTGGAGGCTAATAACTCCCAAAACTAAACAGAAATCTTAAAACTAGCTGTTATACATTACTGAAGCCCTCTGCTGGCTAGATAGTGGAAAGTCAAGCAACCAAAGTTGTCTATTCTTGGGGAATCCTTTGCCTTCTTAGTTAACATATCTAATAATATAACATATTATCTAAATGTGATCCCTAAATATGCAGCTATCAACAATCTCTCAGAGCCATAGAAACCTTGGGTACAAGAAAATCCCAGCTTCTTCACACAAGTTTCTACAGAGAATAGATTCCTCAGACTCTGACTACCAACCCAACTTAAGTCCTCTGCCATTGCTTAACATGCAGTGTTATCAAAACTTACAGAATTATTGAGGTTGTTAAGGTATGCAGCTACAGTTTCCACAAAACCTGTAATGTACATTTATGCCCTTGAGTATATGTTGGAAATGAGGCTTTAGCACATCCAGTTGTGAAGTGTTTATGAGATTGTTCTCTGTGGACTAGGCTGAGGAATGATTTCCATTTGCTCAATTCTCTGGTATCAGTGTTTTTTTAATATTGAGATTAAAAAATGGTACCATAAAAGTCTATTGGCTTAGTCTGTTGAAGCACCTTAGGGATTTTAAGGAACCATTTTACCTCAGAGCCCAAATCTCCTTTTATCAACTGCATTTATACTGCAGCAACGTGAATTTGTGTGCACTGAAAACAAGGTAATCTCAGCAGCTGGACTCCAGTACAATTTGCTTTCTAATTAGTGTGTGTTGAATGTGATTCATTCTTTGCTTTTTACAACAAAAGTGTGTGTGAATCTTGCTGTATTAAATAAAAGGGAGAGCTTGGAAGTATATGGAAATGAAGACATCTTCAATCATACAGCAAATGGTTATTGGGACCTATGTTTATTTTTATGGTATTTGGTTTATCTTCTCACAGGCTATACCTAGGTAACCCCATGGATCCACCAGATGTGCTTGGACTTGATTTGAAGATGACCAGGCCAACCCAGCTCCCAGGAAGGACAAAAAGTAAGGGAAAATATCCCAGGCTGTGCTGATACTTTCTCTACTTCATTCACCCTGCTTGTGCTGTATTTGCACAGCATATTCACTGCTCCAGAGAACAACACAGTAACAACCCTCTAATGTATGCATGTAACACAGATGCAAATCTAGTTATGTTGAATTTAGTTTTAAGTGGCTACCCCTCGTGTATTGTATTCTGCTAATGCTTTAAAGGTGTTTCTGTGGTTGCTGAGTGTTGGATAAATATCATGGCATAGTTTGATGGAGGTGATGTTTAGAGTGGTGTATTGAGACAGTGTTTAAAAACGTGTGTTTTTTTAAAAGAAGCAACCCAACAGCTTGTAGTTCTGAACGTTAGTACTGTGCGGTCAGAGCAGAAGAGAACATTGCAGAAAAACGCTGCAATGTAAAATATGTTGTCACTATTTTGACACAAGATTCTGCTTGTCATTTTAAGGGTTCCATAATTATATAGTCCGAGTGTGCTGAGGTATCACTGTGCTAATAGATTTGGCTTCTTTTCCTGTTCTGTTTCTTCTTTTCACGTTTGCAGAGGAGCCACCTCCACGCCCCCCTCAGCCGTCTGCCCTCAGCAAGAGTAAGTTGCGGAGCTCGCTCCGATTTAAAAGGTGTTCCTGCCCACTGTGTTCCATTCTAGCCCCTCTTTTCAAAGGTATCTTGTGTTGTCTTGCTGGAGGCATGGATTGCTGTGTGTAATGGGAGGGAATCTGCACAGAAATGAGAGAGCCACTCTGAATAGCTAATACTGTCACTTCCCAGACCACCAGGCTATGACTGTGTATTGGAAACGTAAAGAACCAATTCTCAACTCATCCCTGTAACCCTGGAGATCAGCCATCTTGCTCCCCTTTGCACTGCCTCTAGTTGCTGGGTTGCCTTTTTCAGTTGCAGCAACCAGAAATATAATGTTTCAGCTGCAGCTTAACTGGAACACTGTGCAGCTTGGCATGGCCTTGGGATCTTAACTCGCTGACTTAGTTTGCTAACCTGGCATTTGTTTGCCTCATTTCTTACTGCCTCACAATGCTGGACATGGTGAGGAACAAATCAACTATTTCTTTCATCTTCCTTCTTGGCCAATTCTATCTTGGCCATGGAGTATATGTGCCTCCTACTTTTGCTTTCTTGATGTATCAATATGCTTAGGTTTTGCTGTGCGGATCAGTGTGGATCTATTTTTGAATCCTTTGAATAAACAATACTTACAATTCATTGTTTGAATAATTAGTCCCATGCACATTGTTCAACTTCAACTGAAAAATGATCACAGTTTTTCCAATTGTAATATCAAGTACAAAACAACTTTTGTCTCCTAGACTTGATTTACTAGATGTGAATATTCCCCATTCTAAGCTGTGTTTACAGTCATCTTTCCCCTCCCCTGTTGGCTCCCACCCTTAGCTCGGGTTTCCAGCTGGTGTTGTCAAGCACTTTGAACCGTCATCCTAATGTAAAAGGCGTGTAAACCATAATGTACGCTTTGGGCTTCAATTCTTCTAACTGATTTATAATGAAACCACAGGAATTTTAGACCCGCAAAGCTTAAAAAGTCAGATGTTTATTTACTTCTGTACTGCTGTTAAGGATTTGTTTGCGACACAGTATCACATAGCTTGGTGTGATTTCAATTGTAAGAGATTTCTGTGCAGTTTTCCCTAATTATGATGGTTAACTAACCTGACTCTGAGATGAGCTGCATGTGTTGTGTGTATGTTGCCCATTTGTGATTTTATTTTTAAAATTTCAACACCTTTAGTTTATCACGTACCTTCCTCATTACCATACTCCACCATTTCATTCCACTTCCTTGACTATTTAATTGATTATAACTGAGGACCTGGCAGATGTTTCAAGTGCTGGATGTCTGTCAAGCCACAAAATGAGCGGAGTTCCATTGATGTTATGATGCCATACAGATTTATTCCAAATTTGTATAATTCCAGAAACAGATCACCCAACCCACCAACACCACTCTATAAGCATAGATCCTTCAAAACTTATTCCAAGCAAATAAAGGAATTTTAGTATTTCTTAATAATTGAATGTTGAACATCTAGAATTCCCTATAAATATACTACTTTTATGTACCGAATTTCACCTTTCACATGCTCCAAGTCACACTGAAGGAAAATGTGATGGAAGGTTGTATTTTGCACGTATTAATCGCCTGGGTTATCTGCTCCAAGCAAAGAAATCTGCCTTTATCTGCAGAATGTGGGGACACATTGATTTGGAGGTTCTCAATCATCTGCCAGTTTCAAATGTTCAAGGGACTTGGACATCCGTCCCACTGTTGCAGCATATAATTCAGGTGGTCAGTCTTGATGACACCACAGTGATAGACAATAAATGCACTTTAGTTGATGTATCTGCAGAGTGTGGTCTTTTTGAACATGCAACCAGCTGGATTTGTGATCTGATAACAAATGGCTGCTCTTCAGTAATTTCTTTTCTACATTGTATGATGATTGATCTTTGCAGAATACTGTATTGCACTGTAATGCGAGGCTAGTGTTGAGTTGGAAGACCCATGTCGGAATATAGGTGATAAAATCTTTTTTTTCCAGTTATTAGAATATTATTCAAGAAGTAATTTATTTTTCAGTGGAATGTTACATAATAGGTTCACTGAAGGAGATTAATGAGGAGAGTTTAACCGACTTCAATCATACTACAGTTAAGCTTATTACTGTTGCTTGATAAGCCTTCCCTTGGATCTGTGAATAAAAAATACAATGTGCTTTATATGATTCAAAGCAGAATGGATTGGAGAAATAACTTGCCTCAAATAAACAATCCATCTGCACTTGGTAAAAACTTGGTAAAATCGCAAATCGCACTACTTCAACTTAAAAATCCAAATTCTTCCATGTTTGTATATTTTTTGATCCCGTCAATATCTCTTTCCCCCCTCTCTTGTCACTACAGTGCAGTTCCACCAATATCCATCTAAGAACATGCAGAAGTGACTATTCTTCATTTGTGATTTTATTCTGTGCAACTAGAGGGGCTTCCCAGCTGAATCTTAACACACTTTCTGACGGGGGGCACTGAATAATGTCCAGAACAGGGCTGATTTTTCCGATGTCGACTGAGGTTTATTAAGGAAATTTTAGCACATCTGCCACTGTACCTGGTTATAATCAACTAACTCAACATGGATTGAGCATTGAACCTGGTGTGTATGTCTCTGTTCCTCATTGGGTAGTGCATTTACCAAGGGGAATTTTGATGAAAACCTTTAAGGTGCCATACGCTTTCATTAATTATTAGAGTTTTATGACTGCATAGATGAGAAATGGTAATGGTGACAGGCCGTCAGTCATAAGTCCAACCATTTTGCATTTTCCTTCTCTGTTTAAATCGCAACTCACATCACATTCATGCCTGCAAAGTATATCAAAATGAACTTTGAACAAGTACACACAGTCTAAATGCTAATGGAATATGTTTGGAACGAATGAACGATTGTTTGGTTTGTAAATATTCAAATGACTAATTCTGATCCTGTATGTATTCCAGAGCCCATCTATGACCCTGTGATCGATGAAGAAGTTGTGGCCTCCACGCCTTTAAAAAGACTCAGCCTGAAGAAACCGGGCCCAATGAAGACTTTGAAGGTCAACAAACCTGCTGCCCGTGTTTATGCCACAAAGATGGGTGAGAAGCCTTGTGATGTGAGTAAATTCGCAGGCCACATGATCAATGATGTGGCTCTCATCGACTTTGGAGATGAACTGGCAAGTCAGACTCCATCCCCAGTGTTGGAAACCACTATTCCCACACTAGCCAAGCTTGTATTGGATTCTTATTCCCTGCTGGATAGGACACCACCCCAGAGTCCAACCAGGACCTTACCCAGGCCTCTGTACCCTGTCCCTATAGTTGATTGGGATTCCAAGCCCCTACCTCCACCTCCTGCCTATGATGATGTTGCCCAGGATGAAGAAGATTTTGAAGTCTCCTCTATTACCAGTCCTGATACTGTGTTACTTGGAGAAGTGTCGAAATATGGAACTGTTCATCTGCCAAAAAACAAAGACCCAAAAGAAACAAATCAGGGTTTTGTTCATGACCCAGATGGTATGGGGAAGCTCAAAGTGGAGGATAATTTGTTCCTGCAGCCCAGGCAGGGCAGACAGAGCAACTTCTCCCAGTCTACTGAGATATTTGAGGAGCTTCAACAGGAATGCATGAAGAGACTCAACGTCCCCGTTATTTCATCACCAGCACCTACATCAAGCCCTGTCTCCTTATCAACAAGTGTATCGCCTACCATTTGTGATGATAAACCTCAGATCCCACCACGAATTCCCATCCCCCCTCGGCCACTAAGGAGAAATGAGCTGGGACGATGGTCTGGTGAAATGTCCCCTGCATCTGGAGGTGAGGAGGACAAGCCTCCACAAATTCCTCCTAGGGATCCCTTGTCCCAGCCATCCTCAAGAACTCCAAGTCCCATGGGACTTCCCATCAATTTACCTCAACAGAGGGTAGCTACGTGTTCCGCAGCAATGTTAACTGTAGGCCCCTACCTCTCAACATCTCCCAGCAAGTTGATGCCTACTACCCAGAGCTTTGCCTCTGACCCCAAATATGCTTCGCCCAAGGTAATTCAGGCACAAGGAAAAGACAATAAGGGGCCTTGCATTCTGCCAATTGTGAAAGATGGGAAGAAGGTTAGCAATACCCATTATTATTTGCTTCCAGAGAGACCGTTCTATTTGGATAAATATGAGAAATTTTTTAAAGAAGCTGAGAGCGTTGATGAACTCAGCTTAAAAAAGACTGTATCCACTGCAACAGTGAGGCCTATGGTCCAGCACCCAGAGTACAAAGCCAACTTCTCATCCAACAACAGCAACATGGGACCTAAGATCACAGCTGCAAAATGTCCTCACAGCCTGCAGAGAGCCAGCTTCGAGGGCTTCAGTAACAAGACAGATAATGTTACACCTTCAGACAGAATTAAAATAGTAAGTATTGCGCTTTGAGATGTCCTTCCAGCATAAAAAAAAGTGCTGTGTAAATGTTATCTTTCTGGAAGGGAAATACAAAATATTGTTTATGAGGCCCCCAGACCTTTCTCAATACTGAATCTGGTCCGCAGCAGTTAGACCACCCTGAATTAGGTCATCTTGCAACACCTGACAGAGCAGTTCGTATTGCTCTTGCTCCTGAATCAGAAGATTGCGGATTCAAGCCCAGAGGATACTGCTAACCATTGTAATAATAAAAATAATAACCTTGACGTTTGGAATAGAGCTTTTCACATTGGGAGGATGTGTCCAAAGTGCTTCACAGGAATCACTTCTTGTGACGAACGGAGTGACCATGTTTTGTGGATAAATGAGGGAACCAATCTGCACACAGCACATTGAAATATTCCTACTGTGCCTTGCTTCTGGTCAAGTTTAGTTAATTCAGAATTTACTCAGTCCTGCATTATTTGCCCAGGCACCCGGCCTGGGTGGGGGCAATGAAGGAGGAGAGGAGTTTGTTGGTGGAGAGAATCCAGCACCATAGNTTTTTTAGATTAATCCAGGACACTGGGGAATGTGTAATAATAAATCTGCCACTGAGACATATTTGTGTATTAAGGTGCAGGAGAATGTTCATGGTGTGACAACAGAAGAATGTCAGACTGCACTGCAGAACCACAGCTGGAATGTGCAGAAAGCCATACAGTACCTCAAGGTAATCAGGAGCTTGTGTTCATCACTTAGATTTCGAAGGAAAATGATGCTGTGAGAAGTCTTTGGAGGAATAATTAAATTCTAAAGAATATCTCTTTTAAAAACAATAAAAAAAAGCAATTGCAGTTTGGTAAACAATGCACTCACTTTGAGCGATGGACACCAAACTTTAAGAGTGGTGAGAAGGTGCAATCAGGGATTGAAGTGTGAACAGAGAGGAGTTCAACTACAGATAAATTCTTTATAAATACACAGGAAAAACATTGGGTTTCTTGTTGTCACTGGTACTTTATTAGCAGTACAATTTTGATTGTTACATGTTGAACTGATTTCACCTTGTTGAGCTGCTTCTGATGTTTGCATTGTGGTAAATTCTGACTCAAGCTATTTCTGTAAGCCTTTAAGTGCCTGTGATGTGAACAGATGCATGATTTTATCAGCTAGCAAGTAAAATTATCTTTTATATTTGCATGTCGCAATCAGTGTTGCAATGTAATACCAAGTTATTCAGCTCTGTTCCTGCTCCAACAAGATGTGATCTGTTTGATGACTCCCTTCCTCCTGTTCTTTCTCAGATTGAACAGCTTTTCTGTCTTGGGCTGAAAACGAGAGGGGAGTGTCAGAAGATTCTGGAAATGTTTGACTGGAACCTGGAATTAGCCAGTTCCCATCTGCTAGACATGTACGGCACGTCTCGGCATAGGTACAGAGCACTGGGGTGTGGCCGGCTTGGGGTTCGTTGGTGGGCACTGCATAGGGAGGAGAAGGGAAGGTGAAGAGGTGCCTGTACTCAGGCGGGATATTACACCTTACACTGAAGCTGTTGCACAGAGAGGGGTGGCTGGTGCCTAGAACTTTTCAGGAAACGGAATTGTATGTATGTTTGTCCCAGATCCCCATGAAATTAAGAGATTCAGGCCAACCTTGCGAGAATGTGTGTGTGCATGCGTCCTGTGGTCCTGCACTAACCTGGATGCACTGTACACTCAGCTACCAGCACCAACCACCTCGCTTGACATGTTCAAAAAATACATTTTTGGGTCACAGCTGATTTCACTTCCTGTGTGCTGGGGGTAGGAAGTGTCACTTACACAGGAAGCGGTGCTGACATCACATGGTGAAGGTAGAGATATCAGTGGCGTGCAGGCTTGGAACTTAGCCTTTTTTGCATGTTGTATCTCAGGCTCTGAGATATTTAGACCCGGGGTTTTCTATTTTATCCAGACCTTTACATGGATACTCAATTTGAGATTTCTAAATGTTGTAATATAAAACTGGTGAACCTTTGAGTGTCTGTCTCACAATTTCATAAACTTTTCCTCTTCCCACAGACGATGACCACCTTCTCAGCAGGAGCAGAGCTTGTTATGAACTGGATATTTTTCTCCCCTACCTTAATCTCTACTCAGTGTTTGGGACTTTGCTGGGGCTCTCTGCCTATTTTGTGTGGACAGAATTTCTGGAATATTTCCTTGAAGCAAAGATCGTATTAATGTAGCTCTTACCAGTATCTTGCCATACTACATCCAACTTATTAACTGTTACTGAAAGATTAGAGGTCATCTTCTGAAATAACAGTATTCAAAAGCAACAGAGTAGTTATTTTATTGGTGAAAATATTTGTACTTTCGTGGCATGCTGTAACTCGCCAGCCTGCTGTTTTTTTATATATATATATAAATATATAATATATAATATAAATTTTATTTGAGGAATCTCAGCAGTAGATTTGCAGTTTACTTGTGTTTTATATTTTGCATTGGATTTGCTATTTTGGGTGTTGTAATAATTTTTATTTAATTTTGTTTTTCCTCCTCCACAAGACTGTTTCCATTAAGTTTCTGGATTTGACGCTGAGGTAAAATTACTATATTTTGCTCAGTCAAAAGCTACAGACTTCCAAAAATGTATTGGTGGCGGTTTGTTAAAAGAGATCAGTCATGCCAAATGTATCTGTTTTTCCTTCCCTTACTCTACTGGGTTAGGATCTCCACTGTCTCTCCAGACACCCTTGCTGCTATCTGACCAGACGTGTAAATTATTTAAATGGGTTTAAGAGCAAACATGAACGTATCCACAATTGGACCATGGTTTCCTTATTCACAGTTGTAAGATTCCAAACTTTCTAATTTAAGATCACATTTTGAGTCCTGGAGCTCCCCAGTGGAGTCCTGGAGCTCAGTGGTTAGGGCACTCGCCTGGCAAGCGCGAGACCTGGGTTGGATTCCTGGAAAGATGATACCTTGGGCAAGCTTCCTTACTCCACATGCAAGCTTCCTCACTTCCTTACCTAGCAGTAAGCAGGCACCCAGTTCCTAGACAATTGGCTTTTCCAGGGGTAATGATTGCTTAAAAAAAAATTGGTCACTTCAATCCAAGACTGTTTGTGGGACGCTGCTGTGTGCAGTTGGCTGCCGCGTTTCGCCCACAAAATATACAGTCAATTTTCAGTATATTCTGTGAAGCGCTTTGAGACGTCTCAAATACGTAATAAGGCGCTATATCAAATGCAAGGATTATTATTTTATGTATTGGATGCTTATCCCCTTGTCTTTGTTGTAGTGAATTTTAATCGTTCTCCACTAGGTGGCGTGCACGTCTTTCCTAATTGTACATCAATCAGTGACGATGCAGGTATTGGGCTTTTTGGTGTTGACTGAGCAGGGAGATCTGTGGCTTTGATTAACGTGCTGGTTAACGTGTTGTGAATCAGCAAAGAACCTACGGGAAGAAAAGCCTAACAAGGTGAAGGTGTCAGCAGTGCAGTCGATTATTAATGTACCGGCTCTCCACTTCTAGCATCAGTTTCAATAATAATAACTTGCATTTAAATGGATGCAGCTGCTATCATATAAAAACAAACATCTCAAAGCACTTCGTAAAATATAATATTGTAGGTTGGGAGTTTAAGATTCACGTCAGGATTTTGAGTTCGTAATTAGACTGATACTCCAATGGAGTGCTGGGGAAGCGCTTCCTGTCAGAGCTGTCGTCCTTGGGATGAGATGTTAAAACAAAGTCCCATCTACTGATTGGGTGCTGGTAAATATTTGTGGCCCAAATCGAAAAGAGAAGAGCCAAAAATAATGCTGGTAAAATTGGTCAATCACTTCATGGCTGTTTGTAGGACACAGCTGTGCTTAATTTGGCTGTCGCATTCATCTGCAAATATAGTGGCTACATTTTACAGAAACTTTATTGAAATACTTCTAGATATTTCAGTGTTAGAGGTGCTATATGAAATGCCAGTATTATAATTAGACATAAAGTGAATGCGATCCCTGTGTGGTCCAAAGCAGCCAATACAATGAGATATAGTGCTGCTATATACTAGTCCCGTTTGGTTAGTGTAATGTACTGATCCTATGTGGCTAGCATTGCATGTCATTTTGGTGTGGCTCGCATTCAATACTGATCTTATGTGGTTAATGTTGAACATAAATTCATGGCGGCTTACTTTTGTATGATTCCCACACCTTGCATGTCCTGCGAAACTGAATCCTGTGTGTATATGTGTGTGTGTGCGCGAGAGAGATGTTTATTTTTCATTTTGCTTCAAAGAAGCTGGGGGTTTGTTTGGTTGTTACCTTTGCATTTGTTGTATTTGCTTGGATTTCAACATTGTCGAAACACTACATTTTGGAAAAAATGATAGTGTTATCTCAGGGCTGGTTGGATCCTTGCAGAAAGAAACCCAAATAGATGTTTCTCGTGTAGACTGAGAAAATCCCCTGTGTAATATAACGCTCGTCTAACGTTTTGATCTAAATTTATTGGAAGTGTTTTGTACATTCGATATGTGCATTTCTATTAGTGATCGCCTTGTTCTGAATAGCTTCTCTACAGAATTAATGCCTGTCATTAACATGAGGGCATTAGTATGTTGCTGCTAGGCTTTCTCCATTTCCCTTACTCCTTGTTTAGCTATCTACATATTCCGAGAGGACATTTCTGGGTAAGAAGAGTGCAATCGGTCAATCGCAGGCTCTCTAGTGATTTACCAATCCTAGTAAACCTGCATAGATACCTATAACACTGACAATGGCATATGGGCTATTACTGGTAAATTTATTTCCACCACCCTCCAAATCCCTTCATCTTACTGCAGATGCTTATTTGTTTTCCCTCCAGCACCACCTGAGAGGCTGATAATCATAGGTGAGCACAAACCATGAAGGTTGACAGACAAAATAATCATTGGGTGTCATCACAGCTACGCTTGAGCTTGATAGGTTCACACGACCAATTTCAAACAGAAATTACAACCTAGGAGTCAGAAGCAGGACATGGATCAGAAACTCCTGCTGATTTTTGATGCTCCCTCATGCAGATTACAGAGGAAGCTGCAGCTGAAATGAGATTGAACCTGAGACCTTCTTGGTCTATGTGGCTCAGTCAGTACCCACCACATATTACATTTACCAACTGAGGCCATGAGTAGAACTTTCTCGTTACTACTATTCCATTGCAGCTTTCCTTCTGGAATTCCAAGTATAAACATTGGCTCAGAACTGGTGATAACATCCTAAAAGGGAAAGTATCACAGTACAAGGTTGAATGAAATACTCCCTCCCTTCCCCAAATTACATTGATACAGATGTGTCTCGATCGCTTATAATACACAATATAATTGTATTATCTCAAAGACTGATCTGGAAAAGGAATGGTGGCAGTTTTCATCAGAATTTAAGATTAATTCTGTCTTTGGAAGAGTAACTCCTTTTCTCTCTGTACATTGCACAGGTATAATGAGCTCACCAGATACAATTACAGTAAGGATTACAAGTGTGTTGCTCAGGGTGTATATTGAGACTTACTGTAAAATGCATTGTGAGGAGAGTAAGGGAGTGATCTTAATACATAATGACTCTGCAAGGAAAAAGACACCATTCCCTGTGCATCAGTATGAGGGCAGCTCACACTTGTATTATACAGAAACATGAACTGCATGTGTAAAGCATTGTATAAATTGTCTTTTATTAATAAAAAACATGTTTATTTCTGAAACAAAACTACTTAGCTGTTCATTGTTAATTGTTGGATATTTCACTAATTTCTGGCCTAGTGTAGATCTGTTTATTTCCATGTCTTGTTTGCACTTGTTTGCCATCTGCACCAGAGCAGTAACTGATCAATTGTATCTCCCTATTGCCTTGAAGAGAGATACCCCTGAACTTGCCCTTGTTCTTTATTCTCTTCAGTGTTTGCTATATTACTACCCAATGATCTGTGGGATAGATTTTAATATTTATATATTATATATTATTATATATATTTATATATTATTTGCCGCGTTCGCCCACAAATATACAGTCAGTTCACTTTACAGTGTGTTCTGTGAAGCGCTTTGGGATGTCCTCCCGACGTGAAAAGCGCTATATCAAATGCAAGGATTATTATTATTATTTTAAGAATTTTGGAATAAGAAAGTGTTTGATAATACAGCCCCATTAGACAACCTTTTCGTATTGGATATCCACCTGGACCAGAGATGTACCAAGTTGCATGACTCAATGATTTACGTGATCATATTATAAATGCAGTCACTCTTTTCAATCAAGATCAATTTGTTGATGTGTCACAAGCTTAATATGGTGAGACTGCTTTGCTATCGTGGTTGCCTAGCCCAGCTTGAATCAACAGAACCATTTGGGGAACATTGAGTAATTACTTGTTTCATAATCGAAAAGTCAAAATTGCAATGAGCTATTTGACATTTTAACTGGCCACTTCAACATTCTGCTATTGTTTTAATATTTAAGCTGAGTGCTTCCCAGGCACATCTTTGTGGTTCGAATGTCAAGAATCAGTAAGTGTAAACAATTTTTTTAATAGTCGCTGTCATAAAATCTGAGATCTGATCAGTTGGTACTTCTTATTTCTGTACTACAGTAGAGCTACCATTTTGTTCGAAAGGGTCAATCAAAACAAGATTATAGAATTGGACACCTGAGTTACCAGGGGTATTTAGTCCAGAAAAATGTTTAAGGGGGTCATCTTCTTGATTTTTTTTGGGTCCTAAAGGACACAAATAAAGTGGACTCCAATAACATATTTGATATAATCAAGACGTCAGCTTGTGATGTCAGACATCACAGTTGCATTCTCACCTCTGAACTTGAAGGTTGTGGCTTCAAGCCCCATATCTAGGAAACTGCATTTTCTGTGGTACAGTCCTTTTGATATGAGATGTTCAGGTGGTAGTTTGCAATGTTACTATTCAAAAAGAGAAAATATAGTTTCTCCTCTTTTGGCTGTTAGTAGGAATTTCCTGCGACAAACCACTCTTGTCTCTCGGTCAAATAGTTGTAGGCTGAGTGCATCTGACTGATTGTTTGATTCGGCCCCGAGTGATTACTGATGAGCTTATTTGCATATTGCTGCGCTGGTGGAATTAGAATGTGGTACTGTAAATTTCATGCTGAACACGTGTGGCTGTGATGGCCATAGATGGGTTTTTCACTTTGCTGACGTTTTCCTTGTGCTATTAACTATTTAAAGTGTCAAAATACTGTGAAATTCACATCAGCCAAGAGGTCTTCGGATTTAAAACCATGGTTTACACATTTTGTGTCATTTTTTCCATGCATGGAAGTTCGTCAATCTAAATTTGTTCGCCTACAAAATACACAGCGACTGCACTCATTCTGTGAAGCCTTTTGAAATGCTGTATACCAAATGAAAGGATTAATTTTATTATTGGTTAATAATTTAGTAGATACAAATATAATTTATTGATTCCTTTATTTAAATGCTTCTGTTAAAGTATAGAATTTTTAAAAAATAAACTGCTTTGAAACACAATATAATTACCTCCTCTATAACTTTCATCAAAACAAAGTCCTGTTCTTCTTACCCAACCAAAACCGCCAACTGCATTTGTTGCAAGCTTAAAATTCAGACACCGATACAAGAACGTAACTACATATCCATACAGCTAATGTAAACATCAGAAAATTGATATTAAGTAGATTTCTTTAAATCTTATTTCATGGTTATTGTAAACATTTTTGTTAATGTATATTCATGAATTGTTACAATTATATAATCTGATAACATATTGATGACAAGTGTGCTTCATAGTAAATTGGCTGTAATTGCAAGAGCAGATGCCTGTTTTTTAATTCGCAGGACACCTTTAAGGAATTTGTTAATTCTCATTCTTTCTAACAAGTATTATGAATTGATTTGAATATAATGTGATTAAATTATAGGCTAAGCAATTGAAGACAATTACAATGAGCTTTGATGTCTGCAATTTTTACTTCTATTAACTCTTAAGTCTGTTCCGTTTCAGCATATTTCAATCCAGGAGAAACATTAAATCCTGTTGTGTTATGGATTTATTGTCCTGAGTCAGCATCATTCTTGTTGAGTGATGGCCTTTGAATGGATATCTAGAAGAGAAGGATGTAGCATCAGGTATGGCAGACACCGTATTTAAGAAATGAAATGTCTATCAGCAGGTGGTTGGATAGGAGAAGGAAGATGCAGCATCAAGCCTAAAGTTTTCTATGCTTTTGATGTAAACATAATTTAATTAATAAAACATAAAGCTGGATTGATTAAATGTTCCATAAGTACCATATCATTTGATGCACAAATAGGATATTGTGTGGCTAAGGCATCAAACAGCCAGCAACAATAAAACTTACAATTTAATTAAGTAATAAACTGGGTACGGCCATCATTTATACACAGAAATGAAACTAACATAGATAGCATTTATAGACAGGGGCATAATTACCTCCTCTCTGTGCGTTTAAGCAGAAATACTACACTTGATGGAATTTCTTTCCCCAAGTTAGTCTCTTATGGTGAACATTCTGTTTGGAAGCTGCTGCCTAAATAAATCCAGTTGGTGGCATTATGGCTTACTCACCAACCCACTACCAGTTGCCTCTGCTTGACTGTCTCCAGCCTCCTGCTTGTCCCTTATGCCCTCTGTTCCATCATCGGTTTCAGCCATTACAATCCCTTTGCCTTGCAGGCCTCCCCCATCTTCAGTTTGTGCCTGAAGAACTTCCTCTTTGACCGTATTTACGGTCACCTCCCCCTGGCTTGGAGTTGTGCTCCACCACCGTCAAGCTCTCTGGGTCGCTATTGTGTGTGAGGAGGACTTTATAAATGCAAGTTGTTGTTGTAGAAGATAATCACAAGCTGATGGGGACTTCATTTTGAGATAGTTACATAAATGCTTTATAGATTTTTTTTCCTTAATTCTCTTCCTAATCATAATATACTGAAGCACATTGTTGCCAAGCTACACAACTCCCAAAGGTTCTTGAAACCATACTGAATATTTCTCGTTAAAAACTATACACAATACAGTACTAAAAAAGAAGATTGTTTTATACCTTTGCTAGGTTGACACTGCTGAGATGTGGCTTCCAACTCACTGAAGACAAATTCTTAGGGTTTGCAGAAGGCAAAATAGAAGTTGATTCCATTTTGGAAGTCACTGAAACAAACAGTAAGTAAATTACCACCGATACAAGAGATAGCTAATACATTAGATATGCTTTTAACACAGAGGTGAAAATTAGAGCTCAGGTACAAATACAGTTACTTTGCACCATTGTTTTAAAACTGACAAATACATCAATTAATAATTTTTTAAGTGTCCGCACTTTATACACGAGCTACATTGCATTAAAAAGTGTATAAATGTTCAAGAAATTCAAGTCATTACAACGTTGATGAATCATAGGTTAACATATTGTGATGCCCATTCAATCTGGAGACTTGGAACTATAACCACAAACATTTGGCAACCAAAAGCTCTTCCCTCCAATATATTGATTAATCCAAACATTTATAATTCTTTGAATAAAGAATTTTCTTTTATGTTCCAAATCTACTACGGACTAATTTCTATTTGTACCCTCTGGTCTGAAGAATATTGGCTGTACTTACGGTGCCATGCGTTCTTTTGCCAAGAGAATGTTGTATTCCCTGCGCTCCCAGTACTGTTAGAAAAAAAATAAACAAGACAACAAGAAGATTACATTTGTACAGCAAAGCTCATCAGAGAGTTTCTTGCAACTATTACAAAGCGTAAAACTTAGTTAGTCCCTTTTTGCTTTCTTCAGAGTATTCTACTGCTTTTTGGAGTTGCCCATCTCCTTAACTGATATCTGCCAGCGACTTAGGAAATCCTGACTTGAAAGGCGCTATACAAATGTAATTTGTTGTTGCTTCTGTTGAAATTTGTGAGCCACATGATTACATTCGGAATTTGACCGAGGGCTAATTTGAAGAATGTTTAACACATTTGCCATTTCCTACTTCTCTTTAGTATTGCTTTCACAATTAATTCTTAATGGACAAATTTGGATGCCATCTACTTTTAATGTAGCTAAAACATTCCTCGAGTTTCTTTTATCCTTTCGATTCATTGTAAAGTTGAAATTTTTGGTGATTTACTTCTCTCCTAATCAACAACTTTCACTTTTCCACACAATATGAGAATTTGGAGCAGTTTCAGTAATAATTTAGACAGACTGGCTGTGAACCCAGTTCATGGTGTAATATTCTGGATTGCGCATTTAGGCAAGTAGTTACATGCTAATTTTTTATATGTATTGTAATTTTGCATGAATCTTAAAATATGAAATTAGGAATAATCTGTATATTCTTTGCATTAGTATGTGATGTAGCATACCTGCTTGTGTCATTGATGAGTTGCTGCCGTTTAGATGTTTTGCATTTCCATACGATAAGAAATATTGCTAATAATAGCAGGAGCAGGAAGGCAAGAGCTCCAAAGAGAATACCAAAAAATGCTCTGAGATTCATGGATAAGTGCTCGCAGCGATCACCAAAAGTGGAATATATGGTTCGTGGAATACAACTGCAAATGAATACAGATAGCATTTAGGACTTTCACATAATTGTATCTTGTAAGTTATTCTGTGTTTCATTCTACACTAGAGAATTATAAAATGTTTAACAATCCAGAAAGAGCTGAATCCACAATTTATTAAGGTTGACAATAAGACTGTTGATTCACTAAAATATTCAAATGAATGTGTTTCGTACATGCACTGTGGCCCTGTGGGCAGATGTTGGCACTTTGCTTCATTCAGACAATGGTCCATGTCGCAGGGAGATCTACAAACCACTCCGTCTTGTTCATCCCACTGAACCACATAGCCAGCAAATACAGTGTTGTTGCAGCTGAAGTGACTCAACAATTCATACTGCAATACTGCAAGAAAAAAGATGGAAGGTGCATTGTAATCAAACTATCACAAGGTTAGAGTGTACAGGTGATTTTCTAATATTGGGTTCAAACCTTACCCTTTTTTACATCCTGAATATCATCTCTGTTTACAGTTTCAAAATCAACAGTCTCATCCTGCAATGAGCGCCGTGACCGTTGTTTATTAAAGGCTTTTATAATCTCGTTGATTAATTCATCATTCAGGAAATCGATGATTGTCTTGTTTCCGTTATAATTAAATGATGATGCCACAGCAGTAGCTATTCTCCCACTCAATGCCCTGTTAATGCAAAGTAAAACGTTAGTTATGTTAGCTCTTTATATGAATAATTTATTACACGCAGGTCAAAATTATTTCAATTCCCGAGTCATATAAATGCAAGTTGTATAGCAGCGAACAAGAAAGGTATCTGTGGTATTATTTCAGCTATGAGAAAAGGTTGAGAACATTTAATACATAAGTTTTTAAGATATGAAAGGTTTTTGCAAAGTTTGAGGTAAATGGTTCACTGCAGCAAAAGTTTCAATATCAAGTATTTGTTACAAATTAGGAAGATTGAAGTGAAAAGGAAGTTATTATCAGACTTATGGTATGTTATCAGCAAAGGTCACTGAAACGCACTGAAACCTGGTTTCAGGAGACAATTAGATACATTTCTGCATACAATGTGCTATGGGATACGGTGATAAAACAGGTGGGAGTTGAGAATCAAAAGGGATGAACTTGTTAACCCTAATGGCCTTTTCTTTAAAGTTCTTATATCGCTTGAACACCATTTGTGCGGATTATTTTCCCCCCCGACCTGTTGGCTTAATTTAAACACTTAGGAAATTATTCTAAAAATCTTGTTTAGTTGATCTATTGTATGGGTTTAAAATAAACAACACTTTTAACAATTAAATCCTAAAATGTACCAACCAGAATACGGGCTCCATGTTGCTATCAAACCTTGGTATGTTGGACATAATTTTAAGGACCTAAGAAATAAAGAAAATAAAAATTATTTCTCCAATGGAAATACCTAAAGCACAATGACTGTCCTGCAGAAGTTATAGTTGATTGTGTCTGTTCATCTGACACATCTAAATCCTGGTGAGGTGCTGAAACCCATTATATAGGACACAAAGGATGTTAACCTTGAAGGGTGAAGAATTGACTGAGCGCATCAGAACCTTCTTGTGCTGAAAAACCTGAGATTTCACAATACTGAAAAATGCTGTGACCTCCCTCATTTTCGTTGTTTTCTACAGCCAACAGGTATTGTGTCACCCAAACCACAACCTTTTGATTTATTGTGTCTTATTTCTTACTTTTTTGACCTTGCAACAATTATAATGCCAGTACTGGCATTGTATTTACACTTAACTGGAAATTGTGGCTCACCAGACTGGATCCCCCCACCCCCACATAGTCTGGCTAACTCAGGTTTGGTGCAGTACTTGACGGGCAGACAGGAGCTGCTTGCATTTCTCATGCTTCAAGCCTGTCCAATGAAGAGAGAGGCGTTTGAATTGAGGCTAAAACTCAAAACTCTCAGTCCATAGGGTTGGGATTAAAACACTGTTTTTAGAAACTTGTCACAATTCAGTCCCCAATGTAAAATTCACATTAGTTAGGGCAGTAACATTTAATATGACTTACGCAAAGTCCGAATTGCAGGCAAACTGTGGAATTCGATTAAAATCAGATTTAATCAATAATCTACACTGCATGGGTAATTCAATGCAACTAGTAAGTCGCATGAGGTGATACGTTCACCAGTTCCCGCAATTCAATGCGTCTTGAACCTTCGCCGCATTCACACTTACCGGCAAGCATTGGAATCGCATTGAATCGTGAGAAATGGAAGTTTTTCTACCCATGCGTTGACGGATCAAAACTACATTTCCCGCGATTCAATGCAGCCAGCCAGTAAGTGCGCATGCAACAATGGGGCAGGATGTAATTTCCTGCAATTCAATACAGTCAGTAAGTGTGGGGTTGGGGTGTTATGAGTTAGGAAGTGATTATACGAGTAGTGCAAAGAAATCTTAAGCAGTTTTGATAGGAAACTGAATTGGAATCGGGTGAATGTACGACTTAACGATTATGATTTATAAAAAGTTTTGTTTGAGTTTTACTGTATTAGAGAACAGTACATGTAAATTGGCTTCAGTCATTGCATGTGGATGTGTGAATCATGGAAATACATGTTAAAGAAACAGCAGCAATTGGCTCTGTACCTTTTCTCTGGTGAGTTTGTTCATCAAGTCTGCGCTACTTTGGTTACTTAGAATGCTTGAATTGAAGTTGATCAGTCTTAATGTTATATTCACACGTCTCTGTGGAATCGCTGAGAATAAAATGTAATAGGATCAGTACAGGACCATTTGAGTCGATCAGTTGTTGTAGATCTGAAATCCACTTTTTCATCATATCTCTCAATCCCCTTCTTAAATGTATTTCAACTGCCACCATTCTCCATTTATTACTTGCCAATATTAATATTTTGTCCCCATAACTATAATTTCTTCTGCCAATGTATTTGTTGACCAAATTGTTTAGATTTTTGTTACAATCTACAGGCTTTTAAAGTCTCAGCTTGGTTTTGAAGAAACTGCTGAGTTATCTGGTTATTCTTCTCTAGTGAATCTCGTTGGTTTGCAGGCTAGAATCTGATGATTAACCTGGGTTCCAAATTCAAAAACAAACCTGTTTTTAAAGAAATCAGAAGCTGTGGAAACTTACTCGACAGAGGTTCTGCCATGAACTGCGAGGTTGGAAGGCTGCAACGATCTCCTTGGTACTGAGGTGGACATTCACAGGAAGGTGAGCAGGCATTGGTAGGCTCAGGAATACAGGTTACTCCATTGTCGCAGTAGGAGGCCGGACATGGAGAAGAATCACAGAGTATTGCAGCACACGTTGTACCATTTCCTGAAGCGGTAATTGAAAGTATTAGGTGTTAAAGTACCAAAGTTCTGACTTCTACAAATTCTGATGCATCTTTTAATCTAATTGAGACTTATTTCAATGTCGCTTAAATTTAAATTGTTAGATTACATTTATATTCCAAATTATTTATGCCTATGTATTTGAATGTTTTCCAATTGTCTGAGGAAACATTCAAATACATAAGTCTGGTATTTGAATGACATATCTGTGTTTTTGGCATGTGTCTGTTGACAAAAAACAAATACATTTGTCTGGTCTGTTGCATCCATTTGAGAGCATTTCCTCAGTTATTGTATCAGATTGCAAGAACATCCTGACTCTCTTTACCATTCTATAAAGAACTGGACACTATTCAACAGCAACTTTCATTTGATATTGTGCCCTTCACGTAGGAGCGCTTCACAATAGTTAGATTAAATACCAAGCAAGAGAGGAGGGGGAGGTGACAATAGGCGCAGTTGAAAAGGTAAGTATTCCTCTTAACATAACAACAACAACAAAATTACATTTGTATAGAGCCTTTCATGTTGGGAGGACGTCCCAAGGCATTGGACAATCAGTGTTTCGGATCTGAGCATTCTGTGTCACTGCAAGAGGAAACCCTGAATGATTTCCCCCTCCATACACCAGTGGTACTGAATCTAACTGTAAAGTGAATTGACTGTATATTTGTGGGCGAAACGTGGCAGCCAATTGCACACAGCAGTGTCCCACAAACAGTCGTGCATTGAAAATGATCAATTTATTATCTTTTGTTTTGGAGGGATTATTTTTGTTCCATTGCCTAGAATTATGTGGGAACCAGGGATCAGGGTTTAATTTAGCACAGTGTGGAAGTCAGAAATAACTCTTTGAACATTGGGGAAAGGCACTTTTCACAATCACCAAAATGATCCAGGTGATCTGATACCATGCTCTGTGAAGACAAAAGGATCTTCTAAATGTTCGAGCAACATATGTAGATCCTCACATTACCTCCCGTCCAAACTGACATTGTTATTGCAAAGGCTCCATTTTTCATTCCTGGTCTGTGCTGAGTTATACGAGTTGTTATAATTGATCTGATTTATATGATATATGAAGAATGAAATGATTACGTGACACTGAATCTGATGGCAACATGGCCCACAGAATTAGTGGAGCAGGCTTTAGGGAATGTTTATTGATTACCTGAAAATCCTGCATGACAGGAACAATTGTAGCTTCTTATAAGGTTGGTGCACGTTGCGTTCTGGGAGCATGGATTCATGTCATTGCATTCATCTATATCTGTTGGGAAATTTGAATGATGAAAAAATATACATTAGTATGTATTTCCAGCTGTCATGTAATGTGAGTGCACAGAATGCTTTCAGTCTAGTGTAGCCCACTATGTGGCTCTTTACATAATCCACTGCAAAATGGGGGTCAGTTTCCATGTTAGCATTCTCCAAAGACGATTCTATTCCCAATTCCAGCTGTGTTCTTGTTCTGACCCAACTGCCTGTTCCCGAAGTGCTGGATAAGAATAACTTCCTTAATATAAACACTATTTCGCTGCCAGAGCTGTGATTGCAGCAAACAATAACCTCACATTTAAGAAGAAACTTGATGCATACACCGGGAAGAGAGTGGATTAGGAGTGGTGGAGACACCATATGGACCATAAACACTGGCAGGTATTAGTTGGGCCAAATGGCTTGCTTAATGCCATATCATTGTTTATAATTCTGTGTAATATTAGTTGCAACTACAGTTTTTTTTCAATGTTGTCTCACCTTCCTTTCATTTGTCATGTATGAAATGCACCATACAAGTGAAAATTGGTGTTACAAACTTTGTAGATTGCTTGAAATTAAAAGGTGATTACCTGTGCACTGTTCACCGTTCCCACTCAATCCCGCTGGACAGGGACCACATCCAGAGGAGTCATTGCAGTTTGCCCCAGGGAAGCAGTTGATAATCTGACACTCATTTGTTTCAGTCTGACACTCACTGCCACTGAATCCAGTTTGACATCTACAGCTAGCTTTCTGCAGGAGAGGAAGGAGTTAAAATGCATGTATAAGAACTCCTTTGAGTTATTTATGTGCTTTTTTTTGTATTCCATATTGACAGGCCGACTCATTTGGAAGCACATTTGAGTTAGGTTCAGAAGGTTGTGAGTTCAGGATATTGATTAGTAAGTCTACTAAATTCAACAAGAGACGAGAGACTTAGTGGCACTACGCTGGCACTTCAGTGCAGTGCTGGGAGTATGCTGCATTGTCGAGGTGCCAAATTTCAGGTGCGATGTTAAACCTGATCCCGTCTCACTGTTCAGGTTAAAGATCCTATGGCACTGTTTGAAAAGGGCCCTTGAGACGTCCTCCCGACGTTAGAGAGTTTCTCCTAGTGACCTGACCAACAATCCCCCAGATAAAACTGGTCATTTACTTAACAACTGTTTTCTCGACATAATCATGAGCTTGACAGTGAAGCACTTTAAGATGGCCTTGTGATGTGAAAGCCGCTATATCAAATACCAGGATTATTATTTATTATTTAGAGCCTCTTCAATGAGATATGACTCATTGATGGTGGAGCCTCAGGTGGTTTTTAGTCTGCAGGTGGATTCCATCTCATAACAGCAACTCGAAACCTTGTGTAGGAGCTTGTATAGGAGCTGATTTTCGTTTTCGCATTGTCTGGGGAAAGTTGTATTGGTTAGCTATGATAATAATAGTAATCCTTGCATTTGATATAGCACCTTATGACATTGAGATGTCTCAAAGCGCTTCACAGTATGTATTTTAAAGCGCACGACTGTGCAGTTTGTGGGCGTACAGGGCAGCCAATTTGTGCATAGCAATGTTGAATGCATCAATGAGCTCTCCAGACAACTTGAATTCACAGCCCACCCCAGCCAGATAAATGACACTGCCAACAAGAAGTTAGATGTACTTTTGGAAGAGCCTGTAAGGTACATGTCAAGGCAACTTGCAGCTCCTGAAGGGCACCTATTTTGGGCTGAAATCCACAATTATCTTATCCAGAAGCAACACTCCTGCAATTGAGAGACTGACAATATTAATGCTGAGATAAGCCCGCTCCCCCTCTAATAATTTTATTTCATTCCCTGGACAGAAAAGACAGAGAGGATCCAGCACTGCTGTCCTACTCTGGCAATATGTTACAACTGAACAAGCCATGAAAATAGGACCAGAAAAAATGGAACAGAAGGTTTGCCAGGTGGGGGCTATGGATGAAAGGGACTTGGGCCTCAAATGTATTATGAATTACTCATGTGTCCGTTGCTTTAAAAATTACATGACACTTCAAAAAAGAATGTAGTTTCTTCTGAGTATACAAACCAGAATAATTCCAGATTAATTGGTTGTTCTCATGGCTGTTTGTGTAATAGTCATTACACTTTTCAGAAATTATTGGTGAAGCACTTTGAGGTGTTTCAAAACCAGAGTCCTGTAGCTCAGTGGTTAGAGCACTCGCTTTGCAAGCGAGAGACCTGGGTTCGATTCCTGGCAGGGTGAAACCTTGGGCAAGTTTCCTTACTCCACATGCCTGATAATCCCTCAAAAAACACAATAATAAATTGGTCATTTAAATCCACGACTATTTGTGGGACACTGCTGTGCGCAATTGGCTGCTGCATTTCACCCACAAATATACAGTCAATTCACTTTACAATCTATTCTGTGAAGCGCTTTGAGACATCTAGAAGATGTGAAAAGTGCTATATCAAATGCAAGGATTATTATTATGATATAAGGAGCTATAAAACTGCAAGTTCTTTCTCGAGAACACTGCGATGTTCAACGTTGGTACTACAAGAGTAAATTGTCCTTATCATCCATAGTCATTGATGCTCAATTATTTCATGCCAATATTGGCACTTTTGAAGGACCTTCAGCAATGTTTGTTAGACGGATCAATTATAACCAAATATTTTTCAGTCACAAACTGACTAAAGTATTCGAATTATACTCACGTAAACAGAGGATCCATTGATTCGCAAAGTTTCATTGAAGTTGCACTCCCCGTTATTATTGCAGTTACAAAGCACGAGTCTGGGATGAACAACTGAAGATGCATTATTGGATCCAGTTGCTTCAATTTCTAAGAAAAATCCATCTGTGCTTCTTGGAATCCAAGTTAAAGTTCCGTTCGCTGTTGAATTCAAAACAAAGTTGGAGGAGATGGAAGGTATTTTGAATAAATCTTTCTATATGGATATTTTGAATATAAATTATTCTCCAAGCCCATGGCATCTTTTCAATCTGATTTACGGCTTTACCTTTTCACTTTCTTTTCAGAAATTCTATTAGTTGAGGTGTGTACTCATTAAGTTGATGCTGGGACCAGGTTAAGTATAGTGCTCAATGCATACATTACTGCCAGGCTTGCAATTTCCGGTCTTGAACAATTTATTCTGGGTTTCAGGAGAGTTAAGTGTATTGGTATATTTACTTTCTCTAAGGGGCCTCTAATAGTGCTGGGGGAAAAGATCATCTAAATGCCAGATTTATCTCAATTCATCAATATTCCCAGCTACTCTGATGCCTGGTTTTTGAATAATGAAAATATCACATTGGTACAGAGGAGGAGGCAATTTTCTGGGGTTATCAAAAAACATTTATTTTTGAGAGAGTAGAGAGAACTTTACTCTGCATCTGGACACCATCTCACTGACCTGGAAGCGTTGATGCAACAACAGCCAGGGGACTTTTTTTTAGGTTGTCTTCAATGAAAATATCACTCCATATATCAAGCAAATGGTTTTACAATGAATGCTGTAATTTATATCAGTACCTGTTAGATTCAAATCTTGGGAGATTATAGCTGTAAATGTTCCTTCTGTTGCTGTGAAGTAGGAAGTTATTTTCTGCAGCAACACCCCCCGAATAACCTGGTTTCCTTCAATAAATGGTGGGAAAGAGCCTTAAAAAGAAAAGAGAATTTGGTGAATGATAACATTTGGTGTGTGTGTGTGTGTTTGCGCTCCCAAGGATTCTTCTCACTCAGCTCAAAATAGAAATAGAACTTTTGTAATTATAAGCTGTAATAGGTATTTATTTTAGAATTGATGGTTGATGCAATACTGATATTTGAGTAGAGTTATTAGTAATATCACTACTTTTTTCAGTGTCAAAATAAATATTAACCTGCTTGGAACTGCTGTAAGTCTAAGGGCGAAAATTTACATACATCTATAAATAGCAAGCTTATTTTAAGTAGGTCATCCTCCTACCCCTACCCTCCAGTCCTCCTGATCCCCAGCTCGGATACACATCCTTGACAGTCCTGTACATTAGGACATCCTCCTGATGTGAAATGCGCGATACAAATGTAATTTGTGGTGGTTGCTGTTGTGCAGCCACAAATGCTTACGTAGTGTACTATTCTGTATGGCAAATGCTGAGATTTGTGATGCTGTGGCCAACCCAATTTCTTCATTCCCTGTGGTTAATGAGTCAAAAATACACTGTGTGTTATTTTTGCACACGATGGCAATTGCTCCAAAGTTCGCAAACTTTCTGATGTCCTCCATAAAGACTGGTCGAAATGAGTCATTATGAGACGTGCTTAATCCAGTGGCTGTAAAAAGGGATCTGTCAGTGGGCACGGTCCCTGTTGCAATAGAAAGAGAATGATCCATTAGTTCAGGTTGATAGGTGTTACAAGGATATGGCTATGGAAAAAAATATTTGTGTAGAGAGCTGTACAGTACTTTTCTTTTGACAATGTTTTAACAAGCTTTCTTTTTGGCGTTTATAGTATCACATTGTTTAAAATAAAACATTTTCCACTTCTTGCCTAAAGCTACTCACTCATGCTGGGATACAGTTGCAGAAGTAGAACAGGAAGACATAGGTTTAGAGTTGCAAAGGGCAATTTCAGGACAGACACCAAGACCGTTTTTCTTTATCCAGTAGTAATTTATGATGGAACATTTTGCCGAGACAGGTTGATTGCGTTGAATCGTGGGAGACAAAGTTTTGATCCTTCGCGCATGCGCAGAAGAATTTCATTTAGAATCGATTCAATGCGAGTCCAATGCTTGCAGGTAAGTGTGTATGTGGGTCAAGACACATTGGCTTGTGGGATATGTAGTCTGGAACCGTCACTGCATTCGCACTTATGACTGGAGTGATGAATTACCGCATACGCACTTACCGGCTGCATTGAATTACCCATGCGCAGTGTTGATTATTGATTAACTCAAATTTTATACAACTTGTACAATTTTGCCTGCATCTTGGACTTCTCATAAGTCATATTAAATGTGATGGTCCCGACTGATTTGATTTATGTGAATTTTACTGTATTAGGAGTCTCTGCGTGTCAGCAGGGTGCCTGGAACAGGAGTAAGAATCTGAATTTGTCTTGTTCGAACTCAACTCAGCACAGATAGAAAACAAATCTGGAACCTTCATAAACTGTATGGCTGAGTGCCAGGGTCTGTCAACCTGGCTCAGTTGGTAAAACTCTCATCTCTGAGTCAGAAGATTGTGGGTTCAAGCCCCACTTTGAGACTTGGAATCCAGCGCAGTGCTGGGAGTGTACTGCATTGTCAGAGGTGCCGTCATTCGGGCAAGACGTTAAACCTAGTTCCCGTCCGCCTGTCCAAGTGGACTTTAAAGATTCGATGGTACTATTTGAAAAGAGCAGGGAGTTACTACAGATAAAAATCGTTGCTCAATCAATGGCTGTTTGTAGAGCTTTGTCGTGCTCAAATTGGCTGATGTGTTTTCCCACAAAACACACAACAGTACAGTATATCCTATGAAGTGCTTTGAGACATTTTGGCAATCTGATAGGATACTGTATCAAATGCATGGATTACTATTATCACACTCAGCTTTTGGGGAAAAGGTTGTTGATGTATAGAATTACAGGTTAAGTGATGGAATATAGCATTCAGTGAATGATAGTGGAAAAATAGAAACGCTGACCAGTTTCTTCTGGATATCGAATGCGATAACAAAAGGCATATTTTAGAATTAGAAATAACTGTGATGTTCACTAGCTCTGTCAGTGTCCCACAGGACGGCAGGCGATGAAGAGGCAAAGAATTAGATAAAGCAGTAAGTGTGCTAAGGACCACAAGTGAACAGAGTATCAGCTAAATAATGGAAATTAGCACTGAAGAGTATTGCTTCAAACAAGTACAGCATGGAGGATAGGAATATTAAAATAAATTCAAAATCTATGGGTGATGATAACCGTCTTAAGTGACTAATTCAGTTTGTTTACTAATTTGCACTTTTACCCATTTAAACAAAATTACGAGTGTGAAAATTCCCTCCGCAGGTGTGCTATCCCATCTACTTGTATAGTATACAAACCGGTTCACCATCAAATGACATTGCACAACTTTCAATTTCACGACAAATGACTCTGCTTAAATAAACATTTTGTTCTGAAACTGCTGACAAGTTCTAAAGCAAACACGGTTTATGTTGAATCTTATTGAATCTTCCCTGGGATCAGAATATTCTTGATATAACTGATCTCCCATCTCGGATATATTAGCATTGAACTCACATGTTCTCCCGTAATCAAAAATAGCAGATTCCGTGCTGTTGATGGGTATAATGGTACCGTTTGGCATTTTTAAGTCATCATTAGGATCTCTGTTCCATAGACCTGCAAATAGAGAAACAGCAAAACAATAGTTTGCAATAAGTTGGATTTTGAGTAAGTGTTTCAAATATACCTTTGCTAAATTTGCCAAATACTCAATAAGCAAACCTGCATTATATTTATAGTGCGTTATAACTGGATTGTACTGCACCAACATACTCATTTTGGTTCTAGTTGAAAGGGTTTGGGGCCAATCTCTGTCAATTGAAATGTAGCTTACCAAATAGTCCTTCTGTTTTGTTCAAGTAATCTTCAGGTAAGAATACTGCGATGGTTAACATGGCAAATTTTGCTGTTGCTGTTAATGAAATTCCTCCATCAAAAGTAGCTGTGATTGTTGATCCGCTTGCACTCTTTTCCAGAGAAAAAGCACCGTCCTCATAAATCTCTTTACTGGTATCTAGAACAACAAAATATATGCTCTTACATCTGTTATTTATCTTTCAAATATTCTGCATTGATGAGGTACAGTGCAGCTGTAACCTTATCTCAAACACAAGTATTTTGTTGGGAGGGAGGCATAAAACAGCTGAGATCAGGAAGTCATCAGACAGCAGTCACCAGTGCTCTGTCAAACCAACTGCTATATTTTGCCACTTTTGCAAAAGTCTGTACGTTTCATTTAAATCTGTTTTGCTCTTCAGCTTTTTCAGCAGCTGCTAAATGATGGGAATCCTCTGCATGCCACAGTAACCACAATGACTTTGGACATTCAATGGAGTCAGAAAAAAGTGAATTAGGCTCACCTTCAGCAAGAAGCACAAATGTTACATTCTGATCGTTCAATATGGCATTGATGGACTCATTGTCTTTTAAAATTATCTGGAGCTGCAAAGAAAGTACATATCTTTAAACTTTAAGCCATAAACTATTGCCCTTGTTGAGTTTGGCAGCACAGTAAAATGAGGACTTGACTTTGATTTCACACTTGATCTTTCTGATGGACTTAGTGAGCCACAAGTTTACTTCTGGAGCCCAGGTTCAAAAACAGCCCAGATTAATGGAATGAAACTGCTGCAATAGTCTGAAATTAACAGTTTGGACAGTTTTAACCTATTTCTCGTAGGTGTATGTTCACATCGAAAAAGGTGCAACAGATGAGCATAAGCTTAGAAATGCATTTCTCCTGCTGTTTCAAAAGGCTAAAATTATTGCTGGTTTGAAACATTCCTAGGCTGCAGGAGGCTGCTTTTACTACATCCATTCATTCTTAAGATGTTATATTAAGAGGTTACTCACTGTGGTATTTTTTGTAGACAAATGCTGAGCTGCAAATGCCATGAAGTTTGTGGCTTTAGCGCTACCAGTTTGTCCAGTGCGACCATGCAGCTTAAAAATGGTTTTGGTGCTGGAATCTTGCACATTGACCAATACGTAGTCACCAAGGCCGTTAAATGTGTAGTTCAGTCCATCTATGGTAGTGAAGTGAGGATCTCCAAGTGCCAAGACTGCAGAAATACAGAACGAAACTGAGGTTCACTTATGGTTCCATCAAATTAATCCAAATCTAAGCTTCAATCCTGCTCCTTATGTTTTAAAGTGCTTCAATACCTTCAACCTATAAATGGATTTACTTATGTTATGCCAATACATATTAATCGGGCAAATGTTACTCGAAAGACAGCATCTTGCATGCTCTTTGTTCTCTGCACTCTCACTGAAGTAGAGATCAATTGCATTGTCTACAAACTGATTCTTTCTTGGACTTCAAGATTGTGAAACTCAATTTTATTTTGTGTTTTTTCTGTAAGATTTATAATGAATAAATAATGCTTTACAGTTTTACCCAGTTAAACTCCAACAGGAGCCAATGCATACTGTGTGTCCCCAAATCTTGGCTCTTGCCAACCTGGGCCTAATACTCTTTAGAATTTGGTAAGCAGCATGTGTCTCTCCAGGGAAAGAATACACATTTCATTCTAGACATTGAGTAATTTCATGTATAGGTTGCGTACATACGTGGAACTCTTGGTTTGGATACTCTTAAGCATGGTGATGGGTTTCCTCATGTGTTAGACACCCGCTGACCAAAAAGAATTGTACTGTACTTTTCATGGAGTAATTGAGGGGCTGCTCCTAATCCCTTTACTACTGGTAGTGATAATGGTTTGCTCTAGCAGTACAAGTGATGCATTACAATTATGTCTGGAGTTATCTGATTTTCTTTTTCTGGCATTGGTGGTATCCTAATATAGCCTTGGCCATTCACCAAAGCTTTCTTATTATGAATCAGTACATAATGTGAAAGAAATTTTGGACTCACACTTAACAGGAGTTTTGATAGAATAGATAGGAAGAAACTGTTTCCTCTGGCAAGTGGGAGTCAGTAACCAGAGGACACAAATTTAAGATAATTGGCAAAAGTACCAGAGGGGAGACAAGGAAAATATTTTTTTTACCCAGAGAGTTATTACAGTCTGGAATGCACTGCCTGAAAGGGTGGTGAAAGCAGATTCAATAGCAGCTTCCAAAAGGGAATTGGATAAATACTTAAAGGAAAAATTTGCAGGGCTAAACGTAGAAACAGGAGTAGGCCATTCAGCCCCTCGAGCCTGTTCCGCCATTCTATAAGATCATGGCTGATCTGTATCTCAAGTCCAATTACCTGCTCTTGCCCCGTATCCCTTAATACCTTGATCTAACAAATATCCATCCACCTCAGCCTTGAAAATATGAATGGAATGGTTATGGGGTAGGAACAGGGCAGTGGGACTAGATGGATAGCTCTTTCAAAGAGCCGGCACAGGCACAATGGGCTGAATGGCCTCCTTATGTGCTGTAAGATTCTATGATAATAATAATATAATAATCCTTGCATTTGATATAGTGCTTTTCACGTCTTCTCGACGTCTCAAAGCACTTCACAGAATAGAGTGTAAAGTGAATTGACTGTATATTTGTGGGCGAAACGCGGCAGCCAATTGCGCACAGCAATGTCCCACAAACAGTCGTGGATTGAAAACGACCAATTTATTATTGTTTTGTTTTGGAGGGATTATTATTAGGTGTGTGGAGTAAGGAAACTTGCCCAAGGTTTCGCTCTGCCTGGAATTGAACCCAGGTCTCTCGCTTGCAATGCAAGTACTCTAACCACTGAGCCACAGGACTGATGTTTATCAAACATGCTGTGCAATATGTTTCACACTGATGAGTGAAGAAAGTATAAATTTGCAAAAGTAGCAATGGCAAAGCATTCTGATGAGGGGATATACTTCAGTAAATGATCAACTTGATAGATACTTTATATTTTATGTTATGTATCATTCTTTGTAATGCTCTCTCTGTACGGGGGGCATTTGAGGCCTTAATTCCATTTTTGCAGTCTTAAACAAGCCTCACTGATTTTCATGTCAGCAATAAAATTAAACATGACATTTATTATGGGGTTTCATAAGCATAACATCATTGCACTTGTAAAATTACCTGCAGTTGGTGCTCTGTATCCTTGACACATATCTTTTGGTCTTTTCATCTCATAATAGGAACAGAACAATGGGTCGTCAACTTTTATGCAGCACCAGTTGTATGGATCTAGGTCGAATTCTGTCCAGGAAGATTGGTAATCAATAATATGAATTATATACTTTTGTCATGAGCAAAAGATAAATAGATCAATAGAGAATTAATATGTGCATAGAGGAAGTAGAACAATATTTCACAATTTCAAATGAACACTTACTCTGGTTATTGGTTAAGGAGGTTATTTGTCTGAAGGAAACCCAGTATCTCTCCTGCCACCCTTCAATGAGTGCATTCTTCCTGTTGTAAATGCACCTCAGACTAGCATTAAATGCATTTGGACCAGTAGGACGGAGAAGCTTGGTTGATGCATCTTTGGAAATTCAACAAGAGTCATTTAGTGTTGGTCATACATCACAACACAACCCTGTGTGGTCTCCTGATTGATTAGAAGTGACTCAAATTTTAGCTAAAATAAAGCATTGATACTTAATACTGCAATTCAATCTGCTTGTTAGTAGCCGTGTTGTTTTGCTGATTTCTATTGTGTTGCAGAGAGAAAGTAAGATACAGATCATTCTCACTTCCTGCATTCATCTATATGTTTTTAAGGAAAATAACTGGGTGAAGGGGATATTTCTATTTTCCCTCAAGGATTCAATTTCAACCCGAACTGGACTGATGGGATGAAATCACCACAATAACAACTTGTATTTATATAGCACCCCTCACTCAGGATAACATCCCAAAGCGCTTGACAGTGACGGAGCACAACGCCGAGCCTGGGTGGAGGTCTTCAGTCGCAATCTGAAGATGGGGAATGAAGGAGCAAGGTGGAGGGATATAGGAAGAGTGTTCCAGAGTTTTGGAGCGTAGTGGCTAAAGATGTGACCATCGATGGTGGAACGGAGGGCATGGGGGACATGCCAGACAATGGAGCCAGTTGAGCGGAGGCAGTGGGTAGTGGGTTTGGGAGTAAGCAGGTCAGAGAGTTGGGGCGGTGCAAAGGCATGAAGAGATTTGAAAACGAGTGTGAGGATCTTGTAATCAATCCTTTCGGTGATGGGTAGCCCTGGTATGATGGAGGTGCGGAGTTTAGTATGGGTGAGTATTGCAGATGGCAGAGTTTTGGATCAGCTGAATTTTGTGGATGGTGGAACTGAGGAGACTGGCGAGGAGGGCATTTGAATAGTTGAGGTGGGAGGTGACGAATGCATGGAAGAGTGGATAAAGTCTCCTCTGCCTGTTGACAGCAATGTGAATTGAGTTTGGATTATTTCTCTGGGTGTGGGCTCATACACAAAATACTATTAATTTGGATATTTCACTCAGAGCAGAGTCACAGAATATCATGCTGTAAATACAGGAGAATGGAGAATCTTCTGAGACTGACATCTCAGAAAGGTGCATCCTCAGTAGGACCATTTATCAAGCATTTAATAGTAAATGGTTGTATTTCCCAGGACAATCATCACTTATCTTTAATCAGAGAGAAACAAAATCACCAACAAGTTTAAAAAAAAGTTACATTCAAAAATGAAATAATTAAAAAAGATTTTTTTAACAAGGATATAATGCCAGCAATAATAAATTATCTAATTTCCAAACCATGTTGGGGATTTATTTTTCCATCCCACTGAGACTGCCAAGCCTGCCTGTTCAGACTGAGGGAAAACTACTATGTAGATTAACTGTCTCTGGATTTGTTTCACATGTGTTAATTAGTTCAAATTCAAGATTGAGATACTTAAAGCAGTTAAGAAAGACAAAATAACTCATTATTTATCTTCAATAAACAGTTGGTGGAAATGTTACCTGACTTGAATTTCCGGAATCGATTTTCTGCCTGTCCTTGGTTAAATGTACATGGACAGGAAAATAAAGCCTGATTCCAGTTAGCTGGATCTGGCTCTGATAGAAACCAGTTCAAACATTCTGCTCTGTAATTCTTCTGTGGACTGCCCTCAATTAGTTTATATGCCCAGAGGCCTTTCAAATCTGAAGAATAAAATTAAAACATAAAAGTACTATTCCAAAGTTTGGAATAAATGTTTAATATTTAGCAGTATAAATATTAACATTATATAGATTTACAATTAGAATCTATACTTCTGTAATTTAAATATTATGCTATATTCCAAAGCTAACTCGCAATATTTGTTTTAAAAACATCTAGTTGTATTTTTTGTGAAACAGATGGTGAGGAAATAGTCTACAAGTTCTTTGTATGAGATGAACAGACCTGTATTTGTTCCTATATACTTGTCTGGACGATATCTTTCAGTCACAGTAAGTTCTGTTTGTTTGTCATTCTCAAAGTATCCGTCTCCACTGAAACAGAAAATAAACGTTCAGGAGCTATAACGTTACAGTAATTGTGATGAGATTACTTGAATTGATCTGGATTTTTGGAATTATCTTTGTACTCAGTCGTACCCAATGTTTTTGGTCAGCCAACCAAACACATTTCTTTATTGAATTTTTCTTCGTTTATGGCCGCATTATGGGTATCGTGGCTCGGTAGCTACTGGAAAATAAGTATTGATTCGTCGCGGACTTGTCTGGACTTGTGCAGGTGTTTGGGCCACTTCTTGACATTCCAAGAAATCAATCACAATTGGCTGGTTGGAGACTCCTGCTCTAACTCGTGTAGTGTAGCTTTGTAAACATTATCAGTATAAATATCCTATTTTGGATGACAAATCTGACCTTTGGTAGATCACCTTTCATTAAATGTTCTCCCCTCTTAAAGATGTGGTTCCTTGTTGGGTTACTGATCCATGGGGCACACTGGCATCAGCACTTTGTCAAACTACGAGCTTAATCAGTGACTCAGTAGGACACTTAGCTTGGCACATCACAACCAAACACAAAAACAGTCAGGAGTGGGATCCATTGGTTGATTTCTTGCACCCTTTTCACATCAGTGGCTCTAATCCAATCTGTACAGGAGACTGAGAAACTTCTTACCACCCTTTCCCTTTCGTCTCTTCTACAAAGTGCTGTCATTGAACACCCAAGTTTCAGGTCATTTATTCAATGCTTTTATTTTGTCAGCCGGGTGACTGACACCTGTGGAGACCCATTGCCATGCTTAAGAGATCCAAACCACCACCACCAACTTGCCCTTATGTAGTGCCCTCTATTCAGGTTAACGTCTCAAACCAGACTGAATTCCATTTATGTATGCTACCTACAAATGAAAATGTTCCTGTATCTGGAATGGATTGAACTCTCTCCCTGGGGAGACACACTGTTTCAACCAAATGATGTCCTGTACTGTGGGCGTCCCCTTCCCTCCACGTAGGTTTCTGAATAAAAATATTTAACTAGCTCCACACGTATAATTATGTTTACCCACACATACACAGTCATATCTTGTAAAATCACAGTAAAATCTTGTGAAACACTTTGAGATGTTTCAAAGATGTGGTAAATTCTGGGATTATAATGTTAACACTGTTGCCAATGTTATGGTTCGCCAACCAACCCAGTTTCTGTAGGGTAACATAATATTGTAGTTGGAGGATTAAACGTACCTGTTGAAACCTATGAGAACATTTGTAGAAACGAGGGTTGATACATCCCAGTTCATTCCATCACACTTGTAAAATATGAGAACAAAGGACTGACTGCCATCTGTACTTAAAACTGCTTGGAAGGTGTTTGTCTGAAAAACAAGATGGTACTGTTTGTAAATGGATTGTTTGGATGCTGCTCTAATACAATAGTTTTTTTAAGCAAATAATAAAACAACATAAGTATAATATGTAATTCATAATATAATGCAACATCCAGCAATGTGTTTAATAAAATATCACATAAAATGTAATGTTGTGTCATGTAAGTTTCTTCACCCCCGCTGGATACTCCACAACCCTCTGCTACCTGGTCCAAGTGGTCAAAGCGCATGTATTAGTTAGTGTTGGTCAGTGTGTGCACAGGGGAGGTTCAGCACTGAACCTGATCTTGGCTTTACCTGATGTTCAAAAATGTTGATTTTTCAGTGTCACTGAATAGAGATCAGAAGCAAGAACATCAGCTGTTCTTATTCCTGTAAATTATCTGGAATTATGACTTCTTTCACTTCGGGAGAATGTCTCAGAACACTTTACAAAGATGGAATGGGAACCTGAGCTAGGATGGAGATCAGGGGTGGGAACAAGTGATGAAAGGTGCAGTCAAAGAGATGTCTTTAGACAGGTTTTAGAAAGCAGAGAGGGATGAGGTAAAGTGATGTCAAAGAGTTTTAGTAAGGGTTAGAAATACACCTGGTGATGGGGCAGAAGGTGTGGGGCTTAATGTAGACCAGAGTTAGTGGGGAAGAGGGAGTAGAGCCACAGGAGACCAGAGGTTCAGTGGACCAAAGCTGCAGAGGCCTTTAAAACTAAGGAGGATCTCAAGCTTGATCTGCTGGGGGCGGGGAGCCAGCGGAGCTGCCTTAGGATGGGGTGATGGGCCTTTCTGCTCTTTATGGCTCAATTTGACAATTTGAGGCCGGAGGATATTCAGGAGAACACAATTAGGAGAATATTACTTGACCACTAAATACTGAAATATAATTTTATTAAGCGAAAATCCTTGAAATATTTAAAGAAATTAAAAAATATTATTTTGGTAATTATAATTGGTAATTGATAACCACTATTGATCTAATTGGAATAAATGTAAACATAAATAAGCAAATAATACCTTAGATTGTAACTGAGAGGCAGGGAATGCAGGTATTTTATCCCAGGTTATCTTTAGGGTCCATTTTGCCTTATATTGAATTTCAAAATACTTTTTTATTATTCCCTCTACTCTCTGTATCAAACTGGGAGATTCAGATCTATAGGTATGGTATTCCTGTAAAATACAAGCATATTTGTAATTAGAACAAAAAGCAAATCATCCTGACACTCTGAACCTCCATAATGCCCAGTGTTATCTACTGTCGGAATGCTACAATTATAGTAGATTTTAGAATGAAATAATTTGAAACAATTAACTACAGACAGCTCACCATAATATCAGATAATATTGATCATAGAATTACGTAGCACAGATGCCTAACTAGTCCGTGCTGAGGTTTATATTCCACAAGAGCCTCCAGATCCTCTCTCCTATAAACCCTATATTAACTTCTCCTCAAATATACATCAAGTTTCCTCTTGAATACATTCATACTTTTTGCTTCAACCACAGCTTCCAGCAAAGAATTCCATATTCTCAATGTCCTCTACATAGAGAAGTTCTTCCTAAACTCCTTATTAGATCTGTCCAGTCAACAGTGCGAAACATTTTGGGATATCCTCATAATATGGAAGGGCTATATAAATACTGTATAACTTGCATGTTATTGGCTTTCTTATATTTATCCCATTTCATTTAGGCTCACCAACAAATGGAAACATCCTATTAATTTCTACATTATCAAATTCTTTCATAATTTTGAACACCTCAATCAGGTCCCCTCTCAATCATCTCATCTCCATACAGAAACATTCCAGTCTGTCCAATCTTTCTTAATAGCTATATCCACTCATTCCTGGTAACATTCTAGCTGCTCTCCCTTCAATGTTATACTATCCTTCTTGTAATATGGTGAATAGAATTGCACACAGTATTCTAAATGGGATCTAATCAAGGTTTATGTAAATCTAACATTACTTCCCTACGTTTCTACTCTATTCCTCTGGATATAAAGCATTCTGAACCACGTGAAACCTGTATAATACTTTTTTTTCTTTTTATTCTCTGCTTCATTGATCCATGTATTGACTCGCATATCAAGTATGATGCCTATTTGACTGTGAGTGCAAATAGGCAGGCTTAAACTGAGCCTAATTCTGTTCTGGTTTGGAATGAAATGTTAGTTTCCCTCAGTAAACATTACGCTAGTCTAATTTAATTCAGTCTGTTCACAATGCAATTGATACAATTGCCCAACTGCCCAAATGTAACTCTACCTGATAGAAAACTGTTGCACCAGCTGAAAGGTCTGCGTCTGCCCAGAATGCGGCTATCATGGGGATTGTCGAAGATGCAGTAAAGCCACCTGAAAATGGATTGGTGTATCTGTAGACCTCAGACTCTGCTGATGGGAAAACTATCAGTCCATTGTCTGTAAACTGGTAAAACAACAAAAAACTTCACAAAAAGCAGTTTAAACATTACAATTAAATATAATCAATCCAGATCATTTGCTCGCTCTTTATCTCCCCACATGAATTATCTCATCAGCAATAATGTTGCAGTAAATATTCTGCTAGGTCCATTGTACATAATGTGAACAACAGAGGAACCAGCGCAGACCCAAATGCAACTTTTCTGGTCACTCCTTTCCAAAAAGCTATTTTCACTTAATCATTGAGATTTCCTATTAGTAAACTAGATTCCAACAAGCTACTTTGCCATGAATTATTATAATTATATCTAGTACTATTAATTGCAAAAGCTTTGATCTTCCTCTGAAGTCTCCCAACTTTGTCAAACACCTTTTGTTTGAGTTCATTACATCACTCACGTAAAGAAGAAACTGGAGGCTGTTTCCCATAGGAAAGCCGATTTCTGGCTTGAAAATGGGAGATGTGACATCAGATGCTGCTGTAGTCAATGTTTGATCTCCAAACTCCACTCCATAATCCAAAAGTTTGAGACCTACCAAAACAAAGTATAATTAAGATACAATACGAGGGCCAATATATTCCCAAGGTAAAATCAAACTTGAAAGTAAAATCACTTGACAATGGTGTTAAATATGCTGGGAAATCATAAACTAAATAGGTCTAGTCGAGATGGTTTGGTTTTCAAATGTCCAACAAAATTAGGCTTTTTATACAGGCACGTTATTTCAACCAGAGATGATTACTCTCAAGGCTGGGATCAAGGTAACTGTTATGGCATAGCAGTCTTTCCTGCTCACATGTGTAAAAACATGTCTGAGATGGATGAAAGTAGTACATCTATCATACTTGTGATTTGTTCAAAAAAAATCGCTACATAATTTTTAGCCAAACTGAGTTCAGTTTTATGGAAGTTATGTTCACGTCCAAAACAATGACAGGATCTGGGGGGGAGCATTGCCTTCTTTTTAGGACAAAATTGATGGAGTAGGTTAAAGATCAATAAAATGGTACCAATACAATGTACACTTTACAGTAGAGAGCCTGATATCCCAACTGATCAGCAATTATTATTTTCACAATAATGCCAAATAATACCAGACTTTTTCTCGCTTACTATGTTCTCTCTGTGTTTCTGACTTTCTGTCTCTCTCTAATCCTGTATCAGACCACTGATTAATTAAACCTTCTTGCCCTGCGAGAAGAGGGGGAGGAGCAGAGCTTGAAGGAGTTTTGGGATAAGGCAGAGTGGTGGGACTTGCTCTGTGAGCTGGTACAGACTCGGTGGGCTGAATGGCCTCTTTCTGTGCTTTACATTCCCATGTTTGTATGTTTTCTATGCTGTTTTAAATGGACTCGTGAATATTCCTACCATTGGTTTGTACAATCAAAGAGTTATGCAAACATTTCAGTCCGAATTTACTTCTGGGATGTTAGTGTTGATGCACTTAAGTGACATTTGATTATCTGGCGTGCAGATATCCAGTGTTGTACTATATAAACACTGTATTAATAGCCCATGTTTGTAGGGAGGGGAATATTGAGGGAATTAAGGAGGCCCCACAAACACAAGCTTTGTTTTGAGTTCCTACGAAAAAATTAACTGGAGCACAGATAGGTCAACAGGCCTTGATTTCAACCGTCAAAATGCAGGGAAGAAGAGAAAGAGTGTGTGGAATGTCTGGTAAGGAACGTTCAAAGGAAAAATAATCATAGTCTTTATACTTGGGAAAGAATAACTAGCATTAGTTGGTGTTGATTGATAGCTGAGCACAAACTGAACACAATGTATGGAAAGAATCATTTAAATTCTTACATCCACCACCAGAGGTACTTGGCAGGGTAGTTGTCGCTGATGTGGTTTTGGTGGTGCCTGCAGTGCTTTTGGTGGTGCCTGCAGTGGTTTTACTGGTGCCTGCAGTGGTTTTGCTGGTGCCTGCAGTGGTTTTGCTGGTGCCTGCAGTGGTTTTGCTGGTGCCTGCAGTGGTTTTGCTGGTGCCTGCAGTGGTTTCGGTGGTGCCTGCAGTGGTTTCGGTGGTGTCTGCAGTGGTTTCGATGGTGCCTGCAGTGGTTTTGGTGGTGCCTGCAATGGTTTCGGTGGTGCCTGCAATGGTTTCGGTGGTGCCTGCAATGGGTTTGCTGGTGCCTGCAATGGGTTTGCTGGTGCCTGCAGTGGTTTTGCTGGTGCCTGCAGTGGCTTCGATGGTGCCTGCAGTGGTTTTGCTGGTGCCTGCAGTGGTTTCGGTGGTGCCTGCAGTGGTTTCGATGGTGCCTGCAGTGGTTTCGATGGTGCCTGCAGTGGTTTTGGTGGTGCCTGCAATGGTTTCGGTGGTGCCTGCAATGGGTTTGCTGGTGCCTGCAATGGGTTTGCTGGTGCCTGCAGTGGTTTTGCTGGTGCCTGCAGTGGCTTCGATGGTGCCTGCAGTGGTTTTGCTGGTGCCTGCAGTGGTTTTGCTGGTGCCTGCAGTGGTTTCAGTGGTGCCTGCAGTGGTTTTGCTGGTGCCTGCAGTGGTTTCGCTGGTGCCTGCAGTGGCTTCGATGGTGCCTGCAGTGGTTTTGCTGGTGCCTGCAGTGGTTTCGGTGGTGCCTGCAGTGGTTTTGGTGGTGCCTGCAATGGTTTCGGTGGTGCCTGCAATGGTTTCGGTGGTGCCTGCAATGGGTTTGCTGGTGCCTGCAGTGGGTTTTGCTGGTGCCTGCAGTGGCTTTGCTGGTGCCTGCAGTGGTTTTGCTGGTGCCTGCAGTGGTTTTGCTGGTGCCTGCAGTGGTTTTGCTGGTGCCTGCAGTGGTTTTGCTGGTGCCTGCAGTGGTTTCAGTGGTGCCTGCAATGGGTTTGCTGGTGCCTGCAGTGGTTTCGCTGGTGCCTGCAGTGGTTTTGCTGGTGCCTGCAGTGGTTTCAGTGGTGCCTGCAGTGGTTTTGCTGGTGCCTGCAGTGGTTTCAGTGGTGCCTGCAGTGGTTTTGCTGGTGCCTGCAGTGGTTTTGATCGTCCCTGCAGTGGTTTCGGTGGTGCCTGCAGTGGTTTGGATGGTGGCTGCTCCTGAAGTGCTGATGGTTGTTGCTGTTGTGGGTGAAGAGTTGACGGCTGCGGTTGCGGGTGAAGTGCTGTTGGTTGTTGCTATTGCTGTTGTGGGTGAAGAGCTGTTGATTGTTACTGTTGCGGGTGAAGAGCTGTTGGTTGTTGCTGTTGTGGGTGAAGTGCTGTTGGTTGTTGCTGTTGCGGGTGAAGTGCTGTTGATTGTTGTTGCTGTTGTGGGTGAAGAACTGTTGGTTGCTGAGGTGGTGCTTGTGTTTGTGGGGACTGTTGTGTTTATATTTGCTCCAGGTGTGGTTGCTATTGTGGTCAAATTTCCTAAACCAGTGATATTTAAAAAAAAGAAAGGATTAGACAATATACAAGGTGTACCAATCGCTTCTACTACAGTTTAAAACCCAAGTTATTTTTGGTGATAACTGTGGACAGCATGACTGGTAGGATTGTATTTCACCTGAAAGCATCATGTATCCTTCATTCTGCAGCTTTTGCAATAAGCAACCACTAAGAGAATTTAGGTGAAGGATCAACACAAGCAGAAGAGGCTTTGCTTTACACCAAACTGCAATCCAACTTTCCTTTAACTGGCACTGCTATGACCGGTGGAGATAAGAACCAGTAAAAAAAACTAGTCCCTCTCTCAACACAATGGTTTCCTTGAGCACATGATCAGTGAAGTATTTTCATAGTATTATATTTTAGCCATAATATATGCTCTGTTAAAAACTTATTTTGTCTTTTAAAAGACAGGAAAAATCAGTTGATTTAACCTCAGTAGCCAGACTGTCACTGCACTTTTATAGTCAACAGAAATGTCTGTGCTTCTATTCAGCTGTGGTTGATAAAATGCATATTGTATCGCTTGTACTGTGAGGAACAGGTGGCTTCAAGACTTTTTCCATCTGTACAACATGTGCAAGTAGAACTTTAATAAAACTTCCAATTTGCTCAATCTCCTGAGGGAGGTGACAAACTACCAGAAAAACTCTGAAAGATGATGTTCCTTCATACCCAAAGATAATTGAATAAAACTCGGTTGGGGGGTGGGGGGGGGGGGGGAATTCTACCTGGGTCCTGCAGAAACTTGTTTGCTTTGTACTTTAGAGCATTGCATTTGGACAATTCTTAAATTGTACAGTTGGTTCCTTCATATCCTTGTGGAAAAGAAGTTGAAAGATCCCTCAATATTGATGCAAATGGAATTAATTTTCTCTGAACAGATATTACTATCAAGATATTCATCCACATCCAGAAAGATCAATAGAAAAAAAATCATATTCTTGTCATTTACTACAAAGGCTATGGTTAGGATAGTTCATAAATGCATCAATATTATTGCAAAGAAAGTTTTTAACATTGAATTGTCTCGTTACAATTTGAAGAAGTGCTAAAGGAAGAGAGAGCAATTTTGTATAAAGGCAGAATGCATTGGACTCCAGATGTTGAGGACGAAGAGCTAGGGGAATTGACGAAGAGGGTGGGAATTAGGAGATGCACAAAACTTGGAGAGGCTGGTCAGAATGTTCAAACTTGGCTACATTGGTCAGCCAATAAAAATAATCAGACACACAAAACAAGAGGCATAGAGTGAACAGGAGGAATGTCAATATGGAAGTTGTAACAAGAACATATTATTTTAAAATGTGAAGAGTTGATGATTTTCCAAGCATCTGTATAGGAAAGAATGTCGTGCCATGGCAAAGGTTAGTTCTTATGTTTCTAATACTTTTAGCTATAAAATTGTGAATTGATGGTACTCTAATAATTAGCACCAATCATTTCACTTGTTAAATAACTCCAAATTAGTGTACTAATTAATTCCATTTTATTGACAAAGTTTAACCTAACAATATTCAAAAGAACAAAGAAAGAACCTAAACAACTAAGCAAGGCGAGTTCTTCCAGAGACTCGGTCTTATCCTGGTAAACAGATGCAATTGAAAGATCCCTCAATATTCTCACAAATAGAATTATTGGTCCCAGAACAGACATTGTCATCAAGACATTCATTCACACCTGAAAGCATAAGAGATTTCTTAGGACTCGGGTTATTGTTAATGAAATAATTTAATAATTTGAGTGAGCAAAGGAAAATAAGACGTTGTTTGAAGATAATAAATTTGGAGGTGGTATAAAGGACAAACAAAAAACTGGGTTGTGCTAGTAAAGGTGAATAATATCAAAAAGTTCACACTGTAGATAAGGGATTGGTCAGATCTCATCTAATAATAATAATAATCCTTGCATTTGATATAGCGCTTTTTACGTCTTCTAGACGTCCCAAAGTGCTTCACAGAATATACTATAAAGTGAATTGACTGTATATTTGTGGGCGAACGCGGCAGCCAATTGCGCACAGCAATGTCCCACAAACAGTCGTAGATTGAAAATGACCAATTTATTATTGTTTTTTTTTTGGAGGGATTATTATTAGGCTCTGTGTGGAGTAAGGAAACTTGCCCAAGGTTTCGCCCTCTGCCTGGAATTGAACTCGGGTCTCTCGCTTACAAAGCGAGTGCTCTAACCACTGAGCTACAGGACTGGACTCCACAAGTACTGTGGAGTAGTGTGTGCAGCATTTGCCATCAGAAAATAGTGGTAATATTGGCTTTGACAAAGTCAGTGAGGAGATTGAGGGTCTTCTTTTCTGTTTGGAGTTTTGGGGAAAATGCAAAGCTTATGAACTAAAATAACTCAGACTTACCGTTGCATACAATCCCATCTCCAGAATATCCAGCTAAGCATTGGCAAGCATATGAACCTTCTAGGTTAGCACAGAGACCTCGACTTTTGGAACAGTTATTTGTTTCTGACAGTGAACATTCATCAATATCTGCAGATGGAATTTTCAGACATCATTAATATCAAATCATGAAATCTCTTATAGCGCTTGTTAAAAAAAAATAAAAGAAATAAAATCAAAACGACAACTCGCATTTATATTCGGCCCTTCACACAGGATAGTGTCAAGGAGAGCTACAGAGGTGGCAGGGTTGGAAGCTAATATAGAGGAGTATAAATCCCAATTTAGCACATTTATGATTAGCAATAATATTGAATGAAAATATTTTGTAATCCATCTGTACCTTTGCATATTCCACTGTTACTCACAAATCCAGTCTTGCATCCACATTTGTAAGAGGCTTCAATATTAACACATAATTGCCCCGTCTCAGAGCATTTATTTGTATTCTGACATTCATCAATATCTGGAAAAAGAAAACAAACCCAATTCCATTCAAAAGTGCTTGAATCAGAGAAATATTCCTGCGAACCTACATATATTGTACTTTCATCAGAGTGTGACCTTTATCTGAGTATCAAGGATGTATTTTCACATCTGCACTGAGCTGCTGATATCCTACTTGAATTCTAGTCATAATGATTCTGTGGACTTCAAAATTTGTAATGATATTTTCATCAGCCATAGTATTAACGGTAGTAGAGTAGAATTTTTCTTTGGCAGATTTTGTGAGCTAAAATATGCAGCACAATGTTAGATCGATGAGTTTCGATGAGTAATTTACAGTTCAATGTTTGCCAGATTCAAAGCATGTGAGCAATAAAGTAGTGATGTATTGGATTAGTGTGAAAATACTTTAAATTAATATGTTGACATTACTCAGAAACAATGCGCAAAAATAATGAAATTTGTAGTTTAAACTACGGTTAATGTTTTTCTTGATGTTGAGTCTTTGGTTGAGTAATCAGCTCCGACAGTCTAAGAGACTTTAAAGTAACCTGGTAACAATTATTAGCCTCAACACTTATCAAATTCCAAAATATTAATTAAGTACAGTTGATGTTACATAATTGACATTATGGGTAGATTTACTGAACATTGATACAATCAGTAAGATAAGATAATTCCAGTCAGCAAACTATTCCGGTGTAATATGTATCCTGAGTTTTGCTATATTCCATGAGACACTTACAATCAAACAATCATCTCTTCAGTTACCTTGGCAAGAACCGTTCACCCTTTCATATCCAGGAAGACATTTGCAGGCATAATTTCCAAAGCTGTTTTCACACACCTCATTGGAAGAACATGTTTCAGAGGTGTCTGCACACTCATCAATATCTGCAACATCATATAATTCATGTTTCTTATTAAAATCCATAACCTTTTTTTAAACACAGGACTCGCTGCTTAGATCAAGTCAATTTGCCTTGTTTTAGTTTCATTTGAAATGAGTTTTGAGGGATTACTTTTTAACCATTACCTCCCATTTGAAGGGATTTGTGCATCAATAATGCAGGATGAGATTTTCTGGCTAATTGATCAGATGTTGCTTCTCTGGCTCCCTGCCTTATAATCCTTTCCCCATTTTCTCCCTCATAAAATGTCTCATCATTCTTTCTCCCCCCACCCAACCACCCCATACCACTCCCATTTCTCTTCTCACAATTTGCCTCTATTGGACTGTAAACAATACCTTCACAGAACGTTCCATTTCCCTGGAATCCAGACATGCATGAACATTTAAATGAGCCCGCTGTGTTATTACAGGTCGCCATTTTGTGACAGTTGTCCTGAATCTTGGCACATTCGTCAATATCAATGCAGTTGGGACCCTCGTATCCAGTGTTACACATACATGTGTACGAGCCGACAGTATTCAGGCAATCCGAATTGAAGACACAGTTGCTCCGATTTGACGTACATTCATCAATATCTGTTTTCAATTAAAACAGCCAAACAAGGTAACAGAAATAACATGACTTCAAAATTATTGGTTAGATTCAATCAACCTCTTCCTGACCGCTCTAACATTCTCTCTGAGATTACTGGAATTTGACCACTCTGGTTTCACTCGCAGGTATTTGAAACATTATGGAAGTAGATTTTGGTATTGATAAACTTAAATGAGTGGCCGACAAACATAGGGCAGAACGCTACATAAGTGAGAAGTTGAGAGAGAAATCAAGAAATGCTAAGATAATGCCAAGCAATGTTTAAAAAATCTATACAGGAATTAGGAAAAAGGGGGACACTGAGGGATTTAAGGAGTTCTTGAAGTCCTGTGACAGAATAATTAAAGTAGGAAATTGAATTGTAAGTCTTGATTTCAACACAGGGAGTTGGACTGAGAGAACCAAGAGTGGGAGAGAAGAGGAATGCAAGTGAGGAGAATATATTATTACTGTGGTTTCTTCTACTGTTCTCGTCCTGTTAAGAGGGAGATGGTGAGGAAAGGACAATGGCGATAGTTTGAATAAACAGACTGAAGGTCATTTTTTGGGAAGAGGTCATCGGAGAGTACGTGGTAACTTTACTGCCACTCAGAACATTCCTCCATCAGTGGGGTTCAAATTGCAGGTTGTGCTAACTGTATATAAATGTGTCCTCAGAAGGAAATACAAGTCCATATAATGTAAATAACCAATGATTCTGTAACCCTTCTCATTGGTGGCATAATTAAGTGTACCTGTAAGTCCCTCTTTACACATGTGTTTACTAATAAATAGCACACCTCACAAATTTACACCTCAGTTACATGTTGTTAATTGATGGTACTCCATTGTGATTACTTACTAAATTCTAGCATTAAAATAATTAGTAAATTGGATGATTATTCTTTTTTAAAAAGGAACTTTGGTAAATAAAAGTTGCAATCGGTAATACTCTACAGAACGTTAGAGTCACACCAATGCCTGCTGCAAGACTCAGTTCTTCCAGATATAAAGTCTTATATAAAAACATATTTCTCACCTGCACATTGGGCTCCTTCATATCCCTGCAGACAGGTACAATGAAAAGATCCATCAGTATTGCTACAAGTTGACTTACTGATGGCTGAACATTTATTGATATTAAGACATTCATTAATATCTGAAAGAAAATGAAAGAAAATAATGGAAATGATTTTCATTCCATGTAATGATTATAACAATGTTCAATGGTTAGTGGAGTTAGTATAGAGTGTCAGCAAACTGAAGGAACTGAGACCTCAAACTTCCCATTACAATCTGATGAGTTGGCAGTCAAAGGGATGCCACTTAATATTAAATCACAAGTTTCTTCATTCCATTTATGCTGGAAATTAGAATTACGAATAACTTTGTGATCAATGTGACAGTATTATACAGAGATATGGGATTGTGCAATAGATCTGAACACTTCATTCAGGCTAGGTTTGGACACAGTACAGGGTGATGGGATGAAAGTTTTTTTTATCCCCAATACTATAACCATCCCAAATCAAATTTTCCAGAGGCATGAATGTTAGGAACAGGAGAATCCTATTTGGAGTTAGAGCTTCCATTACCTTCATGTAGAGGAGATATGACTCTGAAAGATATGTTTTAATCATTGTGATTGGACTCAGTGATATTTCTTGCATACGTAAATCTCTGACAACAATCCACAAGTTGCACGATTATATGAGAAGTCCTTGCACATGTGCAAGTCTATAAGAAATTTATTTGCTATCTCCGATTGGCAAATAGATCCAAATGGTAATGAAGCCAGGGAAAGCCTGAGGGAAAAGTCGCCTGATGATCAAATGCATCTTCGAGCCTCTATCAGTATTTGCATAAGGGCGATTGCAAAAATAAATTTCTAATAGTTTTCCATGAGAGCGAAAGCCTCAGAATTCATTATATGTATTATAGTTGTTTATGGATGCATCAAGTGTTAGTTTGTCCCTCAGGAAGCAAAGAGCCAATGTAAAAGTCATGGAAAATCAAAATGTGCCAACACATTCCGTGCCTCAGGTGCCCAAATATAAATATCACTAAGCAGACTTCATTGTAAAGTAAGATTTAGGGATTGAAATGACCTATTCTGTTTACACATTAAATGGTAAAATTAAAATTAATAGTCTTCATATTGTACCAATGCAGAATCGATATGGCTCGCCGTTGTATCCAGTCTTGCAAGAACATGAGTAGTTTCCCATTGTGTTGGTACAGTCTGCGTTCTGGGGACATGTGGAAGCGTTGTTGCATTCATCAATGTCTGAAAGTCATATGAAATGGGTAATTACAAAAATGTGTCTTCCTCAAGAGGCAAATAGGATTCATGGCAACTGTAATGGCTAAAGGTTAATTCTGTTCACGTCATATCTTTATAGATTTATATTTATGCTTGCTCTGTTTCTACTTCAGTTGCAAAGGTTAAAATAATTAGCTTTTTCACATATTATCAATAGTAGCCTTGTAATTAGGCGAAATGATTAAACAATTTTTCACAAGCAGCTACAATATGTTTCCAATAAAATGAACTAATATTGGAAAAAATAGTTTGCAGAGTACTTATAAAATTGTCTATCACAAGATTAATTTTAATTTTACAGATTTTTAATTAATAATCGAGTACGTTTTCTGGCATTGCTCAATCAACAGATTTTTTTCTAAAATTCCTTTTTTAAATTAAGAAACTTAAGTCAGAAACAAAAAGCTTAGCAATAGTAAGCAAAAAGACTAGATAAACCAAGAAGTAGGCAACTCCAAGCTTTGCTGTGAATTGTTGGAGGAAGGGAATAGTGAGAGTGGTAAAGGGTGAATAATAATAATAATAATCCTTGCATTTGATATAGCGCTTTTCACGTCTTATAGATGTCTCAAAGCGCTTCACAGAATAGATTGAAAAGTGAATTGACTGTACATTTGTGGGCAAAATTAATAAGGTAGTTTTCCTGGAAAAACATTCACTACACTTTACACTGAATCCTGATATGTGCTCCCGGTGTGAAAAACCTTGTCAAATTAAAGGACTTTTTTTTATATATGGGGAACGAAGTAATGAGGCAATTTTGCACGGGGAGAAGGAATGGCATGCAGGGCAATTTAGTTAGAACTTGGAAGGAAAGTTCAACAATAACCAGTATCACAAGATTGGTTTGGATAAAGAAGTCCCATTCAATCTCATCAAAACACCCACCCTACCAGCTGCCCATCACTTAATCCAGCTGCTTTTTACATGAATACCATTCTGGCCTCTACCACTTTTTCTGACAACCTGTTTCAGTCATTTATTCCCCTCTACCTAAAGAAAAACTTCCCAGTACCTGTCCGGAAATTGCCGTTTACAACTCTGCTTGTTCTACTGTCTTGATGCATCCTAAAGTATTGAACTGGGTTTATTTTTTCCAATCACATTTAGAATTTTATACACCTCTGTAAGGTTTTCTCTGAGTCCTCTTCTCTCTGAAGACTGATTAGCCCTAGCTTGTCTAATCATTGCTCATAGCTCATTCCTCACAGTTCATCGCTAACACTGGGGATCATCCTCATTGCTCTACACTGCACTGCCTCTAGGGCTCAGGCAGCCCTTTTATGTAGCCCCCTTACATTGCTGTAATTAGAACTGCACTCTCCCATACTTTCCCTCATGATTCCAACCCCCAGCTCAGGTGTAAAGCCTTAACTGTGCCTCTTGACGTGAAAGGCACGATATAAATGCAATTTGTTGTTTGTTGGTGTTGTTGTGTGTTCAATGTGCCATCTGACCAGAGCCTTCACAGCATTTCAGTTTGAATATCAAACCCAAGTGTCAACTGACTTAATAATATAAGCATCCTGCTTGCCATGTTTATTGCTGCCTCACTGTTTTTACGCAGTGATTCATAAATCAACTAACTTATCATGGACTTCCCCCATGACGAGTTCTATTCCATCCATGGAATACTTGTGTTTCCTATTCTTGGATCCTTTGTGTAATATCAATAAAATGAAGAGAAAGTTTAGCAGAAAGTATGAAAAAATGCCAGAAGAGTCTCTCTAAACAAAGGAGCAGCATTTACGTTTTAGCAGACTTTGAAATTAAGACCTGTTGATAGAAAACTGGCTATTTTGAAAAGGAACTTTAACCATAAAAGCTTGAAGATGTTCAGATAGTTAATAAGTATTGCATTGTTGTCGTACCAGCACACAGAGAGCTGTTGCTCTGGTCGATCTCATAACCCTCATTACAGCTGCAGTTGTATCCTCCAAACACATTGGTGCAGATCTGCTGACAAGAGGAGATGTTCTCCAGACATTCATCAAGATCTAGAAAAAAAAGTTTAGAAAGTAAGATATGTTGAAGCCAACATTTCTCTTGCTGTTGGGTGTTAAGCGACAGATTACCTGAATGCTGTCTCAGGATCATGTTCTTGCAAAAAAGGGCACGACGTGAAGAAAAGAACTAACATAAACATTAATTTTGGTGTAAATGATCAAAATATAAAAGTGCACTATAAGAAATGGTGAAGTTGTAAATGATATCTGATAATGTTAACAATAATGTGGAAGCAAGGGCAACAAAAGCAAAAATTGCAAGACCATGCAAAGTACAGCGAACATGCTATAAAAGGTGAGTGAATATACAAAGAATTTGCATTGGCCAAATCCCTTTTTCACCCTGAATTCATAGGAAAACTTCAAAAGAAGCAGAAGGTGCTAAAAGAATCGCACATGGTGAAATCTTCCCTACCCCCAAATGAAACAACTGATCCCATAAGTGGAGGCTGTGGTGTTCACGTGCATTATACATAGGACAATATTGTAGTTGAGTCAGAGCAGTATTGCAGTGCAATACCAAAATCAATATCTTTGTATCTATGCTGATTTTGCATCTACTCTCTTCACAGAACAAGGGATGAATTACCATGTCTGGTTTAGTATAGGAACTCCATGAGTCAAGACATCAACTATTAATACCCATTCTTACGTCTTCATAGTGAGACGTGATGATGCACGGTCAAGGCCCTGCTTGTCCCAACTGATTTTATTGGGAAAACTATCATCTAATACATTTGTTACATTTATTCAGTGTTGTATTTATTTTGATGAGAGACTTCAGTGAAAGTCATGTTCCTTACCATAACACTTTAAACCATCTCCTTGTAAATAATCTGGACATGGATCACAGGTATAGCCCTCTTGTGGTGCCGGTTGATCTTTGCAAGTGTCGTTCAGGAAACACTGATTGTCTTCACAACCATCAAAATCCTCTGTGCAGTAATCGCCAGTGTAAGCTTCACTGCAGTTACACATCGAGATCTTGATTAAAAACAAAACAGGCATTTACATTTTAGGATTCAATTAGAAGAATGTTTGTTTTCTAATAATTTCATAGGAATTCTCCTGTATTTTAAACCCAACAGTAGAACAGAATATCCTACAAAAAAAAACTAGGGGAATAATGTGGAATTAGAGTAGCAGCCAGGATTTACAACTCAAACACAAAGATATATGCATACTATAAATTAAGATCAGCAGAGACAAATGCACGGTGGCACACAAACTTTCTAAAGCTACATTTCTAAATTTATATAAAACCTTGGTTAAACCACATTTGAAGTTATGTGTCCAATTCTGGTCATCACACTACAAGAAGAATGTAACAGCGATGGAAAGAATAATGAGCAGGTTTACTAGGAATGATACCAGGGATGGCAGGTTCTACTGTTGTGAAACCCATTTTGTTCAGGTGCTATCACTGGTTGATTGACATAAGGAAACCAGCAGGAAAGGTAATATTTTGTGTTTGGATTCTCCAATGAATCTTCACCCATTCTCAAGCACAATCTCTTCAAATTACAGCACATGATTTTTTATTTCAAACTATTTCTTACATTCTACCTTACCTGAAAGGCACTGTTATTTCTGTCAATAGTCAGAATTGATCCAGAATAATCACAGGTTGAGTTGATGCTGCAGTTGCACAATATCAGTGTCAATCCTAACTCAGCAACAGCTTTTGAATCATTAGCTTGTACAATCACAAACACTGGAGTGGCACTTGTTGGATGCCAAGTGAAGTTTCCATTTTCTATCAGATTAAGAGCAGAGATGCATTCCTGATTTTCAGAAATTCTGTACATTCAAATACATTTACAAAGCAACTCCACCAAAGCAAAAGATCTGAACATTTTACTTTTTAAAAAACTTCTTGCCTGAAGATGCTGATAGACAAATACCACCCACCCTCAAGTAGCTTGCTTAAGTGGTCATTCCTTAATTGTTAGTGAGTTCTGTCAAACTATTTTATTGTGAGGGCCATCACAGCGAAACTCAATGTTTTCTTCGGTTAGTAATGTCCTTAACAACACTTTCCAGCTGGAGATACTGGTAACAGATCAAGAGGAGGAACTCTGAATTTCCTTTTCTGGAGCATGAAAGCACTGAGTTCACATCGAGTGCTGCTGAGAGCAACTGACTCAGGATAGAATGGGAATGGACCTGGGACCTTATTGTAAGTTTGTATTGGAAAGTGCACTTGATCAACTAAACTATTAAGGTTCTGAGGCCAAACTTGCTGGAAACATGTTCAGCATTTTGTGTGCCTCCTGCACTCAGGTTATCTAAGGCCAGGCTTCATAGTAGACACATAGATTGTAATTAGCTCTGATAGTTAACAGGTTATGTTTGAAAAACCTCTCTTCATTGGGATTACATATTTATTGCAGCTCCATAATTTTATGAGGTAGCTATGTGAAAGGCTGATTAAGAAAATAAATGTTTACAGTTTTGATAATACTGTATTTCAGTAATACTGTAGTATGAAAACAGCATTATGCTACTGAAGGTCTAATTTCTAATTGCTGTAATAATATAATATTAATTACAGATTTTTTTAAAATCATATAGTAACTGACTGTACCAATTAAAAATATAGCTCAGAACAATATTCACAAATTGGAGACATGTAGGTTACTATTGATATTTACTACAGAATGGTAATGAACAAGCTGAGAATATACTAGCACAGAGATTTATTGCATATAATCTGGGATCATATGTGTAATGAAAAAATAATTATTTAGTCTGAAATAAAGTATCAAATGGAATATTTCTTTGAACCATCCACAGGATCCTAGTGAAACTGCGTGGAAGCATGAGCGAGAGCAATTGGAAGCTATTTTCTCAAAATATATATAGAAATTCCAAATACAGCTTCAAAATGTGACTGAAGCCCAAAACTCTAAAAATAGGGTGTGGACTTACAGCCCAAAACTGTTCTTAATTTAGCATCAGATTGTCAATCTCATCAGAGAGCACAGGGCGTTGTAGAAATAGAAATTAACATCATGGTTCTTCTGAGAATGGGTTTGAACCTCATTGTTGAAGCAAAGTTATAGGAATTTAACTTAACATCTGATCATACTGATTTTGGGTGCCTTTACTGGTCATGGGTGATTACATTGGAAAAAGTTTCCTTTTACCTAACATCTTTCATCTTCATGATCACAAAATTGCTCAAATATGCTGCAGGATATGAAATGCAAACACATATGATAAAAGCATTGGTACCTGTCATACTGATATCTGCAGAATCAGTCAGCACTGAAAATATCACCTTATCGTCATTGAGATCAGTTGCGGAAAAAATAAAGAATACCGGCTCATCAAGACGGGTTTCAAAGACTGAATTTCCAGTGATGTTGGGTGGGAAATTATCTGTGAAATGTTACACATTTATTATTGACATTCCCAGCTCTCTTATATACAAGAACATTGGAGGCTTTGCACACAAGAGCAAAACATTCCTATTATAAATTAAAAAATAATTATAAATTAAAAGAAATCAAAATACGGAGTTGTGTCAAAGTACAAATACAAATACTGTAAACTGAGCAGTAAAATATTTAAGGCCAAACATATTCTTTTTGGAACAAGAAAACCGCAAGCCCTTTTTGATGAGTTTGAACCTACCCACCTTCTCATTACATCCCTTATTCCATTCATTCCATCCCTCATATGTCTACTTGCCTTTTGAACCTCCTTCAAGTCTCTCATAGCTATTACTGGTTTATGTTATGTTAGAAGTCACAACAAAAAGTCAAGGAGTTACAAATGAAATAGAATCAAGCTATATGACAAGCTAGTAAAATATATAGGTATGAAATCCTACCAATTCAAACTTATCGCCACAAATGAAACATTGAATAGAATAATACTCTGGAGGGAGTTGAAAGTTACTTTAAATAATGATATGGGACAAGAGCTTGTAAAGCACTTTGTATATTCAGGTATTATTTGACATACTTACTCATTGTACTATTCTGTGATCCAAAAGATGTGATACTTTGCAAGGTTGCTGCTCCAAAAGAAAAGTCGTCTGTACTTAAAATGTCAAAAATGCAATCATCATTTCCTTTGCAGGTTTCGTTCGCTTTGTTAATTTTCTCTTTATCTGTCGTATTCAACAGTTCATCGTAGAACTTGGGTACAAAGCTATTGTTGTTGTAGGTGTACCAGGTCTCCCCAGGATAACTGTTGTATGTGAACAGGGTGTTGTTCTCAGTCGTTTTCCCTAAAAAATGATTTTAGCAAATTGATAAAGGTTTTGCAAATCATAAAGTTATAAGAACATATAGAGAGAAATTAGTACCATGTCTTCGCCAACAATCCCCCAAATAAAATTAATCATTCTCTCCATGGCTGTTTGTGGGACAACAACAACAACAAAATGACATTTATAGAGCAACTTTCACATTGAGAGGACGTCCCAAAGCGCTGAACAGTCAGGTGTTGGGGTCCGAGCATGGGGGAGGGGGTGTAGGGGTGAGGGAAGGCAGAGAGGTGGGAGGGAGACCAAAGGCATGGTCGAAGAGAAAGGTCTTGACACCAGCCTTGAAAGAGGCAAGGGAGGAAGCGATGAGAAGGGAACATGGGATGGAGTTCCAGAGTGTGGGGGCAGAGAGGCTGAAAGCCCGGCCACCAATGGTAGAGCGGGTTGGGCGGGAGACGTGGAACAGGCCGGAGCCCGATGAATGGAGGGTGCGGGCAGCTTGGTACGGAGTCAGCAGGTCAGAGAGGTAGGAGGGGGCAAGGCCATGGATGGCCTTAAAAGTGAGGACAAGGATCTTGAACTTTGGAGTCCTGTAGCTCAGTGGTTAGAGCACTTGCTTTGCAAGCGAGAGACCTGAGTTCAATTCCAGGCAGAGGGCGAAACCTTGGGCAAGTTTCCTTACTCCACACACAGCATAATAATAATCATAATATTAATCCCTCTAAAACAATAATAAATTGGTCATTTTCAATCTACGACTGTTTGTGGGACATTGCTGTGCGCAATTGGCTGCCGCGTTCGCCCACAAATATACAGTCAATTCACTTTACAGTATATTCTGTGAAGCGCTTTGAGACGTCTAGAAGATGTGAAAAGCGCTATATCAAATGCAAGGATTATTATTATTATTATGGGGGATGAGGAGCCAGTGGAGTCGGGCGAGGGTGGGAGTGATGGGGTCACGGAGCCTGGTGCGTGAGAATGCACGAGCTGCAGAGTTTTGTATGATCTGCAGCTTGTGAAGGGAAGAGTTGGGAAGGCCGATGAGGAGGAAGTTCCCGTAATCGAGCCTTGATGTGACGAATGTGTGGGTGAGGGTTTCGGCAGCCTGAGGGGGCCGTGGCAGAGTCTCTCACTGTTGTGGAGGTGGTGGTAGGCAGTGCCGGTCATGGCGCGGATGTAGGGAGAAAGGATGGTTCAGGGTCAAAGCCAGGTTCCTGACTGGCTTAGTGAGGTTGAGTGTGCAGCCGTGGAGGCTGATGCTGCCAGCGTCTGAGGTGCGAAGGCAATGGTGCGAGCTAATCAGGAGGGCCTAGGTCTTGCTGACATTGAGTTGGAGAAAGTTGGCCCTTGTCTAGGACTTGATGTCAGACAGGCAGTCGATCAGGACGCCAATAGTCGTGGACATTGATGCATGCAAATTGGCTGCCATGTTTCGCCCACAAAATACACAGTGAATCCACTTTACAGTATATCTTGTGAAGTGCTTTAAGGCATCTCAACAGATGCTATATCAAATGCAAGAATTTGTATTATTTTCACAAGCATTATGCGTGAGCTTTAATAGTGAGTGACAGACCATTCAATCATATGGATATCACAATCAAGCCCAACCTTATCTCGCTTGAAATATACATGGGCACCTTGCTAAGAGGGTATCTGAATAGCGATCAGGAGAAGACTGTAGTTAATTTAACCTCTTCCAACTCAGAGGCATAAGAACAATTATAGCACCTTAACTACTGTCCTGGCTGAGATCAGCAAACTCAGCAAGGGTCAAGATTTGCACATCTCCAGCACAGTACCTTTACCCACTTGGCCGTTGGAGAGCTTCAAAGATTGTTTTTAAAGTATACCATTTATTGCCTTACATGTCAAGCCAAAATCAAAGAATATATCATTGTCACTGGGCAATTTTTTTCCATCAAAGTTGAGATATGTTCCATTCGCAGCTTTGAAGTCATCTGTTGCATCATCGTTCCAGACACCTGGGCATAGACGGAGGAATAGTTGCAAATGAAACACAAAAATTAATTCTTAAATCTGATTTTATTTATGAACACTTGTAACTATCGTATCCTGGTATCTCTGATGTTCTCGGACCCAACTTCTCTATTTGCTCTTCTGCTCAGATAAAACAGACCTGCTGTGCATCCTGCCTGCTCCACTCAGTGAGTGGCTGATGCTTCAGTGACTATACCCCTAATCTCTGGAATTCCCTATCTGTATCACTCTGCCTCATCCACTCTCTGTTTGTGTTTAAGTCCCACATTGAAGCAAATTAAATTTTAATTTCATTTCTTAAAACATGTTTTATTGATCTATGGTCATCGCCCCCGCCCCCTTCTCCCTCTCTCGCTAGGTGTCCAAACCTGATATTGTGCAGCATTTTGAGACTGTGTGAAGAGTGCTATATAAATGAAAATTGTTGTTGTTGCTCCTTTTCGCTGATTCTTAAACAATAAGATTACATTTGTATAGCGCCTTTCACGTCGGGAGGACATCCCAAGGCATTATTCAGCATTTCAGAACCGAGCTGAGATCAGGGAGGGAGAAGGGGGGTGACCAATGGCATGGTTGAAAATTAAATTAATTAAATTGATTAAAGCAGGGATCACTCATTCTGTGGTTATACTCTTGCAACAACAGCCTCAGTGAAGGTTTCCAAATGATTGGTGCAATGATGTGACTTCCTTTTCTTCTGACAAGATGTGAAGATATAATTTTGTAAGTGGCAGTAGTCCTTACCTAAGAGTCCTTCAGTCTTGTTTTTTAAATCATTATCTAAGAAGGTGGTAAAAGTCAGAGCCCCCTTTGTTCCTGAAACTGTCACAGATGTTCCACCTTCAAAAGTCGCCACTGTCTCGTTGTTACTGGTCGTCTGCAAGGTAACTTGATTGATGTAAGTTGAATTTTCTGTAAAGGACAAAGATCGCAAACAGAGTTCAATGTTAACGCATTCAAATAATGGAATAATATTTTCCCTTACAAAATAATAAGGGAATATAATAGCCAACAATATAATAGTGGAGCCCTCTTAAAATAAAATCAAAGCACTCTACATGTCAGTATAACTTAAATTTGGTATAATGCAAACATACTTTGGGCGCAATCAATTATAAAATCTAACCTTGTTTCAGATTCACATTTTGGGTAAAATCTAATCTTGTTTTAGATCCACATTTTAAGACCAAACTACTTTGTTGTATTTGTTTATTGTACTTGTGGATACCGTAGGTAGGCGTGCAGGAGGGCAAAAGTGAACTAACTAACTGCTCCTACCTGTAACATTTACAGCCATTCCATCTAACAACACGTTAATCTCATCACCAACAAGATTCCACTGAACCTGAAGGAAGAGATTCACATATGTACTTGCAGTCAATCAAACACACAATATTACATATTTGTCAATGCAGAAAGAAACATTTCCACCTTGTCCTAGCAACAATAACTCTCATATCAGGCACAACATTGATTAGATACAGAGTAAATTTCCCGCTGCTTTAGTGTCAATCATTATAAATACGAAACAGAATGACTAATACTTTTCATGATCATCATCTGATAGACCCAACTGTTCTATGAAGTTCTCCCAAGAAACCTGAAGTGTGATTCAGAGAGAAGCTCCGTCTTCACTGCCCAATCATTGATCCTCAGATCAGCTAGAGTTGGATATAAAGTGGATCTCCATCTGTATCGCACTGCAGAATACTTCAACATCAAGGAAAGGGCAGGTAAGATACAGTGCAAAGATTGTTTTACTATGGCAGGTCAGATAAATCATCGGTTAATTGCAGAGTAAAACGCCTTCTTTTCTGCCTTCATTGCTTAGGTGTGAAACCAGGAGAAGGCACAATTCTGAAGCTGAAATACAGGTGTTATCATTTTTAAAAAAATCTTTTCATGAATGGCCGAGCTGAAGCCAGGGATTATTAATAATAACAATAATAATCGTTGCATTTGATATAGCACTTTTCACATCTTCTAGACATCTCAAAGCACTTCACAGAATATGCTTTAAAGTGAATTCACCATATATTTGTGGGCGAAACGCGGCAACCAATTGCGCACAACAGTGTCCCACAAACAGTCGTGGATTAAAAATGACAACTATTATTGTTTTGTTGTTTGGAGAGATTATTATTATTGTTAGTGGTTCCCAGTCAACTGTTCCACCAATAATGCTATTGGCTATCCAAAACTTTGGAACTCTTCAATGCATTGGACATAGCACACCATTCATTACTCAAAGATTATAATATAAGAAATTAAATGTGTCATTTTTAATTTCAATAGAAATAGTAACAACACCAAACATTTGAACTATTTATTTTCAATATAAACTCTTTAATTGGTATCAAATAACATCTCAAACAAAATAGAAATATCAACCCACCAAAAATTTTAACAGGACTACCTAAATTTTGTACACTAAAGGAACATGAAATGAAAAATTAAGATTAAGAAAAGCTCATGCTGACCACCAAGTCACTCCTTCTTCAGATCACCCCCTACTCAAACGCCTGAGAGAAAAGTACTGCACTGTAATCCTGAAATGTAATCAACTCAAAAACAATTGAGAATATTCATCAATCCCCCACATCTGCACTATCTACCCTTTATACCAAAGTTCACAAATAGTCATAGTAATTCTGGAAATAATGTTCATTTTCTTCCATGGCTTTCCCTTTAAGAGAAATCTTGTACCCAATTAAATATTTATCTTGTTAAGATAGCACTCCTTTTAGACTTAAGCACGTCTTAGTTATTTGCACTTAAAGTAGTTAAGCCAATCAAAGATAATGTGCATTATCTATTGTCATAGCCACCATCCTTACCTTTGTTCCACTTGGTCCTTGCGCTGCCAGTGCTACAAAGTTGGTTGCCTCAGACGTCATATTTTCCCCGGCTTGAATGGTTCGTCCTTGGAGAGCAAATATCACTGTATTGCTTTCATCTTTCACATTTAACAGGATAAACTCGCCCAGACCATTGAACGTGTACTTTACATTGTCCAGGGACACCACATGAGGGTCTCCAAAGAAGAAGCCTGTCAACAAGAAACAATAATTGTGGAATAACTTACTGGATACAATCATGTCACTCGAGAATCTCAGAACTTGCAAAATCCTCCTCCACCTATGCCTTTTCTTAACCAGTCCAGTAAACATTGGGTATGGGGAAAGGGACTGAAAGGATTGCTCTTAAAATAGCCAGCACAGTCACGAGGGGCTGAATCCTTGCTGTATATTTCCATGGTTCCAAGTTTAATAATCTGAGCTCAAAATGAAGAGCTGAAGAAATGCAGAAGCAGAAACTGTGAGAGGAATCCTTGCCATTTCTCTTCCCTGCAAACCTACTTTTTGTGGTTGTTGATGCTGCAGGAATGATGAATTTGTAAGTTGCCCAGTATATAAGGTCCCATCAGATCAGGAGGTTCTAGATTCAATCTAGTGCGATCTCTTTCTGGTCCATGATGAGTGAGTTAATTGCAGGCAGGAAGACAAGTGAAGGGACCATAACTGGCATAAGTGTGCTGTGTTATAATTACTATTATTTTCATTGATTTTGGTTTATTGTATAATAAATAATACTTTCTCTCTAAAAGCAATTACTTTCAGTGAAATATTATTTTATACCTATACGAGGAGGAATGTAGCCAAAGCAGAAGTTCCGGGGCCTCTTCTCGCGGTACAGTGAACAGTAAGAATAGCTGCCCGAGTCTCTGCAGCAGTCATTGTACGGATCAATTTCATTCACTGAAGAGAAAGAAAGAAAAGTAACAAGTTAAATCAAAAGGGTCTCTTAGGATTATCAAGAATATGTACATAGGTTAAGATTAGATCAGAAATGTCATAGAGACGCCTGGTAAGAATAGACATTGTAAGAAACTGACACAGAGAGACTGACATTTTACTGTCTAAGGTTTAAGACTGTCTATGGATGCAAAAACTGCTGAGGTGAATTCATTTCCTTGGTACGTTTTGTTATAAATTTGAAACAATCACATGAATTTGATTGGTAATTTTGCTCACCCTTGTATTGTTGTCTATGAGCTGGTATGATATTGTTCCAAAAATTATTCCAGTATGAGTAATAATATCCCCTCCACCACCAAATCCACCAGTTGTAATATATCCAGGGTGTGGGGAGGAATCGTTCTTTTTCTCCATAAATCAAGCCTCCAAAAAATGAATAGTAACATCTGACTCCAGAACCAAATGCATCAGGGAATCTGTTCTGCATCGTGAAATATAACTCTGGAAAAAATAAACATCTTTAATTCTCTCCATATTTAATTGAAGACGATCATTCCTTGCCTTGCCAAGGATTCTGTTCTAATAGGACCACAAACAGGCCTTGAGTGTTGGTATAATTGCTTCTAATAGAAGTTAGAAAAGGGAGAAATTAGATGAGAAGTGCTCCTGATACAATTATGTCTACAATCCAAATGAGGAGTTACAACCAGTTGAGATAATACAATAAAAGGCACATTTGGAAATAAATATATTCTATTTTAAATGTAATATTTTATACTTATTTATCACATGTATAGATAGGTTCTGCATAAAAGTAGCAAGTTTTTTTTAACCTTAATTATCTCAGTTTAATCTTTCAATGAAAAGTGCATTTTTGCAGAATTGATTCCAGCTCCGCTCCCAAATGGTGCAAAGACCTACCAAGAACATTGAAGGGATCACATTTTAATAATAATAATCACATTTGTTCTACCATCTTTCATGTCTGGAAGAAGTCCCAAAGTACTTTACAGGATTTATTGTAAAGGAATTAAGATTGATGCTTGCAGTCCTATAATTTCTGTTTATTTGAATCAAATTGTTTAAACTTCACATGTCGCCATAAATTTCAGTTGTATTTCAATTTTTGTGTTCTTAAATAATCAACAGATCCAATAAAAATGTTTCATTTTGCACTACTATTTTGCAGATCATAACACCAAAATAAATTAAAATTACCTTGAGGTTCTTTAACTTCAGATCTGTAATAACTGTTGAAAGTGTTTCCCCAGATAAAGCGAAAGTCAAATATAGCCTGCCAGAAAGAGCAGGGACAGGGATTGGTATTCCAGTATGGAGAGGGCTCTTCTCTATACCAGTCCAAGCACTTTTGTCTTGGGTTTCTTGTCAACTGGGTATTTTTCTCCAGTCGGTAAGCCCATCGTCCTTTTCTTCCTATGAAAACAAGATTACAGAAATTAAAACAAAGAAACAAAGCGAGTAATCTCCTGTGCGTTAAACACACTGCGATTGAGACATTAAACTGAGTCCCTGTCCATGTGGGCGTTAAAGATTCCATGGCACAATTTGAAAAGAGAAGGGAGTTTATTCCAGTATCTTGGTGACAATCCCCCACATAAAATTGATCATTCACTCCATGGGACACTGATGTGTGTTAATTGGTTGCCTCATTCACCCATAAAACACACACTGATATACCACTTTACAGTGTATCCTGTGCAGTATTTTGAGATATCTCCAAACATAATAAGGTGCAATATCAAATGCAAGGATTATTATTATTACTGCAGAATGCAAGACTCTGGCTAAGGGCAGAGTCTTGCATTGTGTACTAATATGCTTAAATTCAGAGCCATTAGCTGCTTAATAACAATTGTGTTCCCAGTTGTTCAAAAATGACCCTATTTGGCAATGGTGCTTTTCAGCTGTTGCTGTTCCTTTCTTTTCCAATGAGTAAACAGCAATAATAATGACCTTTCCCCTGGACCATTAACATTTGGTAATCACCTGCTGGCTCTCATTGGCTGGCTCAGCTGGTAAAGCCTCTGGCTAGTGTGAAATAACCACAGTTTGAGAAGGTTCAATACCCTGGTTTGTGGTGAGTTAGTAAATCCTAGTCAGGAACTGATGAACTGTATATCAGTAACTTCAGAAGAGGAGAACAATATATTTGAGAGCAGTAAAACAAAAAAGTTACTTCTTTCTGGTGGCTCAGTGAGTAAATGCACCAGGTCATTTGATATTAGCACATGCATACTGCTGTCCGTTTGACTATTGGGCAATGTGTGCAGCCTTTGACTGGAAATAACAATAATCCTTGCATTTGATATAGCGCTTTATCTTGTCTTTAAGATGACTCGAAAAGCTTCACAAAATTTACTGTAAAGTGTATTGACTATGTTTTGTGTGCAAAACGTGGCAGCCAATTGCACACAGCTCTGTCCCACAAACAGTCATGGAATGAGTGACCAACTTATTATTATTATTTTTGGAAGGGACTATTTCCCCCGCACAAGGGATCCTCAACCTACTGCTAGATAAACAGAGGGTGTGGAGTAAGGAAACTTGCCCAACGTTTCATTCTACCTGGGAATTGAACCCAAGTCTCTCGCTTGCAAGGCAAGTGCTCTAACTACCGAGCCACAGGACTACACCATGTAATAGTAATGGACTTGGCTTGGCACTCATTGTCCAGCATCACTTGGAATGTTGACTTGAACCACCTACATTTGGATAGATTATGGTGTCTGTTGTATCCAGTGTGAGTTACATTCCTTGTAATGTAATTTCAGGTAACAAAGCAACAGGTGAGAAAATTACGAAACAAATAATAATTTTTTTTCTCTCGGCTGAGCCATGGTGAGAGCCAGCCAGCGATTGCTTAAAGTTTAACGGTCCAGGAGAAAGGTAATTGTTATTGCATAATGATGTTTAACTCATTGGAAAAGAAAGGCACAGCAACGGATGGAGTTCAAACATACTTTCTAATGGAATTTGGAAACTTATCTCGGATGTTTAAAGTAGAAAGTCAGTTTTAAATATCCTTAAGGAAAAATACATCTGTATTTCACTGCTGGAAGTGTTAATGTTTATCCTTTTAAAACAATACTAATGATTAATAGATTGGAGTTATATTAGCATGACATACCTGTTTGGAAGCCGATGTATTGATCTGGCCGATATATTTCTGCAGGTGATACGTAAAACCTGGTGTGAGGGTCGTTAAAGGCTGGAAAGTTTGAACCAGTTTTTGAAAATCTGGACCCACTGTAAATGAAAAAAAGGAATGTTGAATCATTTAGCTGCATAGGTGAGGAATAGAGAGGATTCCAGGCATTAATGATTTTAATTTATGAAGAATGGTTCTGAAAGTTGGACTAGATCTCAAAACCCTCTTTAAAATACTTTCTTGCTTCCCTGCTTATGGTCCACATTGTCTTTGTGAAGCACTGCAAAGCATTTCTAAGTGTAAAGTGTTGTTGATCTCTTTCGAAATAAAGAGATTGTGAGGTGACAAGGCAAAATGTTTCAAGATTACAAAGATTAACAAAATCTTCAATATGGAAACACTTTAAGCATCAGTTACAAGTTAAGATGTTTGGAGGAAGGGAAGTATTTTTGGGTATAGTGTCTGACACATGTAGACACCTATCACCATGCTTAAGAGTATCCAAACCAGACAGTGAGTTTCACATATATATACATGGAGATTTCCCTGTGGTTGGAATGGAATGTGCACTCTCTCTGGGGGGGATGAACTATGTTTTAATTCCAGAGAGGATTAAATGCAAGAGCCAAGGCTTCGGAACCTCAAACTGTGGGTTGGAGTTTAATAAGTTAAAACCTCATAGCTTGCCATTAAAACCCTTTTCTGGCAACTTCCCCCTGCATCCAGCTAGGACCACCCAACCCATAAGGAGTGCCAAGCCAAACCATCTTGGTTTGCAAGATTAACAGGAGCTGAGTGGGAATAATCCCCGTTTCCCCAATTTTCCACTCCATGTCCTGCTACTGAGTCAGGTTGGCTGATCTGGAGTACTGCAGATCCACCTGGCTCAAAGTATTGACTGGATTCCATCATTCTGATGCCAAGAAGACATCTTGGAGCTAGTTCAGCTCCAGGGAGACCCTGCTTACCTCTCTCCTCCAAAAGGTACACAACAGATAAAGAGATTTGTGGAATAGGTTACCAGGAAATGTGCTGAAGCAGAGAAAATGACAAATAGGTCATAAATACCTATAGTATCCCATTAAGGCATAGTTTCTATAGTAAGATCTTGAATTATAATTCCAGTTCATTCCACCATCTTTAAATTGAATTAGACAAAAGGAATAGACCCCATCTGTGGTCAGAACTGCCTGATAAGTGTTTGTCTGCAAAGCNAAAAATGTTTACCACGTTATTCATCAATCTAAAATTACGTAACAAAAGGAAACGCAAAGTATTCTTGAAGAATAGCCGATTGAGAGACGACAGTAATTAGATATATTATATTAGGTATTTTAGATATATTAAATGAGATGTCACTTTACAAACAATGCACCTTTTATATTTTTGTGAGCCTAAACTTCACCATTGTAATGAAAATACATACGGTGTACAAGTAACTTCATTTAGCATGGTGGAGGTTTTCTAGAAGAATAAATTAACAAAAAGTGGGTAGAATGGAAGTACCATTAAAGCAAATATAATAGGAATAGAATAAAGAGCGAAGGGGAAAGATTAGTCAAACCAAAAGTCAGAATTAAAACTACTGACCATTTTATTTTAATTAGTAGTTTTTTTAGTTTATTCCAATGAAAACTATACTAATAAATCTATTCCTGACTGCTATATTATTGCAATATTAATGATTGTCTCAGTTCAAAGAAACTCGTTACAAAAGCAGTCAGTGAGGCAAGAAGTCGACAGGAAGTCGAAATGGAACATTGTTCTGTGACTTTCTATCATTAAAATAATCAGTCACAAGATCTGGAACCTCAGACACAATTCAGAAGGTTAATACATACGTTCAGAGGATCTCTGTTTCTATATCCAATGTAAGGGGATACATTTTCCCAAGTAATCTTGAGGGCCCATTTAGGTGTGAAGCTTTCAATGTCAAGGTCGTAGTAAGCATTTACTTGCTTCTTGATGTCATTCTGAAGTTTCTGACTGTGAGAATCTCTTTTGACTGAGAAATCATAGTCCTGAAATGATACATAGCGTTAGTTTTTTCATCGGCTCTTTTGACAGATACACAGCATGTTCCATGAAATGTTAACGACTCAGAATCAATTGTCAATTATAAACAATATACAGTTTTTCAGTGAATTGCAAGGTTCAGGATCATTTACTTTTCGGATTCTTTTCTTCAATTTTTCAGCTAACTATTCTATAGATGGTAACAGTTAGAAAACAAGGTAATGTGTTATTTAGTTTTCAACATTTTGTTTATTTCAGGAAACAAAAGTACTTTTGAGTGTACATGTGCTGAGACCAATCAGTGATTTAAAGGTAGTTTGGTCTTGCTCCTGGAAAGAAACAGGAACCCTGAAAAGGTTAGGGTCACTGGTTTCAAATTGGTCATTGTTGTTAATTTATTTCCTCTTCCGTGCTGGCAGAAGGTGTTATTCTAAATCAGGGTGGTCCAACCTTTTTGGTGTCAAAGGCCGGATTAAATGTGTGAGAGAAATCTGCAAGCCGCAAAAGCAATATTTTTGATTTTCCCTTCCAGAAACAAATATTCATATAGAAATCCTATGCCTTGAATTATGTGACTATTATTTAATAGTGATCGTATCAAATGGAATTAAATGCTACAAATGTTTTAAAGTCAAAAGATAAGATATCAACTCAGCACATAATTCAAAATAATAAACAAAACAATTTTCATACAATCCAGTCTAAATCTACACATAATCAAATTATTTTACCTAACATACATTTCCTTGATATTTAGAAGACCATTAAATGTCTTAGCATGAACACTGTGGAAAATATTTCTCTTGAACCAGGGCTCCAATGTCACCTTCAAATTCAGTAATGGTAAGTCGGAGCCAGCACCCAGGGGTATTGCTATCAAGCCTGTTGTCATATATGGACTTAACGAGCTTCATTGTGGAAAACAAAGGAGGAGGAAGAGAATAGAACCCTGGGGCACAACACAGATGATCATGTGTAGGGTGCAGGAGAAACCATAAGAGGACACAAAATGGTGGCAGTGGGTTAAGTAGGACTATGTACATAATAGTTCTTTGTAGCAGGATTTTGGACCTCAAATTTTTTTGTTCTCAGGATCTTTAAAAAGAACAGATCATGGAAATAAGCTGTTCAGGGCTCTGATTTTATCTTTATATATATATATAAATATAGTATATGTATGAACTTGAAAAAAAGACTTATTAAGCTAAATATTGTCATTTTATTTACCGGTTTCAATTGCACACCTCTGTTATTATAATGGTATACATAGCAATACTGTTCAGCTTTAACAGCCAGTTATACAAAAAAATTCTACAACAAATATGAAATCTGATTCTACATACCTGGTAATATATGGCTCCAATTCCTCTAGTTAAATCTGCATCGTCCCAGAAAGCAGCGATCATTGGAGGTATACCCCGGGAAAAGTATCGGCTGAAACTCCAGAAGGTATAGGAGTATAGATATTGCACGTAGCTATTGTGTCTTTGAAATATGATCAATCCATTGTCTGAAAACTTTGCAAAGAAGATTCATTTTATTGAGCTGTATTTTGTGTGTTTTAATAATGAATGTAGTATTTCTCAAATCAAAAAAAGTATGTTTTGAGAAGACTGATTTTCTGTGAAGGAGGCATTTCTCCTACCGCTATCACAATTCTTATCAAGTGTATATATGGTACCTCAGAGTCATACAAAATTTTATATTCCTATTATAATTTGCAGCTGTATAGTATATTAAGAATATAAGTATGGAATGAGAGAAATGAGAAAGTATTTTTTAGTCTATCAAGCTTATTATTTCCATAGACTTTGTACAATTTACATTTTAATCTATTAGAAGGATAAGAGCCCTTTTACATAATTGTGTAAAAACTACCCAATTCATCCTTGGATACATATCCACTCTTCAACGCCTGCCCATTATCTCTACAGATAATCCTTTTAAATCCTGCCCCACATTGTCTCGCGGAGCATTTGATTATCTCAGGTACAGGTCTCTATAATCTCTAATACAATTCCCATCTAAGTATTTCTGGCATAATCAATTTGTTAAATGGCAGTCTTACTTCCAAATGTTACTTGGATAAGCACACTGCAAAATGTTTTAGAGGCTTTAGAAATAGACGTTAGTCACAATTAAAACAACAAACTGCAAACAAGAACAATGTAGAATAGCTCCAGCTATTTCAAGACCTAAGTATGCATCAAACTTTCCACTGTGGTGATACAGCCATAGAAATTTGCAGAACAGAAGCCTTGGCTCGGTCTCTGAAAGGTTTATTCATTTGTCCCAAGGGAGTAATCACACCCTTGCAATTATCACTGCTGTTTTTTTACGCCATGTAATTACTGCTTTAGTTTCTTTCAAAGTTTAGCTAAATCTGTTTTGAGAAACAAGAAATACATGTCTATGACAGAGCCCTTAGGAAGTTTGCCAGGAATATTGTAAATGTAGGAAATCATGTTTGAATGAATGTGGGGATGGATGATAATTCTGATCTTTTTATCTTTAGGAATTAGCAATCAATTGTCCAGAACTTGCCCTCAGAGATACAATAGGTGGAGTGAAAAAAGGCAATGGGTAATTATAGACATAATGATCTTGAAGAGACAAATGACCCTTTCTTAGCATTAAAATTAACAGTTAACAAAGAAAATCTTAAACTTACATATACTCTGTAGTAAAACGTATCATCAAAGGGAAAGCCATTAGGGATGTTGATGATTGGAGAGTTGAAGTCACGTCCTCTAATTTGGAGTTTTACATCTCCAAATTGTGGTCCGTAGCTGAATAGTCTTATCTCTACAGAAGAAATTAAGTGAAACAATCGTGTCTTTTACAAACAAATAATTGTGACAATGTTCAAAATGTTCAGTGGTTTCCAGCAAAAAATGACAGAACCATCGCATATCAGCTCAGATTCAAATTAGTCATTATACAAATCATAAATATTACAGTTGAAATATCCTTATGTGCAATTCTTGAAGTATAGATATCCAATCATGGGCGGGGGATCGGACTTCTGGTTAACAAATAGTACTTTGATTGTCAGCCTGGTTCAGTTGGTAGCACCCTTGAATCAGAAGGATATGAACTTAAGCTTTATGTCCCAACTTTGAACTCATGTGGAGTCTTGTAGCTCAGTGGTTAGAGCACTCGCTTTGCAAGTGAGAGACTTAAGTTCAATTCCAGGCAGGACAAAACCTTGGGCAAGTTTGCTTACTCCACACGCCTAATAATAATCCCTCCAAAAACAATAATAAATTGGTCATTTTCGATCTACGACTGTTTGTGGGACATTGCTGTGCGCAATTGGCTGCCACTTTCGCTCACAAATATACAGTCAATTCACTTTACAGTGTGTTCTGTGAAGCGCTTTGGGACATCCTCCGGACGTGAAAAGTGCTATATCAAATGCAAGGATTATTATTATTATAAATTAGGTTGACACTCCAAAACAGTCCTGGTGGAATCCTGCATTGTTGGAGCTGCCGTTCATCAGATGAGACATTAAATCGAGGTCCCATCTGTCTGTTCAGTGGATGTTAAACATCCCACGGCACAATTCAAAAGCATTTCTGTATTAGCCTAAACAAATGGTCACTGCACCTTCCAATAAAAATCCTGTGAAGTACATCTATATCAAAGGCAAGGATTATTATAATAATAATAATGCTTGCATTTGATACAGAGGCTTATCACGTCTTCGAGACGTCTCAAAGCGCTTCACAGAATATACTGCAAAGTGAATTGAACGTATACTTTGTGGGTGAAACGTGGCAGCCAATTGATCACAGCAGGTTCCCACAAACAGCCATGGATTGAAGTGACCAATTTATTATTAGTTTTTTTTCAAGGAATTATTACGCTTGGAAAAGTGATCTGCCAATTGACTAACAACCGAGTTCCTACTTACTGCTTGGTAAACACAGGTGTGTGGAGTAAGGAAACTTGCCCAACATTTCTCCCTGCTGGGAATCAAACCCAGGTCACTCGCTTGCGAGGTGAGTGTTCTATGAACCCCATATTATTATTGGAGCAAAGGGGTGTTCACAATGCTGTAAATTGATTTGTGCAATAACAATGCAAAATTTCTCATTTTGAATGTTAATCTCTGAAATGGTTAAAATCTGACGGTAAGATTGTGGTCAAGAGAAATATTTTCAAAATGAGGCTCAGGGAAACCTGCAACAAGCTAAGAACGCAGGTAAAACAAGCTTTTGTGTTGCCGAAGATACCTGTACAGATAACTGCACAAGTAAGATAAACAAAACATTTATGGTGTATACAGCATCCATTTCAAATAAAATACATCTTTTTCAGAGATGGGGCCAGCAAAATTCAAACACCTGTATTTTTTTCTTCACATAGTAACAAGATGACAACCAAAGGTAGCGTAGAGGGACAGATGGAGAGCCAAACCTGTACCACCAACTAACGGCTGTGAAGGAGATGACAGCCCATCTAATCCACATCCCATAGGGAGTGGAGAGGTTTTGAATTGTTTTGAGTGACACGACATCTGGTATTTTGTTAATGATGATCAATTTACTTTAACTCACGTAATACATGTTGTGTCTTATCTGCATAGTGACAACAACTACTTGCATTTATATAGCGCCCTTCATGCGGTTTAGCATCCGGGAGCGCTTCACAGTGGAGGAGTCTGACAACGAACCAGGGGGGGAGTTGACAGCAAGCTTGATCAAAAAGGAAGGTCAGACTCCGCCAATGTCAGGCGCTCCAGGACACTACCCCACGTGAAGGGCGCTAAGTAAATGCAAGTTGTTGTTGTACAGGCTTGATGTCACAGAATAAATGATGTAAATTCTGACTCAAAAGAAACTTTTCCATGGAACCAGGTGCTAATATCTCACAAGAATTATCCATGTAAAGTTACTACATTTATTTTCCTTAATTATGGAAGTTATCTTAAATTACATCATTAACATTTCTTGTGTAATTTTGACCTCAAGTTACTAAATTATCAGTGCAAGATAGGAATGCACTGATCAAAAAAAATAACCTCTTATGAAACTATACCTTTGCAACTGAAGCCATCACCTTCGTACCCTTCCTTGCAGGAACATGTGTAAGACCCCAAAGTATTATTACATATTCCGTAATTCGAGTCACAGTTGTCAGTCCGACGGGAACATTCATCGACATCTGAATAGGAGAAGCAAATTTCAAAATAGTATTAAACAATTCTTAAGTTGTCTTCATTAATGTTAATAAACAAACAAGTATCAAATTGAAAGAATGTGTATTAAAGTCTCATAAAAAGGTGCATGGCTATATTAGGGGCAGGAGGTAATAATTTATAAGATAACATACTGTGTAACATCTCAAACTATAGAATTAAACAATTATCTCATTCCTCAACAAAACAAATTTCTGATTTGCACAATATTAATTTTCTTCATGCCACAGAGTATTTTCAGGCCAAGAAAAGTAGCATTACGAATAATTCTGTATGAGTGATTTTATACACAAGATTGCTCTTCACTTTGTTCCAGTGTGGAAATATCAGGTTTCCGTGATCCTGTCCTGGCAGTTTGGATTAGAAATGGTGGCCCACAAACTCTGATCATAGCACTCTATGTCAAGGCATTCTGCTGCATCAATATGTTATGCCTCAGCACCAGCTTACACCAATGTTGCATTTATATTGAACCTTGGTGAACATCCAGTTGCTGAAATCAGATGGTTATTTTTGACCTGCTGCACATAGCAAAACGTCTAGAAGAAAAGCAACTTCACTCAGTATATAAATACAGTTCAAGAGTATTGCTCAAGGAACATTTGGGAGAGCAAATTATAATTTAAAAATATGTAAAGCAGTTTGTACACAAAGCAAAGTAAATGTATCGCATGGCAGCAAGGAATTCAATGCCTCCAAGATCTAATTCTATGTAGAAGTTAATACTAATGTTTTTGTCCTCCATTATTTGTTTGATGCTATTGTTGAATTATTATAATTCAATTAATCCAACCTTAAACATAACAATTCTGGGACTGTACCTGTCTCGCAGCTCTTGCCTTCCCAGTTGCTCTGGCAAAAGCAACTATAGTCATTAATTTCGTTCACGCAGAACCCATTATGTTGGCATGGCCTGCTGGCACAGTTGTCAATCACTGTAATTCAATTTTGAAAGAAGTTATCAAGAAATTGTATCAGTCAATCTCCAGAAACAATATTTATTTGAATCATTTAAAGCAGCATGCACCTTATTTAAAGTTCAACATATAATTTTAATTAAAAATGCTTTACTTTTACACCTACTTTACACCTAAAAACACAAGTTGTTGTTACATTTTTTTTTGAAACTTGTGAAAACTGTCTTATTTCTGAATGTGGATATAATTTGTTTACAGTTTTTGAAGTTTTCCTGTACTTCTCTTACCAATTTCATCCATTTGAACACTTTTGGTGAAAGGCACAATTGACCATAAGGATATTTAACAAAGCCTGCTATCCTCAAGGAGCATCCACACACACATACACACTTTAAAGCAAGTGGGGGTACAGGTGGAAGTAGTCAATACATAGAACTTCTGCAGCATGGGAATACTGACTTTAATTGTAATTCCCCTGATGCGATGTGTTAACATAGATGGAGGATTATAATTTGGAAATTTGATGTTCTTTTGTTCCAATAATGTGACAGGATCTTTAACATCCACCTGAACAGATAGATGGGACATCAGTTTTAACGTCTCTTTCGAAGGACGGCACCTCCGACAATGCAACACCCCCAGCCCTGCAGCTTGGACTACGTGATTCCAAGTCCTGACGTGAGGCTTGAACCCACAAGCTTCTGACTCAGAGGCCGGAGTGCTACAACTGGTGTGAATCGACTTAATCTCTGGTCAAAAATGGCTTCCCAAATGTTGACTCTCTCCGGAATTAGGTAAGCGGGGTGCTTCACTCCATTCCAGGCCCAGAAATATTTCTATGTGGATGTGGTATATGCATATGTGGAATGCTGTCATTTTTTTATTCCTGAGAGTAAAGATGGGTTTCCCCATATGTTAGAAATCCGACTAACCAAAAAAAAACACTTTTTTGACAGTCCACTGGGCCACAACAGAATTTTGAATAGGTTAATAATGTTGCATTTGACACTTCAATAGAATAATAAAAACACCAGTGTTTGGCACCAGGTTTTGGCACAGACATTTGCAGAGCTATATTACAGTAGGAAATATAAATGCTGTTTACTGCTTCACATCACTTTACCAATGAAAGCAACTTAAAATTGTTTGCAGCAGTTTCAATCAGTAAAGACATGATTAATGAGGAAGGAACATTTGATGGGAAGAGGGTAGCAAAGAGAGGGATCACAGCACAGAACAAAAGAGGACAAGATTCCTCTTTATCTCTTAAAGTGGCACTTGAATGAAAACATTCTCCTCCCTCAGCTATGCAACAATGATCCAACAACATGTTGGACAGTTACACATATTGAATATCAGATGCATCTAAATACTCACGTTGTTCACAAAGTCTACCAGTATATCCAGGGGCACACATACAAGTAAAAGCATTCACAGAATCTGTGCAGCTGGCTCCATTCTGACAAGGCTGGCTCAAACACTCGTCAATATCTGATGAAGAAACAATAAAATCTATTTGAACAAATTCAATGAACTATTTCAGATTTGTATATTTCTGAAATGGAAAGAAAAGGAACGGAATATAAAGACATGAAAAGTGTGATTATATCATTGAAATATAGTATATGAGCGGATAGCTACCATTTATATTGCTGATCTCATGCCCATATTTTTAAAATTATAGCTATATTTAAATATTAAGTAGGATTCAAATTTTGAGTAATTAGCATGTGATTTTTTTTAAATCTGGGGATTTGCATAATCTCTCTCAAACTAAAGGACAGAATGCAGATGAGTTGCTTACTGGTTTCACAGAGTTGTCCAGTGAAGCCTGTGTGGCACAGACAGCTGTAACTTCCTGGATTGTTTTCACAGATTCCATTAACACAGGGACTAGAAACACATTCATTTACATCTGAAAACAGGAACCGCAATTAGAGTTCATCCAATGAGCAAATTAAATCAAAACATTTAGACACATTACATAAAAGCTTCAGAGGATAAGGTGGAGCAGTGTGGTTGAACACCTTGCTCTGAAAGCCTTCCTTTTATGCTGTGAATTTCTATGATTCTACAGCACATTTAAGGATGTGAATTTGACAAATTCTCAATTAATGTAATATATTTTAAACTGTAAGCTATTCTGTTGAAGTGAATAGTTGCAACCACCTCAGCCATGGGTTAGTTTTTACAATACAATTGCATTCCACATTTCTTCATGCTGCTAAAAATGTTGTTCATTTGTACATCATAGTCCAATGAGAGTAAGTGGGCATGTGGATAGTTGCCTTGCGGATACTTTGATTCTGTTGTAGTTATTACGTCCTAGGAATTTTATTTGCATTTCTAGTCATGTTTTTTTTTGGAAGATGACAATGGCATATAAAAAAAAGTTAGGTTCAATCTTACCAGTTCCTATAGGTTGGCATTGAGTCTGATTACATGAATTAATATAATTTTATTTGTGGGAGGATGCAACACGTGGCTTGTAAGAAACAATAGGCTTGCTGAACTTCCTATTATTTGGGAGAGGGGATTCTTTAGTTTTTTCCTGTTGCTCTTAAAGTCTTTGACCCACACTGAGGTTTAATGCCACATGCAATGGCAGTCTTCCAATTTCACACAACTAACTATTTTCATGTGTGAACCTAAGACAACAAGTGTTTTAGGCAAGCCTAATCCAACAGCAACACACCTGCACTGTCCAACTGGAATGATTGAATTATGATAGCGAACAGGAACCCTAACTTAATTTTGTCCTCTTTAGCTCAGTAGCTTTTAAAACACTGAATGTTTGACAAAAACACAAAAAGTTAAAGATTCTATGGCCACAATCTGAATTGTGCCGAGGAATACTCTCCCAGTGTCATGGCCAAAAATCATCCAAATAAAAAATTGGCCACTCACCCATGGCTGTTTATGGGACATTGCTGTGCTCGCTGGCTGCTGCATTTCTCCCACAAAATAGTCAGTCAATTTTACAGTATATCCTGTGAAGCACTTTGAGATGTCTCAACGATGTGATAAGGCACTATCAAATGCAAGGATTATTATTATTAAGGTCTTGTATGAAACATCTTACCTTGTGAGCATATTTGTCCAGTCCAGCCAGTGACACACTCACAGTTGAATGAACCATTTGTGTTAATGCAATGACCTCTCCTGTTGCATGGGTTTGATAGGCACTCATTGATATCTGGTAGAAATACATCCAAATGTTTAAATACAAGGCAAATAGCATGATTATAACATAGATTATAACATTGTACCAGACATTCTGTATTCGCTCCATAATTTTTAATAATTTTCATTTTTTAAAAAAGAATTATCAATAAAAGAAATATGCTGTACAACAGTTCAGATTCTGCTGTATATATAGGTCCTCTTTCATCTGTGGAACGTAAACAGTGAGGGTTCACAAGATTATAATGTTACATCGAAGACCTTGAATTTTCACTTTATAACTTAAGGAAATTGTAGAGATTCCAGAGAAGTTAGAATTTTTATATATTTGATTCTAGCACTTAGATATTGTCCTGAAGCGAAAAGCATTGATAATAAATATAAATTTATGCTGTAATAAACGTTACCCAGGTCTTCACAGGCAATTTAGTCTAATTTGTTAGTGACTACTTCTCTGGACATTGTATTGAAGGAAGGAGTTTGTACGGTGGAAGATATGGTAATGGATATATTTTTTTCTTGATAACCTTTGGATTCAGACTCTACCAATGTTAAGCGCTCTGAGACACTACCTCTGCATGGAGGGCGTTATATAAGTGCATGCTGCTGCTGTTAGGAGAGTTTCTTTTGCAGATACTTGGCCCAGTGATTAGTGACTGAGATCACTTAGACTGACTTATGGTAGTTTTGTTGGTTATTTGAAGGCAAGTGTTTAATAAATTGTTTAATAAATTGTTTAGATATGAAAAGAGAAAATTGAGAGGTAACATGATTGCTGTCTTTAAGTTCCAAAGGGGCAAAACAATATCGATCATGACAGGCTGTTTCAGCTTGTCCAGAACAGTAAAACCAGAGGACATGGCCTGAGATTGAAAGGGAGTAAATTCAGAACAAATCTACACAAACACTATTTCAGTGAGCGAATAGTGAACCTGTAGAACAGGCTCCCCAGGGAGATGGTTGAAGTAGAAACGTTGATTCTTTCAAACACAGATAAGATAATTTTCTTTTAGGAAATACCATTATGGGATATAGTACATAGGTAATTCAGGACATATGTGCATGTGACCACCAGGAAAGTAGAAGGCAAACGAGTTGGACTTTGGTCTTTTTTTGTCTAGCGTTTCTTATGTTCTTGTGTTTAATTGTTTAAATTACTTTTCGTTCAAGTATACTTCTATGCTCTTATTCACTTCACTCAGGAAATTAAATAAGTTGCTTTGGGTTAACTTATTTAATTAACCTCTCTCTGTCATTTGGCACTGTTCCTTCCCTCCTCAAAATAGCTACTATCACCTCCCACCTTTAAGAAACCTTCCCTCAACCCATCACAGCTATCCAGCTACCGGCCCATCTCAAATCTACCCTTTCTATCCAACGTCCTTGAAAGAGCCGTTGCTTCTTCTCCATCCCCCGCGCTGTTTCGTGTGGTGTTCCTCAGGGTCCTGTCCTCGGTCCCCTCCTCTTCACCCTCTACCTGCTCCCCCTTGGTGATGTCATCCGCAGACATGGGGTAAATTTCCACACGTATGCGGATAACACCCAACTCTACCTCTCTGCCTCCACCCTGAATTCCAGGACTACTGGCATCCTGACCGACTACCTGTCTGACATCAAGTCCTGGACAAGAGCCAACTTTCTCCAACTCAACGTCAGCAAGACCGAGGCCCTCCTGATTGGCTCATGCCAGCACCTCCAGATCTCAGGCGCTGGCAGCATCAGCCTCCACAGCTGCACACTCAACCTCACTAAGCCTCACTTCGTGGAGTCCTGTAGCTCAGTGGTTAGAGCACTCGCTTTGCAAGTGAGAGACCTGAGTTCAATTCCAGGCAGAGGGCGAAACCTTGGGCAAGTTTCCTTACTCCACACGCCTAATAATAATCCCTCCAAAACCAAAAACAATAATAAAAAAATTGGTCAGTTTCAATCCACGACTGTTTGTGGGACATTGCTGTGCGCAATTGGCTGCCGCGTTTGCCCACAAATATACAGTCAATTCACTTCACAGTGTGTTCTGTGAAGCGCTTTGGGACATCCTCCTGACGTGAAAAGCGCTATATCAAATGCAAGGATTATTATTATTATTATTATTATTAAGCCAGTCAGGAATCATGGTATCTTGTTTGATCCTGAACTGTCCTTTCTCCCCCACATCTGTGCCATGACTGGCACTGCCTACCACCACCTCCGCAACATTGCCAGAATCAGCCACGGCCTCACCCCTTAGGCTGCCGAAACCCTCACCCACGCATTCGTCACCTCAAGCTTTGATTATGGGAACTCCCTCCTCATTGGTCTTCCCGACTCTTCCCTTCACAAGCTGCAGATCATACAAAACTTTGCAGTTTGTGTACTCTCACGCACCAGGCTCCGTGACCCCATCACTCCCACCCTCGCTTGACTCCACTGGCTCCCCATCCCCTAGAAGATCAAATTCAAGATCCTCATCCTCATCTTTAAGGCCATCCATGGCCTTGCCCCCTTCTACCTCTCTGACCTGCTGATTCCGTACCAACCTGCCCGCACCCTCCATTTATCGGGCTCCGGCCTGCTCCAAGTCTCCCGCCTGACCCGCTCTACCATCGGTGGCCGGGCTTTCAGCCTCTCTGCCCCCACACTCTGGAACTCCATCCCACGGTCCCTTCGCCTCGCTTCCTCCCTCACCTGTCTCAAGGCCGGTCTCAAGACCCTTCTCTTCGACCGTGCCTTTAGTCTCCCTCCCACCTCTTGGCCTTCCCTCACCCTCGGGTCCCCGACACCTGACTGTTCAGTGCTTTGGGACGTCCTCCTGACGTGAAAGGCGCTCTATAAATGTCATTTTGTTGTTGTTGTCAATGCTGGAGGATGCAGAACATGGCTTATTAGAAACAATAAGCTTGCTGAACTTCCTATTCTTCTCATTTTATATTTTATGTTCTTGTGTATCTGAACTAACCTTCGTTACACAATTCCCCACTCCAGCCAGAAGAGCAATCACATGTAAAAGAGGTTCCTTCATTGATGCAAGTTCCATTGATGCAGGGGGAGGATTCACACTGGTCAATTTCTAAAATAAACAGAAAAAAAATCATTTTTAAGGAGATTATTCAATTGAATTTCTTATGATGGTTTAAGTTAACATATGAAACATTGTATTAGAAATCTACCATTACATTTATCCCAGAACTCCTTACTGAAATATTCCAGTAAGTAAAATACAGTTTGCTTTTATATATGCTTTTCAAGTCAGGAGGATGTCTCAAACTGCTCTACATAGCTGACCAAGCATCTGAGCTGGGGGTGTGGGATGGGGGGTAGAGTTGAAGAGAGTGGTGAGTGGAAACATGACGGAAAAAAGGCTTAAATAAGCTTTAAAGGTGGGAAGGAAGGAGGCGAATCAGTATATCAGCCTTTTAATACATCAGTGATATTCTTGCATCATAATGCAAAACTTGAGTATCACTGACTGACTGGGTCTCAGAACTATCAATAATGGAGCCTATTCAGCTTTGTTTAAATTATTCCAATCTTTATATATCAGGAGCGCGTGCAGTAAAAATTGACAAAATCCATTTTTCTGTACATTCCTCCTCCCCCTCCTGCTTTTCTACGTCTATGCCACATTACACTCTTATCTCATGTGCATCACTGCTAAAACCCTCTATTATGCCTTTGTCACCTCCAGACTCAACTTTTTAATTGCCCTCCTTGCTGGCCTCCGCAGTCCACAAGCTCCAGCTCATCCAGAGCTGAACTGCCCACATCCTTACCCATACCCTGTTCTTGCTAGTTCCCCTGGCTCCCCATCCACCAGCGACTTGATTAACTTTAACGTTCTCACTCTCACCTACAAATCCTGCCATACCCTTGCACCTCCCTACCTCCATGATGTACTCCATGCTCACGCTTCTGCTCTTCCCTCCGCTCAACATATTTAGACTGTTGGATGTTTTCTGCCCCACCATCAGTGGCCTAGCCTTCAACAACTATGTTGCCCACCCCCTCCACCTCCCACCCCAGAACTCTTTCCCTCAACCATTGGGTGCAATCTCCTCTTTCTTTAAAAGACACCTAAAAATCTACCTCTTTGACTGTGCCTATGGTCACCTCTCTCCTCCCCTTACCGCCTGCAAGGTATTTGGCAGCATTTCAAAGTGCTCCAGGTCATTTCTCTACGTGAACTTGTTATATTGAGTTCAAAGTGTCTGACAGAAGTCTGGATATCTATTGCATATGCCATTTACTACATTCAAAGTGGCCAATACATATCAAACTACAACAGAAAGTATGTTATTGATGGAACTGTACTCCTTTTTGAGGTCATGGTCAAGAGAATAACAGTCATTTTTAAATTCCTGCCACAAGACATTTAGTTGGAAGTTGTTTAACTTATGAACATTTGGCAAGCAAATGTGCGGTGCTTAAATAGTTACTGGGAACAGGAGAGGATACTGCTTTAACTTGTGTGTTGGTCTCTCGGAGAAATATTCTGTCTAATTTCCTGGTTCCAATGTATCCAAATATGAAAATAAAACTTAGATAGTTCTTAAGGGCAATTTGAACCTTTAGTTTATCAAAATATTTGATTATCTTTACAAAACTCTGCAAATCCACAACAAGTCAATCACCATCCAAACAAGAAAGACAGGTCAATGTTTTGGATGTATCTCCCACTTTTGTAAATTGCTTGCGGTTTTCTAATTGAATTTTGACTTACCATTGCAACTTCTTTTGTCCCCTTCATCCAACACATAACCTGAACGACATGAACATTTATAGCTTCCCAAAGTATTTTGACAAAGCTGGGTACACATATTCAGGTCATGGGAATTGCATTCATTGACATCTGTATAAAAAATGAGATATACTGATGACATAGGCAAGATTACATTTCTATTCAGATATCCCGTACGGTAATAGACAATAAACGAGAAAATCTTTCAGTCACACATATGTGGAATATAAATTAACATCAAGGAAAAGGCAAAAAGCCAACAGTGACTGAAATGTGTTGATTATATTTAAATCATTGTGATATGCGAGATTCTGACTCAAGTCAAGTAGTCGGGTTTTGCTGCAATGAATATAAAAGAGGATCATGATTTAGCTCTGTTCTACTGTGTTCCAATAGACTGTTTTTCTTGTCAAAATAATGACAAAGGTTAAGGGCGATCCAATGTGGTACTTCGCCATACAGACCGATAATGTGATCATTATCCTGTCACCTCTGTTGGGAAGTGGATGTACGTGAATATTCTGTGACAGAATAAATAATCTGGTGGCAATTGCATGAGGTTTACAAAAGGCTATCAGCAACTGTGGAACCAAATGACAGCAATGATCAGTATCTTTGGAAGCGGAAGGGACAATATTCGAGAAATACTGTTTGACATATGTATTGATTTTTCATGCTGTATTATGAAGGTTTTAATATTTGTTTTTTTCTGTGAAGGTTAAGCTTTAATGCAACTAAAATTAAATGGGGTCTCTTATGTCCACCGTTTACATATATTTGCAAATATTCGTTTGATGTTATTCGCAAATAACATCAAACATACAAATATCATCCATGTAGTAATACCTTACCTTCACAGACTGTAAGTAAGTTATTTTGATTGAATCCTTTCTTACACAGACATTCTGCCTGTTCATTATCAACAAAACAGTTTCCGTTCGTGCATTGGAGTGTACAAACGTCAATGGCTATAACGATAACAATAGAATATATCATTAAAAGCTTCTTATCATTCCATTCCCCTACAAGACCAACATTTTTGACAATTAGAATCTTTAATGAGAAAAATATTACTTGTTGCTGCTTTCCTCTTACCTTGGCAAGTCATTTTATCTGATTTTAATTCAAATCCAAAGTTACAATTGCATTCATAGCCTTGGATGTCTTCAAACTTATTTCGTTCAATACAGTTCTGGTCACAGCCATTGTTTCCATTGCTACATTCATCTGAATCTATAAATTAAACAATATATATTGCACTTATTTACATACTTTATCTGATCTACCATTTGCCTTATCAATGTAAAACAAAATCTGTTTAAATAATAATAATAATCCTTGCATTTGATATAGCGTTTTTCTCATCTTCTCGACATCTCAAAGAGCTTCACAGAATAGACTGTAAAGTGAATTGACCGCAAACAGTCGTGGATTGAAAATGACCAATTTATTATTGTTTTGTTTTGGAAGGATTATTATTATGCGTGTGGAGTAAGGAAACTTGCCCAAGGTTTAGAGGTGGGGGAGGGCCCTGTAAGCTGGACACTTCATTATAACATGCTCTTCATCCCACCCCTGCCCCCCCATCCCTGCTGGTTTGGATAGTCCCACAGTGTTGTGAAATATGTTAAAACTAGAAAAACCTCTCCTTCTGAGTTCCTTGCTCACCACAGACCAGTTGAGAGTAAAGAAACATTGGAGGGCATCATAAGATGAAGTTCAGTAAATTAGAAATTCATGGGCAAAGGTTAGTCGATGGTTTCAATTAAAAATAATTTGTATTTTAAGTTACCTGTACTCTGCACTACTGACACTCCTTTGTTGGTTTTGTTCCCTGTTGTCACAGTTATGATTGTGATTGTGTAATTACGACCAGGTTTTAAATTTGAAAAGTTTGCAATTAAATATTCAGTCGACTGAACAACAATGTTTTGTTCTTTCTCCAACAGCGATGTCAATCTGGCATTATATGATAACAAAGTTCCTCCTGCTGCTTCCCAGGTGACTGCCAGAGAGGTGTTCCGAATTCCAGTAGGTGGAAATGTGATATTACTTACAAATGCTGGGACTAGATCAAGCAAAGACATTCATATATTAAATTCTAACACATGACAATACTTTCATTTCTGAACTGGAATAACCGCACGTCATTAATTCATCTGTTTCAAACCTCGTCATCAGGATACAATGCTGTAAATTTTTAAACCTACCATAAAACATAAACAGCTGAATAAAAACAATAATTTTCACTTAAATAATGCCTTTCTTCTCTCATGTAGAAGAACAACTCAAAGCGCATTAAAGAGACAGTGCAGATCAGGGTAGATGAGTGGGGTAAGCAGGACATGGCAGTCAAAGTGACTGTTTTTCTCCAGGATTTGAAAGCAAAAAGGGAGAGAGGCATTTGAGATTTAGGGAACGTGTTCCAGGGAGTATGATCAAAGTGGCTGAAAGCTCATCCATTGATTGTGGGATGACGGGTGGGCAACATGAAGAAGTAACCATCAACCATTTTATTCTTTATTCCTTTGAGGTTTCTTCTCCTGTTCCTCCAGAATTCTAATCTGCTCTACATGTACTCTTCATCTTACCTATTTCCCCATAGTGCTGAAATGAAGCTTCCACAAGCTCAACCTTTCCAAGGACCCTTGTGGAATTCTTTAACTCCCTTTGTCTTCTATAACTCCTATAATCTACAAACCATTAAACTCAAGCTTGGCATCATCATTCTCTCCCATACTTCACAATGTTCCTGAAGTTCGCAATTTACCAATGTTTCTCAATTAAAAGCTACAATAGATACACAGAATAAGATGATGTATATTCGATCGAAATAAAATGATGGACAATAGATCCAATTCCAGATTTCTATAATACTTAATAAATTTGATACAATTTAAGCATAAAGACCTGCTGGAAATATTATTTGATGGGTCGAGTTTATTTCTTTATTTAACGATTAGGTCCAGAATTCCAAGAAGAGTTCAACAGGAAAAACAGTTCAGGACTTTACCTGTAGTCACATTCAAGGATCGATTTAGAATTGTATTGAATTTTGTAATGAACAGAACATCAACGGTGTAGGTTTGACCTGGACTCAGTTCAGAAAATATGCAGGTATTTTTAGTAAAGTTAAATGTACAGTCGTTGTGGATCTCTCCATCAATTTTGACTTTGTACACTCCACATGATTCATAGATCTCATCAGACCACTTCAAGGTGAAACTTTTGTTTTGGATGTCTTCTTCTGAAATGTCTCCAAGATCTAAAGTAACATTTAACAGAGTCAATAATGATGACAGACAGGAGAAGTTAAGAAAATTACTTCAAATGGTTTGACGTAAATAAATCCTGCCATAAAACAATAAATTAACAATACATCCTGCAATAATTCAACAAGAATTCAGTAATAGACATATATACCCCATATTAAATGAGGAAATCAACCATATACCCTATCGTACATTAACATATAATCTTCAACAACAGTAATATAATCCTACAATTGAACAGTTATATATTGCACAATACCTTGTTGAGTGACAGAGTAACAGATGCCATGGGTTGTTACTGAGCTGCTTGGTGACAAATGTGTAATGTATGGAGTGGATGTTCCAATGGTTGAGGATATGACACTGAATTGTGTTGGAAGTGTTGTCACCGTGAAAAACGTTGTCTTTTGTGTACCTGCAGAGGAGAAATAACACACAATGTATCTACCTTTCTTCTTGGAATAGCTATTAGGAAGCAGATATTTAAATTGGTGTATCCAAACCTCTTGAATTTGTTGTTCCTTTTGCCTTATTTGATCCAATTGGCATCACCGCTGCAAAGGTCATGTACAGGAGTAGACCATTCACCCTGTCAAACCTGCTCCACCATTTTGTTACATTTATTGTTTACCTGCAACTTAATACTATTTTCCCCTACTATTTTCACCATATTGCTTGATACTTTTCCATAATATTTGTCAAAACAAAATAAATGTTAATTTCTTAATTCAAACATGAATAACTTGCATCTGCATTTAAAGGATTCACTTCATTATTTTGGGGAATATCAATCCATCTGTACTTTTAAGAAATGGATTTGTACTTCCAGTTAAATTATGAAGGATGATAAATACCTTGGCATCTTTCATACCTGTTGTTTCAGCTATTGATTTTGTGGTTGCTGAGGAAGGTCTCAGTGTTGTAGATGATTTTGTCGATGTGCTTGATCCTGATGTTCTGGTTGATGTAATTATTGCTGCTAATTTCGTGAAACATTCAGAAATATTGGTAAAATACAAAATAATCTCACACATTCTTCAATATCAAATGCAAGGATTACTATAAGTAACGTAAAATGGAAAAGCTGACCTAAATGTGGACAACACAAATAAATTGTGCATTTATTGTTTTACAATTTTAATTTCACTAAACTTTACATCAACTCCCGATTCTGATTATTGTGCTATTTTCAAATGAAGAATAACATTTTTGTATTTGTATTTTTTGTGAAGATATTCTAAATTATGACGTTTGACAAATAACATGTCAGTTCAGTTGTTGAAGAGGAAATGATCACAGTTGTAGATAGTTTTGTTGATGTACTTGAATCAGATATTATATTTGTAAACGTGTTGGCACCAAATTGAAAAATATTTAGAAATGCTAGTTTAAAGTACGAAAACCTCTTGCACATTCCACCATATAAAATCTAAAAAAGCTAATATTAGGATCTACAAATGTTTATCTCCCAAATTAAAATATAGATTTCTTGCTAAAAGTGCTATTATCAAATTTAGAATTTTAAATAACAGATTCATTGTTTAAATCAAACATCCCAAACAAGAATAGTGAATTAATAAGTAGAATTATTTCAATTTGGATTTGTTGTGTTATTGAGAACATGTTAATTATTATCATTTGGGTGTAGTCGCACTCAGTCGTACATTGCCGTACGAGCCTTAAGTTAGTGATGTTGATACCTGTTGTTTTGCTGGTTGAGGAAGAAATTGTTGTAGAAGAGATTGCAGCTGAGGAGGGCTGTATGTTTGTGGTTTTTGCAGATGTTCCAGTTGATATTGAGTCATTAGGGGCTGCAAAGTCAATTCAGAAATGCTATTCGTAAAAGCAAGTGGTCTTATTGTTTAAAATACTGTATCCTCAATTTATACCACAACAAAAACTGCTGCTTGCATTTATGTATTCATCCTTCAGGTTGGATAATTATTTCGGAGGACTATACAAAGGAGCTGGATGCCGATCAAGGGAGAGGAGTGGGGGTTGATCAAAGAGGTAGGACTTAAAAACAGATAGAGCAGGGGATGTGACAGTGGGTCAGAGGAAGGGAGTTTCAGAGGCTTGGGAAGTGCCAAGTAAAAAACGATGTGTATTAAGGTGGTGTGGATAAGAATAACAACTTGCACTTATATAGCGGCCCTCACGCAGCTTAGTGTCTCAGAGCGCTTGACAGTGCCGGAGCATGACACCGAGCTGGGGGAGGGGGGATGTGATCATAGGCACGGTTGGATAAGAAGTAAGCAGGTCGGAGAGGTAGGGAGGGGCCAGGACATGAAGGGATTTGAAAACGAGTGTGAGGATCTTGAAATCGATCCATTTGGTGATAGGGAGCCAGTGGAACCTGGCTAGAACTGGTGTGATGGGGGTATGGAGTTTAGTACCGGGGAGTATGCAGGCAGTGGAGTTTTGGATCAGCCGGATTTTGCGCATGGTGCAGCTGGGGAGGAGGGATTTGAATATTCAAGGCAGGAGGTGACGAATGCATTGACGAGTGTTTTGGCTACATCTGGGGCAAGGTATGGTCAGAGGTGGGCAATGTGGCAGAGGTGATCACCCAATCCCCCTGGTACGACAAGTTTATAGTGTTGATACCTATCGCTTCACTGGTTGACAAAGCAACTGTCGTAGAAGAGATTGCAATTGTTGATGGTTCTACTGTACTTGCTTCAGATGTTCCAGTCAATGCTGAGTCACTTAATGCTGTAAAGATAATTCATAATGCAATTCAGAAAAATGTGTGCTCTTATTTACTCGAATACTGTTATTGTGAACGTCTAATGTTCATGCGAGTTCAGGGAAATTATGACGTTTGCCAAATGCGTAGGCATTCACCAAACATGATGTTTCAGCTGTTGCTGCAGATGAAGAGATCGCATTTGTAGATGTTTGGGCTAATGTGCCGGATTCCAAAAATTGACCTTCTACTGAATTGGCAACTAATATTGGGAAATACTGTATCTAGAAATATCAGTGAAATGAGAGAAGCACTTAGACATTCTCTCATATTTAAAACAGTATATGAGCATGAAGCCATGAAATCGTCAAGTGAAAACTGTTGATACCTGTTGTTTCCCTGGTGGATGATGAAATTGTCGGGGTAGAGATTACAATTGTAGATGGTACTGTGCTTGCTTCAGATATTTCAGTTGATGTTGTGTCAGATTCTGCTGCAGAGATGTTTCAGAAAAAGATGTGCTCTTATTCACTCTAATACTATATTCTAAAAGATTACTGTTCAAGTAAATTGTGATGTTTTGCAAATATGTTGGCATTCAACATACATTATGTTTCAGCTGATGCTGCAGATGAAATGGTCACATTTGTAGGTGTGTGTGCTGGTGTATGTTTGCCAATTACACTGTATTCTGTGAAGCGCTTTCAGACATCTCGATGACGTGATAAGCCACTATATGAAATTTAAGGATTATTATTAATGTGTCAGTTTCCAATATTTCACTAGTTACAGATGTGGCAACTAATATTCGGAAATATTGTATTTAGAAATATGAGTGAACCGAGAGAAACTCTTATACATTCCCTCACGTGTAGAACAAAATGAGCATGAAGCCACTAATCTAAAATAAGCAAATGTGGGACTGCAAAGGCCATGCCTCTCAAATTGAAATCATCAAGTTAAAAGTGTTGATACCTGTTGTTTCCCTGGTGGAAGATGAAATTGTTGTGGAAGTGATTGCAATTGTAGATGGTGCTATTGTACTTGCTTCAGTTATTTTGGTTGATGTTGAGTCAGATTCTGCCACAAAGTAAATAGAGAAATGTCACTCAGAAAGCAACGTACTAACAGTTGCTGTACTGAGTTGACGACTTTTACACATCATTGGAGATCAGTTAAATTATGATGTGATAGAAGTATCAGAAAAATAACGAAAGCACTTACACGTTAAAACAAATGAACGAAAAATGAAGTTGAAGGAATTAATGTAAAAAGGAAAATATTCGGGGGCATAAAAGCCCCATCTTACAAATGAAAACTATCAAGTTTATAGTGTTGATACCTGTCACTTCACTGGTTGACAAAGCAATTGTCGTAGAAGAGATTGCAATTGTAGATGGTTCCAGTGTGCTTGCTTCAGTTGTTCCAGTCAATGCTGAGTCACTTACTACTGCAAAGATAATTCATAATGTGATTCAGATAAACATGTGCTCTTATTTTCTCCAATACTGTTATTGTGAAAGTCTGATGTTCATGCAAATTAAAGGAAATTATGACGTTTGGCAAATGCGTAGGCATTCACCAAACATGATGTTTCAGCTGTTGCTGCAGCTGAAGAGATCGCATTTGTAGATGTTTGGGCTTATGTGCCGGATTCCAAAATTTGACTTTCTACTGAATTGGCATCTAATATTGGGAAATACTGTCTCTAGAAATATCAGTGAAATGAGAGAAGCACTTAGACATTCCCTCATATTTAAAACAGTATACGAGCATGAAGCCATGAAATCGTCAAGTGAAAACTGTTGATACCTGTTGTTTCCCTGGTGGATGATGAAATTGTTGGGGTAGAGATTGCAATTGTAGATGGTTCGACTGTGCTTACTTCAGATATTTCAGTTGATGTTGTGTCAGATTTTGCTGCAAAGATGTTTCAGAAAAAGATGTAATCTTATGCACTCTAATACTGTATTCTAAAAGATTACTGTTCAAGTAAATTATGATGTTTGGCAAATATGTTGGCATTCAACATACATGATGTTTCAGCTGTGTCTGTAGATGAAGTGATCACATTTGTAGATGTGTGTGCTGGTGTATGTTTGCCAATTACAGTATATTCTCTGAAGTGCTTTGAGACATCCGGAAGACGTGATAAGTCACTATATGAAAATCAAGGATTATTTTTCACGTGACAGATTCTGAAATTTCACTTTGGAAGATGTGACAGCTAACACTGGGAAATATTGTATTTGGAAATACGAGTGAAGTGAGAAAACTCTTATACATTCACTCATATATGGAAAAAAATGAGCATCAAGTTAATAGTGTTGATACCTGTTGTTTCCCTGGTGAAAGATGAAATTGTTGTGGAAGTGATTGCAATCGTAGGTGTTTGTGCTGTAGTTGCTTCAGTTATTTTGGTTGATGTTGAGTCAGATTCTGTCACAAAGTTAATTGAGTAATGTCACTCAGAAAGCAAGGTACTAAAAGTTGCTGTACTGAGTTGCCAACTTTTACACATCATTGGAGATCAGTTAAATTATGATGTGATAGAAGTATCAGAAAGATAACGAAGCACTTACACGTTAAAACAAATGAGCGAAAAATGAAGTTGAAGGGATTAATCTAAAAAGGAAAATATTCGGGAGCCTAAAAGCCCCGTCTCCCAAATGAAAACTATTAAGTTTATAGTGTTGATACCTGTCGCTTCACTGGTTGACAAAGCAATTGTCGTAGAAGAGATTGCAATTGTAGATGGTTCCACTGTACTTGCTTCAATTGTTCCAGTCAATGCTGAGTCACTTACTGCTGCAAAGATAATTCATAATGTGATTCAGATAAACATGTGCTCTTATTTTCTCCAATACTGTTATTGTGAAAGTCTAATGTTCATGCGAATTAAAGGAAATTATGACGTTTGGCAAACACGAAGGCATTCACCAAACATGATGTTTCAGCTGTTGCTGCAGATGAAGAGATCGCATTTGTAGATGTTTGGGCTAATGTGCCGGATTCCAAAATTTCACTTACTACTGAATTGGCAACTAATATTGGGAAATACTGTATCTAGAAATATCAGTGAAATGAGAGAAGCACTTAGACATTCCCTCATATTGAAAACAGTATATGAGCATGAAGCCATGAAATCGTCAAGTGAAAACTGTTGATACCTGTTGTTTCCCTGGTGGATGATGAAATTGTCGGGGTAGAGATTGCAATTGTAGATGGTACTGTGCTTGCTTCAGATATTTCAGTTGATGTTGTGTCAGATTCTGCTGCAGAGATGTTTCAGAAAAAGATGTGCTCTTATTCACTCTAATACTATATTCTAAAAGATTACTGTTCAAGTAAATTGTGATGTTTTGCAAATATGTTGGCATTCAACATACATTATGTTTCAGCTGATGCTGCAGATGAAATGGTCACATTTGTAGGTGTGTGTGCTGGTGTATGTTTGCCAATTACACTGTATTCTGTGAAGCGCTTTCAGACATCTCGATGACGTGATAAGCCACTATATGAAATTTAAGGATTATTATTAATGTGTCAGTTTCCAATATTTCACTAGTTACAGATGTGGCAACTAATATTCGGAAATATTGTATTTAGAAATATGAGTGAACCGAGAGAAACTCTTATACATTCCCTCACGTGTCGAACAAAATGAGCATGAAGCCACTAATCTAAAATAAGCAAATGTGGGACTGCAAAGGCCATGCCTCTCAAATTGAAATCATCAAGTTAAAAGTGTTGATACCTGTTGTTTCCCTGGTGGAAGATGAAATTGTTGTGGAAGTGATTGCAATTGTAGATGGTGCTATTGTACTTGCTTCAGTTATTTTGGTTGATGTTGAGTCAGATTCTGCCACAAAGTAAATAGAGAAATGTCACTCAGAAAGCAACGTACTAATAGTTGCTGTACTGAGTTGACGACTTTTACACATCATTGGAGATCAGTTAAATTATGATGTGATAGAAGTATCAGAAAAATAACGAAAGCACTTACACGTTAAAACAAATGAACGAAAAATGAAGTTGAAGGAATTAATGTAAAAAGGAAAATATTCGGGGGCATAAAAGCCCCATCTTACAAATGAAAACTATCAAGTTTATAGTGTTGATACCTGTCACTTCACTGGTTGACAAAGCAATTGTCGTAGAAGAGATTGCAATTGTAGATGGTTCCACTGTGCTTGCTTCAGTTGTTCCAGTCAATGCTGAGTCACTTACTACTGCAAAGATAATTCATAATGTGATTCAGATAAACATGTGCTCTTATTTTCTCCAATACTGTTATTGTGAAAGTCTGATGTTCATGCAAATTAAAGGAAATTATGACGTTTGGCAAATGCGAAGGCATTCACCAAACATGATGTTTCAGCTGTTGCTGCAGATGAAGAGATCGCATTTGTAGATGTTTGGGCTTATGTGCCGGATTCCAAAATTTGACTTTCTACTGAATTGGCATCTAATATTGGGAAATACTGTATCTAGAAATATCAGTGAAATGAGAGAAGCACTTAGACATTCCCTCATATTGAAAACAGTATATGAGCATGAAGCCATGAAATCGTCAAGTAAATAGTGTTGATACCTGTTGTTTCCCTGGTGGATGATGAAATTGTTGGGGTAGAGATTGCAATTGTAGATGGTTCGACTGTGCTTACTTCAGATATTTCAGTTGATGTTGTGTCAGATTTTGCTGCAGAGATGTTTCAGAAAAAGATGTAATCTTATGCACTCTAATACTGTATTCTAAAAGATTACTGTTCAAGTAAATTATGATGTTTGGCAAATATGTTGGCATTCAACATACATAATGTTTCAGCTGTGTCTGTAGATGAAGTGATCACATTTGTAGATGTGTGTGCTGGTGTATGTTTGCCAATTACAGTATATGCTCTGAAGTGCTTTGAGACATCCGGAAGACGTGATAAGTCACTGTATGAAAATCAAGGATTATTTTTCACGTGACAGATTCTGAAATTTCACTTTGGAAGATGTGACAGCTAACACTGGGAAATATTGTATTTGGAAATACGAGTGAAGTGAGAAACTCTTATACATTCACTCATATATGGNAAAAAATGAGCATCAAGTTAATAGTGTTGATACCTGTTGTTTCCCTGGTGAAAGATGAAATTGTTGTGGAAGTGATTGCAATCGTAGGTGTTTGTGCTGTAGTTGCTTCAGTTATTTTGGTTGATGTTGAGTCAGATTCTGTCACAAAGTTAATTGAGTAATGTCACTCAGAAAGCAAGGTACTAAAAGTTGCTGTACTGAGTTGCCAACTTTTACACATCATTGGAGATCAGTTAAATTATGATGTGATAGAAGTATCAGAAAGATAACGAAGCACTTACACGTTAAAACAAATGAGCGAAAAATGAAGTTGAAGGGATTAATCTAAAAAGGAAAATATTCGGGAGCCTAAAAGCCCCGTCTCCCAAATGAAAACTATTAAGTTTATAGTGTTGATACCTGTCGCTTCACTGGTTGACAAAGCAATTGTCGTAGAAGAGATTGCAATTGTAGATGGTTCCACTGTACTTGCTTCAATTGTTCCAGTCAATGCTGAGTCACTTACTGCTGCAAAGATAATTCATAATGTGATTCAGATAAACATGTGCTCTTATTTTCTCCAATACTGTTATTGTGAAAGTCTAATGTTCATGCGAATTAAAGGAAATTATGACGTTTGGCAAACACGAAGGCATTCACCAAACATGATGTTTCAGCTGTTGCTGCAGATGAAGAGATCGCATTTGTAGATGTTTGGGCTAATGTGCCGGATTCCAAAATTTCACTTACTACTGAATTGGCAACTAATATTGGGAAATACTGTATCTAGAAATATCAGTGAAATGAGAGAAGCACTTAGACATTCCCTCATATTTAAAACAGTATATGAGCATGAAGCCATGAAATCGTCAAGTGAAAACTGTTGATACCTGTTGTTTCCCTGGTGGATGATGAAATTGTCGGGGTAGAGATTGCAAGTGTAGATGGTACTGTGCTTGCTTCAGATATTTCAGTTGATGTTGTGTCAGATTCTGCTGCAGAGATGTTTCAGAAAAAGATGTGCTCTTATTCACTCTAATACTATATTCTAAAAGATTACTGTTCAAGTAAATTGTGATGTTTCGTAAATATGTTGGCATTCAACATACATTATGTTTCAGCTGATGCTGCAGATGAAATGGTCACATTTGTAGGTGTGTGTGCTGGTGTATGTTTGCCAATTACACTGTATTCTGTGAAGCGCTTTCAGACATCTCGATGACGTGATAAGCCACTATATGAAATTTAAGGATTATTATTAATGTGTCAGTTTCCAATATTTCACTAGTTACAGATGTGGCAACTAATATTCGGAAATATTGTATTTAGAAATATGAGTGAACCGAGAGAAACTCTTATACATTCCCTCACGTGTCGAACAAAATGAGCATGAAGCCACTAATCTAAAATAAGCAAATGTGGGACTGCAAAGGCCATGCCTCTCAAATTGAAATCATCAAGTTAAGAGTGTTGATACCTGTTGTTTCCCTGGTGGAAGATGAAATTGTTGTGGAAGTGATTGCAATTGTAGATGGTGCTATTGTACTTGCTTCAGTTATTTTGGTTGATGTTGAGTCAGATTCTGCCACAAAGTAAATTGAGAAATGTCACTCAGAAAGCAACGTACTAATAGTTGCTGTACTGAGTTGCCGACTTTTACACATCATTGGAGATCAGTTAAATTATGATGTGATAGAAGTATCAGAAAAATAACGAAAGCACTTACACGTTAAAACAAATGAACGAAAAATGAAGTTGAAGGAATTAATGTAAAAAGGAAAATATTCGGGGGCATAAAAGCCCCGTCTTACAAATGAAAACTATCAAGTTTATAGTGTTGATACCTGTCACTTCACTGGTTGACAAAGCAATTGTCGTAGAAGAGATTGCAATTGTAGATGGTTCCACTGTGCTTGCTTCAGTTGTTCCAGTCAATGCTGAGTCACTTACTACTGCAAAGATAATTCATAATGTGATTCAGATAAACATGTGCTCTTATTTTCTCCAATACTGTTATTGTGAAAGTCTGATGTTCATGCAAATTAAAGGAAATTATGACGTTTGGCAAATGCGAAGGCATTCACCAAACATGATGTTTCAGCTGTTGCTGCAGATGAAGAGATCGCATTTGTAGATGTTTGGGCTTATGTGCCGGATTCCAAAATTTGACTTTCTACTGAATTGGCATCTAATATTGGGAAATACTGTATCTAGAAATATCAGTGAAATGAGAGAAGCACTTAGACATTCCCTCATATTTAAAACAGTATATGAGCATGAAGCCATGAAATCGTCAAGTGAAAACTGTTGATACCTGTTGTTTCCCTGGTGGATGATGAAATTGTTGGGGTAGAGATTGCAATTGTCGATGGTACTGTGCTTGCGTCAGATATTTCAGTTGATGTTGCGTCAGATTCTGCTGCAGAGATGTTTCAGAAAAAGATGTGCTCTTATTCACTCTAATACTATATTCTAAAAGATTACTGTTCAAGTAAATTGTGATGTTTCGTAAATATGTTGGCATTCAACATACATTATGTTTCAGCTGATGCTGCAGATGAAATGGTAACATTTGTAGGTGTGTGTGCGGTGTATGTTTGCCAATTACACTGTATTCTGTGAAGCGCTTTCAGACATCTCGATGACGTGATAAGCCACTATATGAAATTTAAGGATTATTATTAATGTGTCAGTTTCCAATATTTCACTAGTTACAGATGTGGCAACTAATATTCGGAAATATTGTATTTAGAAATATGAGTGAACCGAGAGAAACTCTTATACATTCCCTCACGTGTCGAACAAAATGAGCATGAAGCCACTAATCTAAAATAAGCAAATGTGGGACTGCAAAGGCCATGCCTCTCAAATTGAAATCATCAAGTTAAAGTGTTGATACCTGTTGTTTCCCTGGTGGAAGATGAAATTGTTGTGGAAGTGATTGCAATTGTAGATGGTGCTATTGTACTTGCTTCAGTTATTTTGGTTGATGTTGAGTCAGATTCTGCCACAAAGTAAATTGAGAAATGTCACTCAGAAAGCAACGTACTAATAGTTGCTGTACTGAGTTGACGACTTTTACACATCATTGGAGATCAGTTAAATTATGATGTGATAGAAGTATCAGAAAAATAACGAAAGCACTTACACGTTAAAACAAATGAACGAAAAATGAAGTTGAAGGAATTAATGTAAAAAGGAAAATATTCGGGGGCATAAAAGCCCCATCTTACAAATGAAAACTATCAAGTTTATAGTGTTGATACCTGTCACTTCACTGGTTGACAAAGCAATTGTCGTAGAAGAGATTGCAATTGTAGATGGTTCCACTGTGCTTGCTTCAGTTGTTCCAGTCAATGCTGAGTCACTTACTACTGCAAAGATAATTCATAATGTGATTCAGATAAACATGTGCTCTTATTTTCTCCAATACTGTTATTGTGAAAGTCTGATGTTCATGCAAATTAAAGGAAATTATGACGTTTGGCAAATGCGAAGGCATTCACCAAACATGATGTTTCAGCTGTTGCTGCAGATGAAGAGATCGCATTTGTAGATGTTTGGGCTTATGTGCCGGATTCCAAAATTTGACTTTCTACTGAATTGGCATCTAATATTGGGAAATACTGTATCTAGAAATATCAGTGAAATGAGAGAAGCACTTAGACATTCCCTCATATTGAAAACAGTATATGAGCATGAAGCCATGAAATCGTCAAGTGAAAACTGTTGATACCTGTTGTTTCCCTGGTGGATGATGAAATTGTCGGGGTAGAGATTGCAAGTGTAGATGGAACTGTGCTTGCTTCAGATATTTCAGTTGATGTTGTGTCAGATTCTGCTGCAGAGATGTTTCAGAAAAAGATGTGCTCTTATTCACTCTAATACTATATTCTAAAAGATTACTGTTCAAGTAAATTGTGATGTTTGGCAAATATGTTGGCATTCAACATACATTATGTTTCAGCTGATGCTGCAGATGAAATGGTCACATTTGTAGGTGTGTGTGCTGGTGTATGTTTGCCAATTACACTGTATTCTGTGAAGCGCTTTCAGACATCCGATAGACGTGATAAGCTCACTATATGAAAATTAAGGATTATTTTTCACGTGACAGATTCTGAAATTTCACTTTGGAAGATGTGACAGCTAACACTGGGAAATATTGTATTTGGAAATACGAGTGAACCGAGAGAAACTCTTATACATTCCCTCATATATGGAAAAAAATGAGCATCAAGTTAATAGTGTTGATACCTGTTGTTTCCCTGGTGAAAGATGAAATTGTTGTGGAAGTGATTGCAATCGTAGATGTTTGTGCTGTAGTTGCTTCAGTTATTTTGGTTGATGTTGAGTCAGATTCTGTCACAAAGTTAATTGAGTAATGTCACTCAGAAAGCAAGGTACTAAAAGTTGCTGTACTGAGTTGCCAACTTTTACACATCATTGGAGATCAGTTAAATTATGATGTGATAGAAGTATCAGAAAAATAACGAAGCACTTACACGTTAAAACAAATGAGCGAAAAATGAAGTTGAAGGAATTAATCTAAAAAGGAAAATATTCGGGGGCCTAAAAGCCCCGTCTTCCAAATGAAAACTATCAAGTTTATAGTGTTGATACCTGTCGCTTCACTGGTTGACAAAGCAATTGTCGTAGAAGAGATTGCAATTGTAGATGGTTCCACTGTACTTGCTTCAATTGTTCCAGTCAATGCTGAGTCACTTACTACTGCAAAGATAATTCATAATGTGATTCAGATAAACATGTGCTCTTATTTTCTCCAATACTGTTATTGTGAAAGTCTGATGTTCATGCAAATTAAAGGAAATTATGACGTTTGGCAAACACGAAGGCATTCACCAAACATAATGTTTCAGCTGTTGCTGCAGATGAAGAGATCGCATTTGTAGATGTTTGGGCTAATGTGCCGGATTCCAAAATTTCACTTACTACTGAATTGGCAACTAATATTGGGAAATACTGTATCTAGAAATATCAGTGAAATGAGAGAAGCACTTAGACATTCCCTCATATTTAAAACAGTATATGAGCATGAAGCCATGAAATCGTCAAGTGAAAACTGTTGATACCTGTTGTTTCCCTGGTGGATGATGAAATTGTCGGGGTAGAGATTGCAATTGTAGATGGTACTGTGCTTGCTTCAGATATTTCAGTTGATGTTGTGTCAGATTCTGCTGCAGAGATGTTTCAGAAAAAGATGTGCTCTTATTCACTCTAATACTATATTCTAAAAGATTACTGTTCAAGTAAATTGTGATGTTTCGTAAATATGTTGGCATTCAACATACATTATGTTTCAGCTGATGCTGCAGATGAAATGGTCACATTTGTAGGTGTGTGTGCTGGTGTATGTTTGCCAATTACACTGTATTCTGTGAAGCGCTTTCAGACATCTCGATGACGTGATAAGCCACTATATGAAATTTAAGGATTATTATTAATGTGTCAGTTTCCAATATTTCACTAGTTACAGATGTGGCAACTAATATTCGGAAATATTGTATTTAGAAATATGAGTGAACCGAGAGAAACTCTTATACATTCCCTCACGTGTAGAACAAAATGAGCATCAAGTTAAAGTGTTGATACCTGTTGTTTCCCTGGTGGAAGATGAAATTGTTGTGGAAGTGATTGCAATTGTAGATGGTGCTATTGTACTTGCTTCAGTTATTTTGGTTGATGTTGAGTCAGATTCTGTCACAAAGTTAATTGAGTAATGTCACTCAGAAAGCAAGGTACTAAAAGTTGCTGTACTGAGTTGCCAACTTTTACACATCATTGGAGATCAGTTAAATTATGATGTGATAGAAGTATCAGAAAAATAACGAAAGCACTTACACGTTAAAACAAATGAACGAAAAATGAAGTTGAAGGAATTAATGTAAAAAGGAAAATATTCGGGGGCATAAAAGCCCCGTCTCCCAAATGAAAACTATTAAGTTTATAGTGTTGATACCTGTCGCTTCACTGGTTGACAAAGCAATTGTCGTAGAAGAGATTGCAATTGTAGATGGTTCCACTGTACTTGCTTCAGATGTTCCAGTCAATGCTGAGTCACTTACTACTGCAAAGATAATTCATAATGTGATTCAGATAAACATGTGCTCTTATTTTCTCCAATACTGTTATTGTGAAAGTCTGATGTTCATGCAAATTAAAGGAAATTATGACGTTTGGCAAATGCGAAGGCATTCACCAAACATGATGTTTCAGCTGTTGCTGCAGATGAAGAGATCGCATTTGTAGATGTTTGGGCTTATGTGCCGGATTCCAAAATTTGACTTCTACTGAATTGGCACTAATATTGGGAAATACTGTATCTAGAAATATCAGTGAAATGAGAGAAGCACTTAGACATTCCCTCATATTGAAAACAGTATATGAGCATGAAGCCATGAAATCGTCAAGTGAAAACTGTTGATACCTGTTGTTTCCCTGGTGGATGATGAAATTGTTGGGGTAGAGATTGCAATTGGAGATGGTACTGTGCTTGCTTCAGATATTTCAGTTGATGTTGTGTCAGATTCTGCTGCAGAGATGTTTCAGAAAAAGATGTGCTCTTATTCACTCTAATACTATATTCTAAAAGATTACTGTTCAAGTAAATTGTGATGTTTCGTAAATATGTTGGCATTCAACATACATTATGTTTCAGCTGATGCTGCAGATGAAATGGTCACATTTGTAGGTGTGTGTGCTGGTGTATGTTTGCCAATTACACTGTATTCTGTGAAGCGCTTTCAGACATCTCGATGACGTGATAAGCCACTATATGAAATTTAAGGATTATTATTAATGTGTCAGTTTCCAATATTTCACTAGTTACAGATGTGGCAACTAATATTCGGAAATATTGTATTTAGAAATATGAGTGAACCGAGAGAAACTCTTATACATTCCCTCACGTGTCGAACAAAATGAGCATCAAGTTAAGAGTGTTGATACCTGTTGTTTCCCTGGTGGAAGATGAAATTGTTGTGGAAGTGATTGCAATTGTAGATGGTGCTATTGTACTTGCTTCAGTTATTTTGGTTGATGTTGAGTCAGATTCTGCCACAAAGTAAATTGAGAAATGTCACTCAGAAAGCAACGTACTAATAGTTGCTGTACTGAGTTGCCAACTTTTACACATCACTGGAGATCAGTTAAATTATGATACGATAGAACTATCAGAAAAATAACGCGCTTACACATTAAAAAAAATGAGAGAAAAATGAAGTTGAAGGGATTCATTTGAAAAGGCAAATATTCTGGAGCAAAAAAATCATATCTCCCAAATGAAAACTGTGAAGTTTAAATTGTTGATACCTGTCGTAGAAGAGATTGCAATTGTAGATGGTTCCACTGTGCTTGCTTCAGTTGTTCCAGTCAATGCTGAGTCACTTACTGCTGCAAAGATAATTCATAATGTGATTCAGATAAACATGTGCTCTTATTTACTCCAATACTGTTATTGTGAAAGTCTAATGTTCATGCGAGTTCAGGGAAATTATAACGTTTGGCAAATGCGTAGGCATTCACCAAATATGATGTTTCAGCTGATGCTGCAGATGAAGAGATCACATTTGTAGATGTTTGGGCTAATGTGCCGGATTCCATAATTCCACTTACTGCTGAATTGGCATCTAATATTGGGAAATACTGTATCGAGAAATGTCAGTGAAATGAGAGAAGCACTTACAAAATTCTCTCAAATTTAAAACAGCATGTTTGTATGAAGCCATGAAATCTTCAAGTGAATAGTGTTAATACCTGTTTCCCTGGTGAATGATGAAATTGTCGGGGTAGAGATTGCAATTGTAGATGGTTCGACTGTGCTTACTTCAGATATTTCAGTTGATGTTGTGTCAGATTCTGCTGCAGAGATGTTTCAGAAAAAGATGTGCTCTTATTCACTCTAATACTGTATTCTAAATGATTACTGTTCAAGTAAATTATCATGTTTGGCAAATATGTTGGTATTCAACATACATAATGTTTCAGCTGATGCTGCAGATGAAATGGTCACATTTGTAGATGTGTGTGCTGGTGTATGTTTGCCAATTACACAAAATTCTGTGAAGCGCTTTGAGACATCTCGAAGACGTGATAAACCACTATATGAAATTTAAGAATTATTATTAATGTGCCGGATTCCAATATTTCACTAATTACAGATGTGGCAACTAATATTCGGAAATATTGTATTTATAAATATGAATGAACCGAGAGAAACTCTTATACATTCCCTCACATATAGAACAAAATGAGCATGAAGCCACTAATCTAAAATAAGCAAATGTGGGACTGCAAAGGCCATGTCTCTCAAATTGAAATCACCAAGTTAACAGTGTTGATACCTGTTGATTCCTTGGTGGAAGATGAAATTGTTGTGGACGTGATTGCAATTGTAGATGGTTCTATTGTTGTTGCTTCAGTTATTTCGGTTGATGTTGAGTCAGATTCTGCTGCAAAGATGATTAGAAAAAGATGTGCTCTTATTCACTCTAATACTGTATTGTGAATGTTTACTGTTCATCAGAGTTCAAGTAAATTATGATGTTTGGCAAATGTGTAGGTATTCAACATACGTTATGTTTCAGCTGTGCCTTTAGATGAAGTGATCACATTGGTAGATGTGTGTGCTCGTGTATATTTGTTAATTACAGTATATTCTGTGAAGCGCTTTGAGACGTCTCAAAGACCTGATAAGGCACGATATTAAATGGAAGGATTATTATTAATGTGCCAGATTCCAATGTTTCACAAGTTCCAGATGTGACAGCCAATATTGGGAAATATTGTATTCGGAAATATGAGTGAAATGAGAGAAACTCTTATACATTCCCTCACATATACAACAAAATGAGCATGAAGCCTCTAATCTAAAACAAGTGAAAAATCGGACTGCAAAGGCCATGTCTCTCAAATTGAAATCATCATGTTAGTAGGGTTGATACCTGTTGTTTCCCTGGTTGAAGATGAAATTGTCGGGGTAGAGATTGCAATTGTAGATGGTTCGACTGTACTTCCTTCAGATATTTCAGTTGATGTTGTGTCAGATTCTGCAGCAAAGATGTTTCAGAAAAAGATGTGCTCTAATTCACTCTAATACTGTATTCTAAAAGATTACTGTTCAAGTAAATTATGATGTTTGGCAAATATGTTGGCATTCAACATACATGATGTTTCAGCTGTGTCTGGAGATGAAGTGATCACATTTGTAGATGTGTGTGCTCGTGTATGTTTGCTAATTACAGTATATTCTCTGAAGCGCTTTGAGACATCCGGAAGACGTGATAAGTCACTATATGAAAATCAAAGATTATTATTCATGTGACTGCTAACACTGGGAAATACTGTGTTTGGAAATATGTGTGAACTGAGAGAACTCTTATACATTCCCTCATATATGGAAAAAAATGAGCATGAAGCCAATAATCTAAAACAAGCAAACATGTGGGACTGTAAAGGCCACGTTTCTCAAATTGAAATCATCTATTTAATAATGTTGATACCTGTTGTTTCCCTGGTGGAAGATGAAATTGTTGTGGAAGTAATTGCAATTGTAGATGGTTCTATTGTAGTTGCTTCAGTTATTTCGGTTGATGTTGAGTCAAATTCTGCCACAAAGTTAATTGAGAAATGTCACGCAGAAAGCAAGATACTATTAGTTGCTGTACTGCGTTGCCAAATTTTACACATCAGTGCAGAACAGTTAAATTATGATGCGATAGAAATATTAGGAAGATAAGAAAAGCGCTCACACTTTAAAACAAATTAAAGCAAAATGAAGTTGAAGAGATTAATCTGAGAAGGAAAATATTCGGGAGCAATAAAGACAATTCGCCCAAATGAAAACTGATCATGTTTATAGTGTTGATACCTGTCGTTTCAATTGTTGACGAAGCAACAGCTACAGAAGAAATTGCAATTGAAGATGGTTCTTCTGTACTTGTCTCAATTGTTCCAGTTAATGCGGAGTCAGTTTCTGCTGTGAAGATAATTCAAAATACGATTCAGAAAATCACGTGCTCTTTTTGTTTATAATATTGCATTGTGAACATTTGCTGTTCATCAGAGTTCAAGGTATGATGTTTGACACACCATTCACGTATATTGAATACGTAGGCATTCAGCATACATGATGTTTCAGCTGCTGATGCAGATGAAGTGATTGCATTTGTAGATGTCTGCGTTAATGTGCCAGATTACAACATTTCACTAAGTACTGAATTGGCAGATGATATTGGGAAATATCAGTGAAGTGAGAGAAGCTCTCATTCATCTATTCCCTCATATGTAGACCAAACTGAGCATGAAGCTATTAATTGAAAACAAGCAAACATATGGGACTGCAAAGGCCAACTCCCCCAAATTGAAATCATCAAGTTAATATTGTTGATACCTGTTGTTTCGCTGGTGGCAGATGAAATTGTTGTGGAAGTGATTGCAATTGTAGATGGTTCTATTGTCGTTGCTTCAGATATTTCAGTTGATGTTGAGTCAGATTCTGCTGCAAAGATGATTCAGAAAAAGATGTGCTCTTATTCACTCTAATACTGTATTGTGAATGTTTACTGTTCATCAGAGTTCAAGTAAATTATGATGTTTGGCAAATGTGTAGGTATTCAACATACGTTATGTTTCAGCTGTGCCTTTAGATGAAGTGATCACATTGGTAGATGTGTGTGCTCGTGTATATTTGTTAATTACAGTATATTCTGTGAAGCGCTTTGAGACATCTCAAAGACCTGATAAGGCACGATATTAAATGGAAGGATTATTATTAATGTGCCAGATTCCAATGTTTCACAAGTTCCAGATGTGACAGCCAATATTGGGAAATATTGTATTCGGAAATATGAGTGAAATGAGAGAAACTCTTATACATTCCCTCACATATACAACAAAATGAGCATGAAGCCTCTAATCTAAAACAAGTGAAAAATCGGACTGCAAAGGCCATGTCTCTCAAATTGAAATCATCATGTTAGTAGGGTTGATACCTGTTGTTTCCCTGGTTGAAGATGAAATTGTCGGGGTAGAGATTGCAATTGTAGATGGTTCGACTGTACTTCCTTCAGATATTTCAGTTGATGTTGTGTCAGATTCTGCAGCAAAGATGTTTCAGAAAAAGATGTGCTCTAATTCACTCTAATACTGTATTCTAAAAGATTACTGTTCAAGTAAATTATGATGTTTGGCAAATATGTTGGCATTCAACATACATGATGTTTCAGCTGTGTCTGGAGATGAAGTGATCACATTTGTAGATGTGTGTGCTCGTGTATGTTTGCTAATTACAGTATATTCTCTGAAGCGCTTTGAGACATCCGGAAGACGTGATAAGTCACTATATGAAAATCAAAGATTATTATTCATGTGACTGCTAACACTGGGAAATATTGTATTTGGAAATATGAGTGAACTGAGAGAACTCTTATACATTCCCTCATATATGGAAAAAAATGAGCATGAAGCCAATAATCTAAAACAAGCAAACATGTGGGACTGTAAAGGCCATGTTTCTCAAATTGAAATCATCTATTTAATAATGTTGATACCTGTTGTTTCCCTGGTGGAAGATGAAATTGTTGTGGAAGTAATTGCAATTGTAGATGGTTCTATTGTAGTTGCTTCAGTTATTTCGGTTGATGTTGATTCAAATTCTGCCACAAAGTTAATTGAGAAATGTCACGCAGAAAGCAAGATACTATTAGTTGCTGTACTGCGTTGCCAACTTTTACACATCAGTGCAGAACAGTTAAATTATGATGCGATAGAAATATTAGGAAGATAAGAAAAGCGCTCACACTTTAAAACAAATTAAAGCAAAATGAAGTTGAAGAGATTAATCTGAGAAGGAAAATATTCGGGAGCAATAAAGACAATTCGCCCAAATGAAAACTGATCATGTTTATAGTGTTGATACCTGTCGTTTCAATTGTTGACGAAGCAACAGCTACAGAAGAAATTGCAATTGAAGATGGTTCTTCTGTACTTGTCTCAATTGTTCCAGTTAATGCGGAGTCAGTTTCTGCTGTGAAGATAATTCAAAATACGATTCAGAAAATCACGTGCTCTTTTTGTTTATAATATTGCATTGTGAACATTTGCTGTTCATCAGAGTTCAAGGTATGATGTTTGACACACCATTCACGTATATTGAATACGTAGGCATTCAGCATACATGATGTTTCAGCTGCTGATGCAGATGAAGTGATTGCATTTGTAGATGTCTGCGTTAATGTGCCAGATTACAACATTTCACTAAGTACTGAATTGGCAGATGATATTGGGAAATATCAGTGAAGTGAGAGAAGCTCTCATTCATCTATTCCCTCATATGTAGACCAAACTGAGCATGAAGCTATTAATTGAAAACAAGCAAACATATGGGACTGCAAAGGCCAACTCCCCCAAATTGAAATCATCAAGTTAATATTGTTGATACCTGTTGTTTCGCTGGTGGCAGATGAAATTGTTGTGGAAGTGATTGCAATTGTAGATGGTTCTATTGTCGTTGCTTCAGATATTTCAGTTGATGTTGAGTCAGATTCTGCTGCAAAGATGATTCAGAAAAAGATGTGCTCTTATTCACTCTAATACTGTATTGTGAATGTTTACTGTTCATCAGAGTTCAAGTAAATTATGATGTTTGGCAAATGTGTAGGTATTCAACATACGTTATGTTTCAGCTGTGCCTTTAGATGAAGTGATCACATTGGTAGATGTGTGTGCTCGTGTATATTTGTTAATTACAGTATATTCTGTGAAGCGCTTTGAGACATCTCAAAGACCTGATAAGGCACGATATTAAATGGAAGGATTATTATTAATGTGCCAGATTCCAATGTTTCACAAGTTCCAGATGTGACAGCCAATATTGGGAAATATTGTATTCGGAAATATGAGTGAAATGAGAGAAACTCTTATACATTCCCTCACATATACAACAAAATGAGCATGAAGCCTCTAATCTAAAACAAGTGAAAAATCGGACTGCAAAGGCCATGTCTCTCAAATTGAAATCATCATGTTAGTAGGGTTGATACCTGTTGTTTCCCTGGTTGAAGATGAAATTGTCGGGGTAGAGATTGCAATTGTAGATGGTTCGACTGTACTTCCTTCAGATATTTCAGTTGATGTTGTGTCAGATTCTGCAGCAAAGATGTTTCAGAAAAAGATGTGCTCTAATTCACTCTAATACTGTATTCTAAAAGATTACTGTTCAAGTAAATTATGATGTTTGGCAAATATGTTGGCATTCAACATACATGATGTTTCAGCTGTGTCTGGAGATGAAGTGATCACATTTGTAGATGTGTGTGCTCGTGTATGTTTGCTAATTACAGTATATACTCTGAAGCGCTTTGAGACATCCGGAAGACGTGATAAGTCACTATATGAAAATCAAAGATTATTATTCATGTGACAGCTAACACTGGGAAATATTGTATTTGGAAATATGTGTGAACTGAGAGAACTCTTATACATTCCCTCATATATGGAAAAAAATGAGCATGAAGCCAATAATCTAAAACAAGCAAACATGTGGGACTGTAAAGGCCATGTTTCTCAAATTGAAATCATCTATTTAATAATGTTGATACCTGTTGTTTCCCTGGTGGAAGATGAAATTGTTGTGGAAGTAATTGCAATTGTAGATGGTTCTATTGTAGTTGCTTCAGTTATTTCGGTTGATGTTGAGTCAAATTCTGCCACAAAGTTAATTGAGAAATGTCACGCAGAAAGCAAGATACTATTAGTTGCTGTACTGCGTTGCCAACTTTTACACATCAGTGCAGAACAGTTAAATTATGATGCGATAGAAATATTAGGAAGATAAGAAAAGCGCTCACACTTTAAAACAAATTAAAGCAAAATGAAGTTGAAGAGATTAATCTGAGAAGGAAAATATTCGGGAGCAATAAAGACAATTCGCCCAAATGAAAACTGATCATGTTTATAGTGTTGATACCTGTCGTTTCAATTGTTGACGAAGCAACAGCTACAGAAGAAATTGCAATTGAAGATGGTTCTTCTGTACTTGTCTCAATTGTTCCAGTTAATGCGGAGTCAGTTTCTGCTGTGAAGATAATTCAAAATACGATTCAGAAAATCACGTGCTCTTTTTGTTTATAATATTGCATTGTGAACATTTGCTGTTCATCAGAGTTCAAGGTATGATGTTTGACACACCATTCACGTATATTGAATACGTAGGCATTCAGCATACATGATGTTTCAGCTGCTGATGCAGATGAAGTGATTGCATTTGTAGATGTCTGCGTTAATGTGCCAGATTACAACATTTCACTAAGTACTGAATTGGCAGATGATATTGGGAAATATCAGTGAAGTGAGAGAAGCTCTCATTCATCTATTCCCTCATATGTAGACCAAACTGAGCATGAAGCTATTAATTGAAAACAAGCAAACATATGGGACTGCAAAGGCCAACTCCTCCAAATTGAAATCATCAAGTTAATATTGTTGATACCTGTTGTTTTGCTGGTGGCAGATGAAATTGTTGTGGAAGTGATTGCAATTGTAGATGGTTCTATTGTCGTTGCTTCAGATATTTCAGTTGATGTTGAGTCAGATTCTGCTGCAAAGATGATTCAGAAAAAGATGTGCTCTTATTCACTCTAATACTGTATTGTGAATGTTTACTGTTCATCAGAGTTCAAGTAAATTATGATGTTTGGCAAATGTGTAGGTATTCAACATACGTTATGTTTCAGCTGTGCCTTTAGATGAAGTGATCACATTGGTAGATGTGTGTGCTCGTGTATATTTGTTAATTACAGTATATTCTGTGAAGCGCTTTGAGACATCTCAAAGACCTGATAAGGCACGATATTAAATGGAAGGATTATTATTAATGTGCCAGATTCCAATGTTTCACAAGTTCCAGATGTGACAGCCAATATTGGGAAATATTGTATTCGGAAATATGAGTGAAATGAGAGAAACTCTTATACATTCCCTCACATATACAACAAAATGAGCATGAAGCCTCTAATCTAAAACAAGTGAAAAATCGGACTGCAAAGGCCATGTCTCTCAAATTGAAATCATCATGTTAGTAGGGTTGATACCTGTTGTTTCCCTGGTTGAAGATGAAATTGTCGGGGTAGAGATTGCAATTGTAGATGGTTCGACTGTACTTCCTTCAGATATTTCAGTTGATGTTGTGTCAGATTCTGCAGCAAAGATGTTTCAGAAAAAGATGTGCTCTAATTCACTCTAATACTGTATTCTAAAAGATTACTGTTCAAGTAAATTATGATGTTTGGCAAATATGTTGGCATTCAACATACATGATGTTTCAGCTGTGTCTGGAGATGAAGTGATCACATTTGTAGATGTGTGTGCTCGTGTATGTTTGCTAATTACAGTATATTCTCTGAAGCGCTTTGAGACATCCGGAAGACGTGATAAGTCACTATATGAAAATCAAAGATTATTATTCATGTGACTGCTAACACTGGGAAATATTGTATTCGGAAATATGTGTGAACTGAGAGAAACTCTTATACATTCCCTCATATATGGAAAAAAATGAGCATGAAGCCAATAATCTAAAACAAGCAAACATGTGGGACTGTAAAGGCCATGTTTCTCAAATTGAAATCATCTATTTAATAATGTTGATACCTGTTGTTTCCCTGGTGGAAGATGAAATTGTTGTGGAAGTAATTGCAATTGTAGATGGTTCTATTGTAGTTGCTTCAGTTATTTCGGTTGATGTTGATTCAAATTCTGCCACAAAGTTAATTGAGAAATGTCACGCAGAAAGCAAGATACTATTAGTTGCTGTACTGCGTTGCCAACTTTTACACATCAGTGCAGAACAGTTAAATTATGATGCGATAGAAATATTAGGAAGATAAGAAAAGCGCTCACACTTTAAAACAAATTAAAGCAAAATGAAGTTGAAGAGATTAATCTGAGAAGGAAAATATTCGGGAGCAATAAAGACAATTCGCCCAAATGAAAACTGATCATGTTTATAGTGTTGATACCTGTCGTTTCAATTGTTGACGAAGCAACAGCTACAGAAGAAATTGCAATTGAAGATGGTTCTTCTGTACTTGTCTCAATTGTTCCAGTTAATGCGGAGTCAGTTTCTGCTGTGAAGATAATTCAAAATACGATTCAGAAAATCACGTGCTCTTTTTGTTTATAATATTGCATTGTGAACATTTGCTGTTCATCAGAGTTCAAGGTATGATGTTTGACACACCATTCACGTATATTGAATACGTAGGCATTCAGCATACATGATGTTTCAGCTGCTGATGCAGATGAAGTGATTGCATTTGTAGATGTGTGCGTTAATGTGCCAGATTACAACATTTCACTAAGTACTGAATTGGCAGATGATATTGGGAAATATCAGTGAAGTGAGAGAAGCTCTCATTCATCTATTCCCTCATATGTAGACCAAACTGAGCATGAAGCTATTAATTGAAAACAAGCAAACATATGGGACTGCAAAGGCCAACTCCCCCAAATTGAAATGATCAAGTTAATATTGTTGATACCTGTTGTTTTGCTGGTGGCACATGAAATTGTTGTGGAAGTGATTGCAATTGTAGATGGTTCTATTGTCGTTGCTTCAGATATTTCAGTTGATGTTGAGTCAGATTCTGCTGCAAAGATGATTCAGAAAAAGATGTGCTCTTATTCACTCTAATACTGTATTGTGAATGTTTACTGTTCATCAGAGTTCAAGTAAATTATGATGTTTGGCAAATGTGTAGGTATTCAACATACGTTATGTTTCAGCTGTGCCTTTAGATGAAGTGATCACATTGGTAGATGTGTGTGCTCGTGTATATTTGTTAATTACAGTATATTCTGTGAAGCGCTTTGAGACATCTCAAAGACCTGATAAGGCACGATATTAAATGGAAGGATTATTATTAATGTGCCAGATTCCAATGTTTCACAAGTTCCAGATGTGACAGCCAATATTGGGAAATATTGTATTCGGAAATATGAGTGAAATGAGAGAAACTCTTATACATTCCCTCACATATACAACAAAATGAGCATGAAGCCTCTAATCTAAAACAAGTGAAAAATCGGACTGCAAAGGCCATGTCTCTCAAATTGAAATCATCATGTTAGTAGGGTTGATACCTGTTGTTTCCCTGGTTGAAGATGAAATTGTCGGGGTAGAGATTGCAATTGTAGATGGTTCGACTGTACTTCCTTCAGATATTTCAGTTGATGTTGTGTCAGATTCTGCAGCAAAGATGTTTCAGAAAAAGATGTGCTCTAATTCACTCTAATACTGTATTCTAAAAGATTACTGTTCAAGTAAATTATGATGTTTGGCAAATATGTTGGCATTCAACATACATGATGTTTCAGCTGTGTCTGGAGATGAAGTGATCACATTTGTAGATGTGTGTGCTCGTGTATGTTTGCTAATTACAGTATATTCTCTGAAGCGCTTTGAGACATCCGGAAGACGTGATAAGTCACTATATGAAAATCAAAGATTATTATTCATGTGACTGCTAACACTGGGAAATATTGTATTTGGAAATATGAGTGAACTGAGAGAACTCTTATACATTCCCTCATATATGGAAAAAAATGAGCATGAAGCCAATAATCTAAAACAAGCAAACATGTGGGACTGTAAAGGCCATGTTTCTCAAATTGAAATCATCTATTTAATAATGTTGATACCTGTTGTTTCCCTGGTGGAAGATGAAATTGTTGTGGAAGTAATTGCAATTGTAGATGGTTCTATTGTAGTTGCTTCAGTTATTTCGGTTGATGTTGATTCAAATTCTGCCACAAAGTTAATTGAGAAATGTCACGCAGAAAGCAAGATACTATTAGTTGCTGTACTGCGTTGCCAACTTTTACACATCAGTGCAGAACAGTTAAATTATGATGCGATAGAAATATTAGGAAGATAAGAAAAGCGCTCACACTTTAAAACAAATTAAAGCAAAATGAAGTTGAAGAGATTAATCTGAGAAGGAAAATATTCGGGAGCAATAAAGACAATTCGCCCAAATGAAAACTGATCATGTTTATAGTGTTGATACCTGTCGTTTCAATTGTTGACGAAGCAACAGCTACAGAAGAAATTGCAATTGAAGATGGTTCTTCTGTACTTGTCTCAATTGTTCCAGTTAATGCGGAGTCAGTTTCTGCTGTGAAGATAATTCAAAATACGATTCAGAAAATCACGTGCTCTTTTTGTTTATAATATTGCATTGTGAACATTTGCTGTTCATCAGAGTTCAAGGTATGATGTTTGACACACCATTCACGTATATTGAATACGTAGGCATTCAGCATACATGATGTTTCAGCTGCTGATGCAGATGAAGTGATTGCATTTGTAGATGTCTGCGTTAATGTGCCAGATTACAACATTTCACTAAGTACTGAATTGGCAGATGATATTGGGAAATATCAGTGAAGTGAGAGAAGCTCTCATTCATCTATTCCCTCATATGTAGACCAAACTGAGCATGAAGCTATTAATTGAAAACAAGCAAACATATGGGACTGCAAAGGCCAACTCCCCCAAATTGAAATCATCAAGTTAATATTGTTGATACCTGTTGTTTCGCTGGTGGCAGATGAAATTGTTGTGGAAGTGATTGCAATTGTAGATGGTTCTATTGTCGTTGCTTCAGATATTTCAGTTGATGTTGAGTCAGATTCTGCTGCAAAGATGATTCAGAAAAAGATGTGCTCTTATTCACTCTAATACTGTATTGTGAATGTTTACTGTTCATCAGAGTTCAAGTAAATTATGATGTTTGGCAAATGTGTAGGTATTCAACATACGTTATGTTTCAGCTGTGCCTTTAGATGAAGTGATCACATTGGTAGATGTGTGTGCTCGTGTATATTTGTTAATTACAGTATATTCTGTGAAGCGCTTTGAGACATCTCAAAGACCTGATAAGGCACGATATTAAATGGAAGGATTATTATTAATCTGCCAGATTCCAATGTTTCACAAGTTCCAGATGTGACAGCCAATATTGGGAAATATTGTATTCGGAAATATGAGTGAAATGAGAGAAACTCTTATACATTCCCTCACATATACAACAAAATGAGCATGAAGCCTCTAATCTAAAACAAGTGAAAAATCGGACTGCAAAGGCCATGTCTCTCAAATTGAAATCATCATGTTAGTAGGGTTGATACCTGTTGTTTCCCTGGTTGAAGATGAAATTGTCGGGGTAGAGATTGCAATTGTAGATGGTTCGACTGTACTTCCTTCAGATATTTCAGTTGATGTTGTGTCAGATTCTGCAGCAAAGATGTTTCAGAAAAAGATGTGCTCTAATTCACTCTAATACTGTATTCTAAAAGATTACTGTTCAAGTAAATTATGATGTTTGGCAAATATGTTGGCATTCAACATACATGATGTTTCAGCTGTGTCTGGAGATGAAGTGATCACATTTGTAGATGTGTGTGCTCGTGTATGTTTGCTAATTACAGTATATTCTCTGAAGCGCTTTGAGACATCCGGAAGACGTGATAAGTCACTATATGAAAATCAAAGATTATTATTCATGTGACAGCTAACACTGGGAAATATTGTATTTGGAAATATGTGTGAACTGAGAGAACTCTTATACATTCCCTCATATATGGAAAAAAATGAGCATGAAGCCAATAATCTAAAACAAGCAAACATGTGGGACTGTAAAGGCCATGTTTCTCAAATTGAAATCATCTATTTAATAATGTTGATACCTGTTGTTTCCCTGGTGGAAGATGAAATTGTTGTGGAAGTAATTGCAATTGTAGATGGTTCTATTGTAGTTGCTTCAGTTATTTCGGTTGATGTTGAGTCAAATTCTGCCACAAAGTTAATTGAGAAATGTCACGCAGAAAGCAAGATACTATTAGTTGCTGTACTGCGTTGCCAACTTTTACACATCAGTGCAGAACAGTTAAATTATGATGCGATAGAAATATTAGGAAGATAAGAAAAGCGCTCACACTTTAAAACAAATTAAAGCAAAATGAAGTTGAAGAGATTAATCTGAGAAGGAAAATATTCGGGAGCAATAAAGACAATTCGCCCACATGAAAACTGATCATGTTTATAGTGTTGATACCTGTCGTTTCAATTATTGACGAAGCAACAGCTCCAGAAGAAATTGCAATTGAAGATGGTTCTTCTGTACTTGTCTCAATTGTTCCAGTTAATGCGGAGTCAGTTTCTGCTGTGAAGATAATTCAAAATACGATTCAGAAAATCACGTGCTCTTTTTGTTTATAATATTGCATTGTGAACATTTGCTGTTCATCAGAGTTCAAGGTATGATGTTTGACACACCATTCACGTATATTGAATACGTAGGCATTCAGCATACATGATGTTTCAGCTGCTGATGCAGATGAAGTGATTGCATTTGTAGATGTGTGCGTTAATGTGCCAGATTACAACATTTCACTAAGTACTGAATTGGCAGATGATATTGGGAAATATCAGTGAAGTGAGAGAAGCTCTCATTCATCTATTCCCTCATATGTAGACCAAACTGAGCATGAAGCTATTAATTGAAAACAAGCAAACATATGGGACTGCAAAGGCCAACTCCCCCAAATTGAAATCATCAAGTTAATATTGTTGATACCTGTTGTTTCCCTGGTGGCAAATGAAATTGTTGTGGAATAGATTGCAATTGTAGATGGTTCTATTGTACTTGCTTCAGATATTTCAGTTGATGTTGATGATGCTGCACTCTCCACCTCTCAAAGCCAGTCAGGAACCTCGGGGTTCTGTTCGACCCTGAGCTGTCCTTTCTTCCTCATATCCGCGCCACAACTGGCACCGCCTTCCATCACCTCCGGAACATCGCCAGACTACGGCGCTACCTCACCCCTCACACTGCTGAAACTCTGGTCCACGCCTTTATCATCTCAAGGCTGGACTATGGGAACTCTCTCCTCGCCGGCCTTCCCGCCACCTCCCTCCACAAGCTGCAGGTCATTCAGAACTCTGCAGCTCGTGTACTGTCCCGCACCAGGCTTCGGGACCACATCACTCCACCCTCGCTCCCTCCACTGGCTCCCCATCCCCCAGAGGATCGAATTCAAGATCCTCATCCTCACCTACAAGGCCATTCACGGCCTCGCTCCCTCCTGCCTCTCTGACTTACTATCCCCCTACTTATCTGCCCGTACCCTCCGTTCCTCTGGCTCCAGTCTGCTCCACATCCCCCGCCCCAACTGCCCTACCATCGGTGGCCGGGCCTTCAGCCTCTCAGCCCCGAGGCTCTGGAACTCCATCCCCCAGCGCCTTCACCTTGCTTCCTCCCTTTTCTCCTTCAAGGCCGGTCTCAAGACCTTTCTCTTCGACTGTCCCTTCAGCTCCCCTCTCGACTCTCTACCCCCTCCTCGCTCCCTCCCTTCCCTCACCCTGACCATTTACCCCCTGCTCGGGTCCCGACTCAACTGTCCAGCGCCTTGGGATGTCCTCCCGATGTGAAAGGCGCTCTATAAATGAAATCTTGTTGTTGTTGTTACTTTTAGCTGCTGTACTTAGTTGCCAACTTTTACATATGATAAAAGTTCAGTTAATTTATGATGCAATGGAAATATGAGGAAGATTAGGAAAGCGCTTTCACATTAAAACAAATGAGAGCAAAATGAAGTTGAAGGGATTAATCTGGAAAGGAAAATATTCCGGAGCAAAAAAGGCAATTCCACCAAATGAAAATGATCAAGTTTATAGTGCTGATACCTGTCGATTCACTTGTTGATGAAGCAACAACGGTTGAAGAAATTTCAATTGAAGATGATTCTTCTGTACTTGTTTCCATTGTTCCAGTTAATGCGGAGTCAGTTTCTGCTGTGAAGATAATTCAAAATGCGATTCAGAAAAACACATTGTTTATAAAACAGTATTGTTTATAATACTGCATTGTGAACGTTTACTGTTCATCAATGTTCAATTAAGGTATGATGTTTGACACACCATTCATGTATGTTGAATACGTAGGCACCTACCATATGTGATGTTTCAGCTGTTGATGCAGATGAAGTGATTGCGTTTGTAGATGTGTGTGTTAATGTGCCAGACTCCAAAATTTCACTTGATACTGAAGTGGCGGCTAATATTGGGAAATATTTAGAAATACTAGTGAAGTGAGAGAAGCTCTCAATCATCTATTCCCTCACACGAAGAGCAAACTGAGCATGAAGCAGTTAATCTAAAACAAGCAAACGTGTGGGACTGCAAAGGCAATCTCTCTCAGATTGAAATTGAGATTGCTACTGAAATGGCAACTAATATTGGGAAATATCAGTGAAGTGAGAGAAGCTCCCAGACGTTCCCCCATGTTTGAAGCGGCATATTAGTATGAAGCCATTAATCTAAAACAAGCAAACATATGGGACTGCAAGGCCAACTCCCCCAAATTGAAATCATCAAGTTAATATTGTTGATATCTGTTGTTTCGCTGATGGCAGATGAAATTGTTGTGGAATATATTGCAATTGTAGATGGTTCTACTGTACTTGCTTCAGATATTTCAGTTGATGTTGAGTTAGATTCTGCTGCAAAGATGATTCAGAAAAACGTGCTCTTATTCACTCAAATACTGTACTGTGAATGTTTACTGTTTAGATTAATGGCTTCAGAGTTTACTGTTTACGTTTGACAATGCGCTCAGAGATGCTACCCTGCATGGAGGGCGGTATACAGGTGCAAGTTGTTGTTGCTCATCATAGTTCAATTAAATTATGATATTTAGCAAATACATAGGCAATCACCACACGTGATGTTTCAGCTATTGCTGCAGATGAAATGATTGCATTTGTAGATGTGTGTGCTATACAGTATGTCCCAATATTAGCTGCCACATCAGTAGATAGTGAAATGTTGGAATCTGGCACATTGATAATAATAATACTAGTCCTTGCATTTGATATAGCGTGTTATAACATTTTCAAGACTTCTCAAAGCTCGTCACAGAATAAAATTAATTCCAATCTCTTCCACAACAATTAATGTGCCAATTATTTACAGTGTATTCTGTGAAGCCATTGTGTGGTCTCGAAGGAGTAATAATATGCTGTATCAAATGCAAGGATTATTAATCTGCCAGATTTCAAAATTCCACTTGCTACTAATCTGGCAGCTAATATCAGGAAATACTGTACCTAGAAATATCAATAAAGTGAAGGAAGCTCTTGTACATTCCCTCATATGAATAAACAAAATGAGCATGAAGCCATTAATATACAACAAGCAAATATGTGCAAAAGCCATCTCTCTCAGATTGAAATCATCAAGTTAATAGTGTTGATACCTGTTGTTTCCCCGGTGGAAGATGAAATTGTTGTGGAAGCGTTTGCCATTGTAGATAGTTCTATTGTACTTGCTTCAGATATTTCGGTTGATGTTGAGTCAGATGCTGTTAAATTATGATGTGATAGAAATATGAGAAAGATAAGGAAAGCGCTTACAATTAAAACAAATAAGAGCAAAATAAAGTTGAAGGGATTAATCTTAAAAGGAAAATATTTGGGAGCAAAAAAGACAATTCTCCCAAATGGAAACTATCAATTTTTGTAGTGTTGATACCTATCAATTCACCCAGTCCACCCCCAGTCCCTTCGCCTCTCTCCCTCGCTTACTCCCTTCAAGGTCCGTCTTCGGTCACTCTCCTACCCTCCCTGCCCTCCACTCCTCCTGATCCCAACCCCCAGTTCGGATCCAAATCCCTGATTGTCCAGCGCTTTGAGATGTCCTCTCGATGTAAAAAGGTGCTATACAAATGTAATTTGTTGTTGTAAGATAGAATAAAATAGGCCATTAGAGGGACGTGCTCCGGGGCATGAGCTCGAGCTTCAGGAGCCGAAGCGCAGTTGCCCTGCACAGCCAGCTCCACCCTCCTTGCTCAAAACTGGCACTGTTTGTTACTCTTTGCGTTTCCATTGTTACTAATCGCTCAAACCGGACTTGTGGCTGGGATGAAGTTTGGACAATGGTATGTCAAAGCCTATTTTTTTTCCCCAAAAAATGCTAAAGGGGGAAGGTTTGTCCCAAGTAAATCAGGGAGGACTTGGAGGCTGCAAATACTGCCCTGGCAATGAAAGAAAACGAATACTTGCTGAACACTCTCCCTTCACTTAAGAGGTTCTAGACCAAAAGACTTACATAAATGACTAACATGTCAATTTTTCTGCTTTTATTTACCATGTTCGACTCTTCTTTAAACTCATATAAACCCCTACTTTCACAATACTTTGCTTTTAGCAGAGCTCAAACTCTTCTCAGGATCAGCAGGTTGTGAGTTCTGTCCAAGACTGACAATCTAGTCCAGTGCTTTAGGAGAAGGGAGTGATTCATTAACTTTGAATGAGATGTGAAATCAAGGGCCTGTTTGAGTGTTCAGACATTAAAGATCCTTTCACACTATTTAAAAAAGAGCACAGAGTTTCTCCCAGTTTCATGACCAACATCTTCCAGATTAATTTGTCATTCATTTTATAGCTGTTTGTGAGACTATGCTGTGTGAAAAACTCACTACATTGTTTGCTTACCAAAATAGTCACTACACTTGATGGTAATTATCTGTCAAACTCTTTGAGATGTGTAGACAAAATTAGGTGCTGTATCAAATGGATTATTATATATTAGAATACTTCCAATTGTAATATTTCCATTGATTAGTTATGGTTTTGATGTTGCATATCTTATATCAAATGTGAATATTATTATTTTTCTTCTGTAAGAGAGGTTCCCAATTAATGTTGTCTCTAAATTACAGTTGCTGTTAAGAAACATCTTGAACAGAAACTAGCCCAGTACATGTTATGATGTGATCCAAGTAAGCATCCTTCGAATGTCAGTAAAGCCTGATCAGGACTTTGAGTTTATAATAATCTTTACATTTGTTCAGTGCACATGGATCTCAAGATCAAAAGATGAACAAGAATGTTCTTAAGGTCATTCTCTTACAGAGAAAGACTGCATTGCATCAGCTTTGAAAGTAATGCAGCATAGGTAAAACTTGAAGAACAAGTTTTCTTATCAGACATATTTTCTTAGGAATGTACCTTGAATCAACTAATTCACTCATAATACAGTAAAGGTTTCAAAATGGAAATTTTCAGACCCATTTTTTTTCGGAACAATCATTTTTAACCTGTTTTTTATTCTCTGTAAATTTTTTATTTGAATGTTCCTGTTGCCTCCCCTGATTTCATTGTATTTTTCTTGCAGTGGGAAATGTTCAAATGTGTGAGTTATTTAAAAGTGTTTGTTATAAATGGAGATATGTGCAGCCTTATACTTTACACAGTTGTCAATTGGAGAAAACACTGACAACTGTAGCTATGAGACTGTGCTCCAATCTGACGTGA